GCTATTCCCACCTCTTGCGATGCCTGTTGTGTCCCTCCACGTCCTCTGCCGCGTCCACGGCCCCGTCCACGGCCCCGTCCGCCTTCCTGAGAACCCTGTTGAGCTTCCTGGGCCGTAGGTGAAGCTATTCCCACCCCTTGTGATGCCTGTTGTGTCCCTCCACGTCCTCTGCCGCGTCCACGGCCCCGTCCACGGCCCCGTCCGCCTTCCTGAGATAGCATGAGCTCGAAGCCGGAGGGGTCTCGCTAGGTGGAGGTGTCTTGGGTGCTTGCTTGGGTGCTTCCTTGGGTGCTTGCTCCGCCGCCGATGAAGTTCCTGGCGCCTCAGGGGCGTCCTCGCCGGCGTACTTGGAGAGGATCCTGGAGTAGGAGTAGCGGGTTAATAGGAGGTGCAAATACACTGTACAAATGCCAGTGTTAATGAAATAACTCAGGCTCAAAGCTCTTCTCCTCTTCTTCGTACTACATGATAAGATGAATGCATAGAAACCCTGCCGTATTCTTCGAATTATAGCGGCAAAGTGGAGGAATAGGCGGCTTATCCTCTACTTCCGGTAGGTAATGGTTGTAGACAGCCTTCGTAAGCTTGATTGCTTGCAATAAAACCCATCGATCTACCAATTTGAATAGACGCCAGAGATTCGTAGACCTTCTTACCTTCTCATTCTCGATCTTAGCCGTGACCTTATCGAATTGAAGCTTTATAGCATTCTCAAAGGTGCGAAGAACAACTAGTAGATCATTGGTCGAGACTTGAAGGTCTTGCTTAAGCAGCTAGTGAGCTCCCTCAGTCCGAGAGGTCGAAATCTCATTGAGATGAAGGTATCCGGAGGTGTATTCATAAAGGAAATACTCAGGGCAGTCGTCTAGCCATTCAGTCTGTAGATACTCGAGTAGAGGCATAAAAATCGGCTCTTTGTAGCATTCTTAAAGCTATTTCTATCTCTCCTATCTCTCTTCCGTAGTGACAGCGTAGACGACACGAATCCACCGCTTTAGCATCATCTTCCACGCTTTATCGACCATTTCTCGAAGCTCTCGGTCTCTCTCTGCCTTCGTCCGACGCTGTGAGGAAGCTGAGGAAGCGGATGTATTTGCTAAAGCTTTAGTCTCTTACCGAGCTTTTGCGAGCTGCTTAGCAAGTAGCGGACGCGCTTTCTTTAAGATATTCATGTTGATATGCCATAGACAGATTATATGCTTTGTAGAAGGGAAGACAACCTTCACAGCATTCATTAGCGCCTGCTCCTTATCGGTAAGGATGGTCTGGGGTGCTTGAAGGCCGAGAGCTTCGTAAGCCTCTGCAAGACAGCTTAAAATGACTTCGTAGCTATCATCCTTCTCGTCTTTTATGAAGGCGAAGCCGACGTAAAAGGTTAAGCCCGTAGCAGTGAAGCCGACGATATCGAGCATTGGAAGGCCGTACCGGTTAGTTTTGTAGGTGCAATCCATTGAAATAACCCATAAATTTGTCTTAAGTAATGCTATACTCGTCTTATGCATACAGAAGAGGGCTGTAACATGATTCTTATCGTTAACTTCATACTTGAAGATCCATTCGCCGTCCTTTGGAAGCTCTATCAATAGAGCTTGAAGCGGAGTACGGCCGGCAAGGAATTCAGCATAAAGCTTCTTCCGGAAGTTGTAGATATCCTGGGCATTAAGGCAAGTCTCTGGATTGTCCTTTCGAAGACCATGAAGGACCTGACGGGTAGGAAGGCCCTGCTCAAGCTGCTTTTTGACGCTATCTGATACCGTAGAAAGCTCAATGCTTCGCTGAATTGGGTGGGTTGACAGAGGTGACGGACCATGGTTATGTGTCGAATCCTCCACCGTAATAGACCACCTACCCGTCTCGAGACTTAGCCGAAGCGCTATACTGAAGGGACAGTTATTGGCAAGTGTCGTAGTCTGGCGCTCCGGAGGTCTATCAGGTCGCTTTCTTATCGGACGACCTCTGTCACAACATAGTCGGACGGTCTTCATGACCCCTTTCTTAGTACGTTTTGAGCGGAGAATTGAGACTGCATAGCCATATTGACGCCCTAAAGCATTGATCGTGGTGATTCCGTGCTCTGGCGTGTCGTAGTACGTATCGAGAGGGGGTAGCGGGAATGTATGGAGGCTTGGCGGCGGGTCTTGGAGGCTTGGCGCGGTGTTTTGGAGGCTTGGCGGCGACGGTGGGGACTCGGGAATAGCTTTAGGCTCAGAATCGGACGGCAAATCAGGCTGCGAGGAAGCCATCTTAAAGGAGAGTGAAATGCGAGGGAAATGGGTGAAAAACGCGAGAGAAATGGGTAGTAAAATGGGAGGTTTGAAGGTGTAAACAACAATTATTTTGAATTCCTCATTGGGTACTACAGTGGAATAGGAGTGACCTATTTTTACTAGGGGTCTACATAGTAATTAGAGGTACCTCGAGTTCTAGTCTATCTGCAGTGAAGTGGTAGACCAGGTGGTAATAAAATAAAAGTTCGGCACAAAAGCGGTGAGAAAAGCGGTCAATTTATGCCTGGTCTGTAAGGCACTCAGGCCAAATTCAGGCCAAATTCAGGCAGGGGGGGTGTAATTACTGAAGGGGGGGGTGTAATTACCGATCCCCTATACAGAATGAACTGAATTAATCGAGTCACTTTTTCCGGTAGTACAATACTACCTAGATCACACAAGACGCCCTTTCAACACGGAACAGCCGTCCCAGTCGTTCCAACCCTCATGCCCGCTTCCTTTTTTTCGGACCAGCTGCGCCTCCGTTGTTCTGGGCTGCTTGGCCAAACAAGGAATCGATACTTAGCTGCCCCTTCTCTCGCCGATCGGACTTGACCTTCTCACTCGCTATCACAGGAGGCCGTCCCTGAACTCGACGCTGCGCATCCTCAAGCAACTCCATTTCTCGTTCACGTTGACCTTTCACCGTAGGAATCGACCAAGATCCTGAGTTTACCGACTTATGCGCCAGCTTATACTTGGAGCCCGTCAGGTGGGTTTCGTAGGTATTGGCGTCGACTTTGCGCACGTACTGTAGGATATTTGTTGGCTTTCTGACCCATGCCTGATCGAGTATACACTTACCTGGTGCCCAACAATCAACCAGTGGTACTCTGTCCCGACAGGTGCACCGCTTCCCTTGGGCGCGTTACGTGCCCGTCGCTTGTTGGTTTGATAGTCAATCCGCCAAAGATCGGGTTCTTCCTTAGTCTCCTTCCATACACCTGGCTCGTAGTTCCATGTATGCGAGCCACCGATCGCCATGCCAGAATATAGCTGTCCATGGTGCGTCTTCAAGTCGTTGTACCTGTTACTACCGATGCCGTATACTTGCTTCGGCAATGCCACCACGTTGTCAGCCTGATCTTCTTCCTGCGGGTACTCCTCTTCATCCCACAAGGAGGGTCCCGTGGAGTCGTATGCGCCTGTGCTGTGGCCGTCGCTGCCGTGGCCGCGGTCTGGGAGGTCGGCATTCGAATGTTGTGTGATTTCAACATCCGCCGTGCTCTTCTTAACCATGTTGAATTATCTGACTTTGTCTTAAATGAAAAGAATATGAGAATATGATGTGCCTATTTCGATATAGAAAGAACTGAGACAATGGCATTTCAGAGCTTTTACTTTTGAATGATGTCATAATCATCCCATAGGACATTCCGACGCTGACTAAGGTCATGCACCAATATATGCCATCGGAAGCAATTCGCGGGATTATGATTTGCTATTAAGACATAGTACGACCCATAATGTCTATGCACACTGGGTCACGGTGCTATCGAATCAAATCAAGACAATTCATGCCTTTTCTGCCCCAAAAGAATCAACCTCAAATTAGCCTCGCACTGTACAAACTTGGGTTTCGCATTCGTGAGAATCTGGCGGTAAATCTAATTGCAAATATTACAAGATCTTCTGAATGCACGAGATGATCTTACTGTATCTTACATCAGTTCATCGGAGGTACGTAGACATCTGCGGCATCTCAAGAAAAGGCATCGACGATGCAAAGGCTAGCAGAAAGATATCCTATGAGCTAGAGTGCTGTGGGTGGGGCCTTAGGAAACAAAGATAGAGATTGGAGGTAAGATTGATTTCGAATATTACTGCATAAAGAGCCAAACTCTGTGCTCAAATGTACAGATATGTTGCCTTAAGTAAGATACGGGGCCTATGTATATCTTGTTGTAATTTGCAATGTATGACAGAGAAAACTGCATAAGTAATATATGGCAAGTAAAAGAGATGATTTAAGCCTCGACCGCAAATAGAGGTATCCCTACAGGTTTTTATAATGGTAAATATATCAGCAGTAGGAAACCCCGAATTGTCATCTCAGTTGCCCGACTTTGCTCAATTCGGTGCATTCTATATATCGCATCTTATGCTGCATTCACTCTAATTATCTGTGGCTTCACCTATGGAGCCTTGCTGGAGTCTACGGCTCAATGGTGAGATCCCTCAGCTCACAACACGTATATGTGGATTATCTCACTTCCTGAAAACAAATTCAGAGCCTCGTCAAGGCCTGTCGTATTTCAGGCAGAAGTAGTACCTAACACTCCATAGGAAATAATTAATTCATTCCGATATATCTTTAGCGGTGGTTCAGTACATAAAATCGCGCGGTTTCAATTTGAACTCATCTAGGGTTTGGGTGCATACGAAGCCAAGAGGTGACCGGAGGAATCGGCTTCCTCTTCACGAGAAGAAGTCTTACCCAGGACGCGCAAGGTCATCCCAATAGCCAAACACACAACAACGACTACAACCTCCTCCAATACACACATTACTAGCTTCACAGTGACGTTTCCCTTGAACAGACTAAAGTCGGGGTTGTGTGAGAACCACATGAAAACCGAATAGTGGATGCGGACAAGAAAAAACGGCGCCGAGATGGTTACGGCCACTAGGATGCGATGCTCGCCTTTCTCGAGAGAGTCGAGGTGCCAGGCAAGAATAGCCAAGAAGAGGCACATTACCGCCCATGAAATAATGTATAGAATCACGCCGACTTTTATTTTGATGTCGGGGTTCTGCATAGCCCAGGGTGACATGTCGGCCGTGATGCTGGCTACCGTGAGCGCTAGACAGGTGATTGTCAAAGCGTGGAACAAATAGAAGACGAAATGGGGTAGTGGCTGACGACCGGTGGTATTTATGATGGATAAGTTGCTATACATCCATGAGTATTTCATGGTGTATTATCAAGGAACATGTAGAACTGATAGAACTTACGCCCTGGAGAGGAGTGCCGTACATGCTGGGAGTAACGGAGACAACCCAATAGAGCTCAAACTGCGGCAGCAACATATAGACGCATTGCCCGCTGGTTGATTATTGTTGCGAAATCGCAGCCTGTGCCCACGATACGTGCCTGGGCGAAAACATTGAGGAAGAAAAAGCCGCTGCCTCAGTAGCTGTTGTCTGCTTCAATTTTGATTATGATCTCCTGGTCTAGATCCCGCCTTCCCAGGGGGCATCAGACTCCCAAGGAGATAAAGCATTTGTCTCTCGCACTTGAGGCGTTTTATCTTTTACCTTCTTCTTGAGTGTGTCAGATATTTATCTGTTACTTATTGCCTTGAAATTTGACTATTCAAGAATTGCAATGTCTACATCAATACCTGCTAATGTCCTCGACGCTTCTGGCCTAGATCCATCTCAGAACGATGCCCCCATCGCCTCCCTACAGCTTTGTCACCGGCTTTTCCAAGGGCGCAAACACTTGTTTGCCCCTTCTGATACATCGTCCACCCATTTCTTTATCGAGAACCCGGTTCCCTATAGACATTGTAGCTCATGGGTACCAGTGTTCTACCGAGGGGATAACCCAAAATACACTCCGACTACAATGGTGATTGGACGTGCCCGCCGCACGGCCATGTGGAGCTCGTTCCGTCTGTGGTTGGGCGACGGCGTACGCGAGGTATTGGAGAACGAGAAGCGACCGAAAGCGAAAAGAAATGCGGCGAAGAAAGCAAAGCGCAGGAAGATATTTGGGTTGAAGTCGAAACCGCCAAATGAGCCACTAGAAGAAGAGTAGGAAGTCCTTGGAAAATCAGTACTAGTTGAGATGCGCAAACAGTGGTTTTCACTCGCATGTTTGAATGGGAGATAGACGGGGTGCAGTATCGATGGTCCGGAACGAGAATGTTTGCAAGTGGGTGGATGAAAGGTGTTAAGGGATGGATACATGACTTGAAGGTAAGCCGCCTAGAACTTAGTATTTTGAGGGTCATTTCGTCGATGTTGCTGCAGCTGACCCTTTATGCATTAATAGCTTAATCGAAACTCTGATAACGCTCTTATTGCGACCTTTGAAAAAGGTCATTGGGCATCATATTCCAAATACATAAGATCTGAAGGACCTCCGAACAAAACGAAGCAGTTGATTGGCAAACTCCAAGTCAACAGTCCATCAGCTGCAACTTCAAACATCGCTACACCTCGCATTAGAACATATTATTCTACATTGTCTAAAATCACGGGCCGAATTGATGATGCCATCACCGGAATACAAAAGATGGATGAGCAACACTTGAACCTTCGTGGAATCCATGCTGGCAACCTCACGGTGAACGCGATTGTACTGACATGCTGGATTGTCATAGGGGGGAAACATCGGCTTCGATATAAAATTCTGGATGTTCTTGAAGAGATTGGGGAGAGTGCTGGAGGCTAAAATCTGATTCACCGTCGTCCTTGTGGTATAGGAGAGGGGACTTCGGGTCGAAGTCGAATTGGATCTCCATGTTACGCTTTACTGTCACTGTAAGTGGCGTTCTTTCCTATGTGAGAATTTTTCATTTATTATAAAAAGCAACTCTTTTGAATCACTTCCTACTTCTCTCTGGTGAGATGTAACCCTTTTAGTGGCTGGCCGCAATGGGTCCCTTTCTTTCTGTCAACACATACTGGGCCACCGTCACCAGCCTATGGCCACCCGCGAACTCTCACTGTTGCATTTTTTTTTTGTCTTTTTGTTTGTTTTTCATTTGTTGTATAGGGAGGCGTAAATATTTGGACTTACATAAAGGAAAGCTCCCGCAAAGGCCTCCTAGCCCCGAAAATAGCAGTAGGGGCAAACACCTCAGCTAGTGGCAAAACTATTAGAAGTGGGCTAAGACGCCGAAGGAATGGCTTATCATTTGGGCCCCATCCATCACCGTACTACTTCGCCCCGTAGGGCAAACGTGTTCATAGACGCTATGACGTTCCAGCAATGCTGGAGCTAATAGATACATGTAAGCGTTTTTGTACTTCCTTTCCATTCAATACCATTAAACTTTTGGATAGGCAAAATCCGCAAGACAGGGGTTCAAAGAATGCCAACAATCTCCCTGATGATGTGCCCTCCATCACGTCAAACATTTCCCTTTAGAGCTGACCTTTAAAATAGGTTGGCGCAGAGCATGGATAGCAAGCCAATTTCAAGCAACACCACCTGAAAGGAGGGGGAAGCAAATACCCAAGGGAGTGATTATGCCCAGCCTTGGGGTGCTAGTGCCATGCGTCGTAGGGCAGGATTGTACTGGCCCCCTGACGGCAGTTTCACCCAGGTTGTCAGAGGCAGCTGGGCAAAGAAGCCTCACGAACTTCTAGTATCCGTTTTGTTAGAGCCCCAATTTCTGGCTTCCATACAGTTTGTTTATGAGGGTTCCTATATTGCTGTCGCCTGAGATGAGTACACTCGATAGTGTGGCTTGGATCTCTCTGGGTTTCCAGATTTTGCCAGCAAAGTAGATGGGTTGGTCAATTTATACGGAAAAATAAGACAATCACTTCGTCCACATAGTCAACAAGGTAAATAAAAAGATTTCGTGTTTATTGAAAACCTCTGAAGCTTAGGTCAATGACAGAAGCATAGATTTCCGGGATAAGTCCTGGGAAGTCCTGGCTGAGGGAGGAAGAGGGTTGTCAATTATGTCCACTTGATAAGAACGAAAACAGATGAGCTGAGTGGTTAGGGTTTATCTTATTATGACGTATATGCAGTAGGCTTTAAGAGAAAAGTTTATGGTTAAATTAAGAACAGTCTTTGCATTTTGAACTTACGCCCTTATTCATGTATGTCCTCATACTACTTTTTGACTGTGTCTTGTGCAAGGGATGCGTGGCCCAAACCAAGCAGCGATATCCACCCCAACCTAGGATCAGATCACACTAACCTTATATGAGACTGACCGGTCAAAGGCACATCAACATGAAGCACCAGCTTCTTATTCTCCGCATTGTACTCGGCATCACGGAGTCCCTTCGGCTCGCGCTCCACGCCAAGAACAGTGATAGCCTCAATAGTGACACTAGCCTCGTACTCAAATGAGCCAGTCATGCTGAGCTTACCCTGCGCGTACTTGAAGTCGATCTCCGAGACGGCATCCTGCACAACCGACTCGCCGTCATCGAGGTACAGCGAGCCCTCAGCGCAGTCATCGAGACCCGGCGCAATGACAATGTTGAAGCCCTTCTTACGTAGCGCGGTGGTGGTGTTAGCGCTCTCGATGCGCTGCGGGTAGACAATGCCCCCCTTGTAGTGAACCGTGATGTCCGTGTAGTCGACCTCGGCGGAGATGTACTCGCCGTGCCCGCGGACGGGGTTGCCGGTGCCCCATTCGTAGAAGATGTCGTCGGGGAGGTAGTAGTTTATGCTCGTGCTGTTCTCCTCTGTGACTGGGCTGACAAGGATGCCGTCGCCGTAGAAGAACTGCAGGTCGATGGGGTAAGTGTTGGGGTCGTTTGGGTAGTTGAAGAACAGAGGGTTGAGGGCCGGGGTGCCAGTCTGGTTCTGTTTGTAGATGGCGGTGTAGATGTAGTCGACTGCATCATTATCAGTTCTAACTTCACTATCGGAGAGGAGGGGCCGTGCATCACTTACGGAGCTGGTATCTGATCGAGATTCCTTTGCGCGCGGCCTCAGCGACTGTCGGCCAGCGGTAGAACTCCTGGGGATTCGCAAAGATTTCGGCGTGGTTACGGAAGAATGTGTAGAATGAGCCAAGAGCTGCCCATCTGTTGATCTATGTTAGCTAGAGCTGCCCATGTGAGGCGAGATTCAGTCCTTACCTAGCACAGAGCGTCTCCGTTACATTACCACCGAAGCCGCAAACATCGGGGCCCACGACAGGAATTTGGTACAACGATGCAAATTGCAGGATCTGACTGATAGAGCTGCGGTACCAAAGCCACCCAGAAACATTATCTGCAGAATATTTAGCATGAGTCGGTGGCGTTGTCAATTGAATGGGTAGACGCCAGAAGCATTCTTACCTCCAAGCCAGTGGGACACGTCCTTGCCGGAGCCAGCAAACGTGCTTCTCGTAATGACCAAAGCGCGGTCATCTGGGCGCCTGGAACGCATGGCATTGTGGGAATGCGAGGACATCATAGCTCCGTAAAGGTTGTGGGTATCATATTGAACATATCCGCCACTCTGCACCAGATCGGTGTCGGCAGTGCTGTCAGCAAGCGTGGGTCCAGCGCCGTTCTGAATCATATAAGGTGGCCTGATGAGCTTGCGATTTGGAAGACCCTTGCACTCGTCAGGTCCACAGCCAGAGCCAGTTTGTCTGCCGTGCTGCCAGCCAGCACTCGAAGGAGCCCAGTGGGGCCTGGCAGAGCGCCAATGACCAACACCGAGGTTGCGGCGGGAACGAGACTGAGGTTGATGACGTTGGACAACAGTAGTTGAACGCTTTTCATTTGCGTTACCGGAAGCAAAGTTTGGCTGAAGACTGTCCGGGAATCCAGGGATAGGAGCATCCGGACCATCGCGGACTGGTGGCGGCTTTGGAGGGTCACCATCCACCTCCGCGAAATTCTCCGGGGTGGTGTTGTTGCCTGGGTAGGGGCGGTTGAAGAAGTTTGCGGGCTCGTTCATGTCGATCCATAACGCGTCAATGTCCGGACCATTCGTTCCGTCGAAGAATTCCAAGAACTGCTCATCCCAGTACTGCTGCGATGCGGGATGGAACCAGTCAGGGAAGTAGCTCGGGCCAGACCAAACGACTCCCTGGTATTCGGAGCCATTCCTTTCCTTCATGAAGATATCATATTTGAGACCTGCATCGAGCCCCGGATTGGATTCCTTGTAGAACACGGCGGGATCGACCATGACTACGTAATGTTGATCCCTCGCATGGATTGTGTCCACCAGGTCTTTGTACAGATTGGCCGGGAACCTTTCTGGGTCAATGGTGAAGATGCGCCGACGGTCCATGTAGTCGATGTCCGTCCAGATGGTTTCCAGAGGGATATTGTTGGAGGAGTAGTTGGCGGTGACAGCGGCGACCTCGTAGACGTCTTGGTAGCCGTATTTGCACTGGTGATAACCAAGTCCCCAATAAGGAGTCATCAATGGGAGCTGAGTGATTTCCGCGTACTGCATGGCCACATCGCGCGGGGAGGGGCCAGCAATGAAGTAGAAATCAAGAACACCGCCGATGATGTTGTACTCGAGGTACTGACCACCCTTGTTGTCGATGAAGATATCCATGCCGTTGGAGTTGAGTAGGAATACTCCGTGGGTGCCACCCTGCCTGTGGTCAAAATATATCGGGTGAGCGCCGTACAGGTTCTCGCCTTGAGGCGTCCCGTAGGCATCGCGGGTGTAGATCGTCCGAGTGTAGTTGGTCGCGTTCAGCATGAACGCGTCGCTGTGCTCACCCAGTCCGTACAAATGCGGGTTCTGTGGCAGATGTGTCTTGACATAGACATATTGGCTCTCGAACACCAGCTTGTTTCCCGTGGTATCGAAGATCACCTCTCCGGTATCAGTCCGAGACACAGTGAATGAGAAGGGGTCGGCATTAAAGTCGAACATGAGCTTGGCGTCCTTCGGGGAACACCATTGGCCGAAACCGGGGCGCGGGAAGACACTGTCTGGAACCTGATAGACCGTGTTGTTGGTGTCCAAGATCTTGACGTGGAGTCGATCGCTGGTCTGATACTCCACCTCCAGCTTCAAGTCTGGGAGGTCAGTCCCGAAAACATTGCATGCCGGCCCTGCGAGGGAAAGTTCCGCGTAAAATCCAGACCTAGTCTCCCATTGCTTTGTCGCCTTGTATCCTGGGCATTCGGACAGGTCCTTTTCGTAGAGGTCATTGCCGGGGTCATCGAGATCCTCGATACCAGCCTGACTCTGTGCCCAGACACAGCCACTCAGGGCTGCAGCCGAGGTGAGCAGCTTCTGGAAATACATGATGTCGCCTTGGATAGCGAGCGATGTCACGTACGCATACTGTCCTTATATATTTCTCTCAGTGTCTTGGTTCCCTTTGCCAAGATGGACCGTGTGATCAGCGCGGAGACTACAACATTCGCCAAGGCCGCGATCCCCATCCCGGAATCGGGGACGGTATTTCAACTGTCCAACTCTGGAGCTGGAGACGTTCATTGTTCCTCTCGTTCTTGAGATCACCCGCATCAATGTCGTCGAGGTCTTCGTGGGGTATCTTGCCCTGGCATCGCAGTATAGACATGTGCTTCACCTGCAGATGAAAACAAAAAACAGCGACATCAACCCCGCGCAAGCTGTCGGCAAAGCCAGCGATGATCCCCAGTCCTTGGCATTTGCCGAGCGCTCCGGTAAAAGTCCGAGAAATGACGCTGTCAACTCCACTCCAAAGTCGAAGACAGCGATACTGTTGGCGTTCATCGCTTTCAATCGTCCGGCAAATATCCGTGGTTGCGGGGCTCCACAGGGTTCCAATTTCCTTCGAACCCCCACGCTATGTTTCGTGTCTTTCACATTTTCATGATCTCAGCTTCCCGAGCTCTTCATCACCGGTGGTGGGTGAGGCATAATCATTGAACAAATTGGCTGCTTAAGTCACGCAGTAAGATACGGTCATCCAGTGCAGTGGGAGGTAACCATCTAAGAGTGGAATGTGAGCTCAACTCGTTCGACGGTTGCGACGAGTTCCTCATCTTTTTGATTATTCAGGCCTCAAATTCCACCTTACAGTCGAGAGTCCCATTCCTTTATTGCACAGCCCCAGGGTTGCAACCGATTAACTGTCGACAAGTCTAATCCGACTAAGACCACAAAGGTGGTAAGATGGAACAGTACAGTTCACTCTTCCTGCTAATATGTCTGAGCCTAAAGCATGCTGATTGTTATCACTGTGTACCTGCAATGGAGATGGTTGGAAATAACTTGTCATGCATACTGAGTCAATCGACATCTGATGTGTGGAATGTTTATCAAAGTTACAGCTGGGGCTACAGGTTAAGAAGACTTGTCTTAGTCATTGGATTCAACGCGAGCGATCACAGCATACAGCAGCAATCAAGAAGCTAGATTTGGTGGGAAAGAAGTTTGAGGCGTGCTGCTGATAGTCCAGAGCTGTCAAAGCTTGCGATTTCTATGCCCCGAATGTGGTTCGTCCCAATTTCCGATATCACAGATTCTATTGATTGGTATATTCTCTATGTGACCTCATAGAAGCGCCAAGGACAAGCAAAAATTGCGCGACGGCATGGAGAAACTTGAGTGCAGAGGAGTGAGTTCTGAGCTATTTGAATGATCCGTTTCAGTGGCTCGTGCTGCTTACTTTGGGCTCAAGTATGTTCAAACAGTCCCACTTTTGACTTTACTTCTTTCTTCTTGCTTTGTTCTCTCCCACTAGGATGTACACTTTTCCTTCGGGGAGGCAGTTTATCATAAAATACAGGTCGTTCCTATGGACCTTATCGTAGTGCAGTTTCACGGACCATGATTCGGGATAAAAATAGAGGATATACTTGGCAGAATCGTTAAGGGCCTATGGACTTAACTCCATAGGCCTGCAGAGCTGAGAGCCGTATGTATATCGAGATGAAAACAAATCTCGCCGTATGTGGTCTCATTATCGTCACCTCATATCAGACGGGGTGAAATTTTATTCTTGAACTCCTGGCCATTGAACTCAATGCCGTTCTACTTAGAGCATAGACTGGATTGAATTAGTGCCCTCGATAGGACTATGGTTGCATCTTGTAGGATAAATACACTGGTAGGAATTACAGCGTGGAGGGAGTGTTTCGTCTTCTAACCAAGCAGGATTGTTGCTCCAATACCTATCGCCCACAGCATCGCTCTTTTGAATAGTCTCGAAGGACAACCAGACATATCTCTCTACTCGTCCCCCCTATCGGCCGTAACCCTGACAGTAGCCGCCCTCAAGGTACAGATCATCCATGCCGTTCGAGCCAAGACGCGAATAAAACTCGTGTTCAGTGGGCTCCAAATCAAGCTCAGTGATTCTCGTATCTCGTCCCAGTCCTAATGACCGGAAACCTAAGATTTAGATTGGTGACATCCAATCATATTCCCGCTGCGTGCTTCTTCCAAATCGGTCCGCTAAAAGGGGTTTGCCACTTGTCGAGCAGCTTCCCAGACCAGGTGGGCTCAGTATTGATTCTTTTGTATACAATCTCATAGTCACAAAATATAGCTGCGATGCTATTTGAGTATTGAAATGGGGATGGCACGATGGCAGTCTGACATAGCAGACGGGTCGGTATCAACGGAGACAGCACTACCAACCACTCTCATGTCCAATACAGACGTAGAGAGCAGTCTCTGTAGGTGGCTATCGTACTAGAAATGAAGCTGTCTCATGAAAGAAGAATCTGGTGGAAAACTGTAGTCATATTGAGGATGGTAGGATGCTGCTATCTCTAGGAAAAGACTGCATGCAAGCTTCCTAAGGCATTTGTGATACCTCAGGCCACTAGTACGCTACTGTCATAGGTTCCACCACTACAGTATGTATTTTCGTACATCTCATGGCGAGATAGGCGAGGGCATTTTCGCTCGGCTTAAGAGGCCACCAGATAAGCCAAGGTAGGAAAGGCGTGTCGTGTACGTTCCAGTATCTTAGATCATAATCCGATGGACATTTATAGCCTGCGGATGTCGCCCCGTCGTCCGTATGATATGATCAGTCTCCAGCTTCTCCGACTACCAACGAGCAAACATCGTGTTATAGTGAATTCCCCGTATAACACAGATATGCTCGGTGAATTCCATCTCTTCTCGAGTTTGACGATCGGTCAGTCGGATGTAACGACCCACATTTCCTTCGTACGCGACCATTTGTTGCAGGATATCCTTTTTCATAGTCGGCAGATCGAGCGGCGGCGGCTGCCAAAGTAAGTTTAGCCTCTTCAGGAGTGAGAAGAAAATGAGCGTCATGGTCATCTTCGGTATCCCTTTCTTCGGGTGCAAAGTCTTCATTGGGGATTTTAGAACACAAGTATCGCCATTCGAGACTCCAGCGGAGCCGTGTCTCGCCATTCACGTAAGAAGGTGCGACTGGTCTGCCAATGTTGATAGATCGACTGAAATCATCCATCACGGTGAATTTCAGGGGCAAAGATAAGATCCTCTAGTAGATCCAATTCCCGCCTGTCATATTGCCCTCTCTAGCCTCTTCGTCAATCGACATGCCGGGGAGCAACTCAGGCTCAAGCTCCTTATAGAGGTTGACAAACCCGGCGACAGCACAGGCCCGGCGAACTTGATATCGTGTCAAGGGTAGCGCCGGGCGAGCTTCCGGTATGTATCTTCTTCTGCGAGGTCGGGGTTCCAGATACAGTACAGCTAAGCTTATGGGTTTCCCAGATCATCCGGAATGATGTTATTCATCATAGGTCGGGCATTTCGTGCTCGGACGAGCTCAGGGGCCTTTGAAAATCCGTGGTGACAAGGTTCAACCACATCCGGACTGAGGGCGAATTCGTACGAACAGTGAAGTCAGCGTATCACTGACCAGCGTGCGGAGGCTCAAGTTCTGCGGTACAGCTCTACCCTGCATGGCAGCAACACATTAATTATAGTCATAAAGAGGGGTTTCATAAGATGATGCATCTGGGCCCAATTTTACGGTGCGATCCATATCGCTTTTTCTGTCGGGGCGGTCCATGATAGAATGACCAGGTGCGCACCAAAGATGACTGAGCATGACTTGATAAAGTGGGGAATGAGAACCCGTGCTTGCCAAGCAGTCACGTGAGAAGCGGCTCGTTGTTCCTTGAGCTATCGTATGATAGTCTCTAGCAGGAATTTCGGTGCACCTATGTAAATACGTGGGTGCTTGACTTTGGGTGGACGCACGGACGCAGCAGTGTTTAAACATATGATTAGGCTCATATGGGGCTCCACCATGGAGCGGGACCCACCAGAGCCGTAGTGTGAGGGCCGAATTGAACCTCAAACCCTAATACTTTCCTGTGTTGACTTGCTCCTAGTCGCCTGACCTTGGGATCTTCAAAGTTAGAAAGCTATACAGTAATATCAGCGTTGTTTTTCGAAGGTCGCATGGAGGGTCTACATTGGGGAGGGCATACATAGTCTCTGAGTTTGTCGAAAACCCCGACTTTGCCTTGTTGTTGTTGTTGTTGTTGTTGTTGTTGTTGTTGTTATCAGCGTAGTCTTTCATAGTCCAACGTTTGTAATCATGACCGCCTGACCCTCCAGATTCCGATTTCATGTTGATAGTGGTGATATCTTTCGCCTCGAGACAAAGTCCGGAATTTTTCTTCTCTTCAGGCTTCCTGACGGGGGTCGTAAAATACTTCACAAAAAGTCGCTGTCCATCTTCCTGTCGAAGCTGCACAACACACACAATTATGCTTCTTAAAGCCATAACAGCACTTCCTAGGGGGCTCCTAGTCCCCAGAGGTGGACAGCGTCGCTTTGAATGCAAACCATCTAAGCAGATCTCCATCGGCAGGGAGGAGATACCGCTCGGGTTTGTGGGACTGACCAGGGGAAGGTGTAATTTTGCGACATAAACAGGTCTAGTTAGTTCTTTGTCATGACTAGGATGCCTCAGCAATCAGGCGCAATTCGATGACCACACTGCCAAGTCCTCACTATACTTATGAGCGGTTCGCAACGACCCGGGGCTCTTTCCTCCTAAGTAAGAACCGTTAGATAGTGGGCAAAGGCAAATCTGCCCGAGACGCTCCAGAAGCGAAGTCCGATCATATTGGCATCCTACGGGTTCAGACCTATCCAATGTGTCGCCGAAGTTGCCTTACGAACCATTATGACATCACCATAACTCCCTGCGAACACCCACCCCTCTGTATACTTACGTGGATATTGATCTCTATCTCCGCTTAAGCTCCCTTCCTATACCGGCTCTTCAAGGCTAGCAGTCCTGCATACAAGAATATCAACAAGGCAGCTCGAACAGAATCTTCGTCACCTACCCGGAACCAATGTTATGAAACCGCAGACGTTCTTGTTCAACGTCCTCCTCATATCTCCCATCGCCTATGCAGAAGGAAAAATCAGCCTTCAATGGGCAATCTGCGACCCAAGTCCACAAGATACGCTTGCAAAACTTAGACTAGGCGCAGCCCCCCCCTACAAAGAAAATCCAATCACCTACTACGATGAACATCCCCCTATCCACATCAGCTCTGGTATAATGTTCCGCACCAAAACAAACAAAGGCCAGCGATTCTCCACAGTGAAAGTCCGCTTTCCTGGGGCAGTTCCTGATGTTCCGGACTTTGTTGACTGCTCCTGGGGCCAATATGGCACCAATCCGCCATCCTTCGCCTGCGAAAAACGCTGTCCTTTGGACAGTAAAGTTTGGCAGGAGGAGCAGGTGCAGTTCGCCGAACAATATGAGACTGTCGACTGGGATGCGCTGCGTGCGTACGGGCCCTATCAGAATGCGAAATGGAAGGTGCGGGTCGAGGGATACAAGGCTAAGTTTGATAATGTAGTTGCTGGGGACCTGCATCTCATGGAGGTCGAGGTGAAGGTGCCCTGGGAGGAGTCTCATGACGCGCTGCAGGCAATCACGCAATATCTAAACGAGAGGGGCGTTGTGCTTTGTGAGCCGCAGGAAGGGAAAACCATGCGGCTATTTCGTGCTATGGGGTACTTTGGTGATGAAAATGAGGAGCTGTAAGCAAAGGCGAGAAGTGAATACCAGGTGCCCGAGATAGGGAGTAAAGCTAGCGAGGGCCATTTCGTTCCATTTTGAAGGTTCCGGGATTTCGCGTGTAAATAAATTAATTTTAGCCTCTGAGCGCGTTCAATATGTCTCAAAATTAAATAATCGGTCAGCTTCCTCGTCCGCTCTCCGACTGCACCACATTAGCGTATAGAATATAGGGACGGACTAGACAAAGTTAGGCATATCCATATCTATGCACTCCAGGCTTTGTGGTTTCCTCTAATGGTTAGTCAGATGCGCCTGTAAAGCTTCAACTGAACAAGGCTTAGATACTCTGTATAATCCACTCTGATTATGCAGAAATGTTGGGAACTCAAGATAAAAATGGTCTCATCTTGCGTCGTTATCCTTTTGGGTCAATCCAATCATCATTATAATAAGAGTACCTAGCATTCTTCGAAAATCAGACGAAGTAATCCCAGAGTTATAGTATGATGCGTCTCACAGAACTGCTCTACGGATATGCACATAGACAACGTTGTTTTATCCATAGATTCTGAATGAATATTGCGAGGCTAAACTGTTATCAACTTGCAGCTTGCGGACAGACGATCAGCAGGGGCAAACTTGAGGGCCTTTGCCTGAGGATCACAAAAATCAGTCATTTAGACGCCCTTCTGAGCGTGACCAGGAGGTGAATGAGCCCTTCAGAAGGTTATTGAGTTATAGTTCTTGGTTATATCTCAGTAACTGATGCAGATAAATTCAAGCGAGAACGTACCAAATTTACAATTGGGTGATGGTTCACAACTTTCCTTTTTTTTTTTGTTACGCTTGTGAATAATTCTCGACGAAGAAGGAGCGAAGAAAAGGGTGATATTCAGTCTAAGATAGGCGGACGGAGGAGAGAAGGAAAAGAAAGGGAGAAAAGCTATCTAAGTCCATGCAGCGCATACAGTCCTATCAGACAGGCAGTGGATGTAGGCAGCACGCAGCGAGAAATATCCTGCAAAATCAGAAATCTGCATCACTTTTGTTTTTTGTGTTGTTCTCATAACGAACGCTTGAGACGGTTAAAGAGTGCTTTCCCCGCTTTTAAGTCTACAAGTAGGCAAGGGTAATTTTGGCAGCCGAACGTCATTTCGCTCCCAGTAACAGTTACATCAAGTTGGACTGGGCCTCCCTTTCGAGTCTGTGGTACTGCTGTACGTCATCGGCTATCAGTCAACCGGTGACTATCATGGCGGCGAAAAAAAAAGCAAGATTATTGGTCTAGCCGGGTAAGAAACTTGAATTAAACACGGTATGCATTTCGTGTTCGACGGGGGCATGATTACAGGGTGAAGAACTGCTTATAACTAAAGATCGCCTCCCCCCACACGCATTTTCCTTTCATCGTAACTGCGCAACGATACCATTTATATTACCCCATCCCACTATAATACCGTTCACTTCCAGCATCAATGTCATCAATCATCACTTCCATCAAGGACCTTGTCGCCTCGGTACTTGAAGTGATAGTCTCCGTGTTTCACAACGCCTTCGATGTGACCTCTGGGCTGCTCATAGCTATTGTCAACTCTTTCATCGGCACCCTCAGGATGGCGCTGCGTGCTGTAGGAAATATATTTGAAGCTGCAGGTGGCTTAGGCAAGTTTATTGCTAGTAAGCTTTGTTTCCTTTCAGCGATCTAAAGCCTTAAAGCGCTAACACTTCGAAAGGTAATATTATTGTCATTGCAATCATCGCCGGCGGTGCATATGGATATCTGCGATACCAAAGTCGACAAGGACGCCCTATTAAGGTTGGAGACAAGAAGTTGAATTAGATTAGGATTGGTAGTTTGTTGGTTTTAGGCTGTCTTGTTTTTACCGCAACAATTATCTAAGAGGTGGCTAAGATCCCTGACCTTTCCACCCCTCAAATCAACCGCGACCAAAAGATTTCTGTCAGTATCCAAAATGAAAATCAGTGTTTTCACAGCTGCTTTGTATTATCAATCCAAGGTTAGGAAAGCCAACTTGCCAATTCCGTATGGACATCTGTTGCGTTGACATCATCGGGCGTTGCAGCAAAGACCGCCAAGAAATCCTCTGCATAGAAACCACCCATCCTTGCTGGCCACAGCAAATGGAAGACACGGATATATCCCTGTGGACAGATCATTTCCCCCTAAGTCACGGAAATGGGAGTGGTGCATTTTTGTGTCTCAGCTATTTGCGCAGAGTCTCGTCTACAGTGGGGAGAAGCCTTTACTGCTAGTCTTTGAGATCGGCCGCAACATTAATAGAATTCACCGCTGTAGCTTTCGAGTGCTTCCGTCAAGTGGTGATAGACGTAGCCGTACTTCATCCTTATCCTCATCAATATCATGTGAGTAGTCTCTGATCTCATTTTGTGTGAAGATCAATGATGGGACCTTACCGAGCCGTTGATCGGAGTTGGAGTATGGTGGTTGCATGGGGTCGATTATCGTCCTGATGGTATCTCATAGAGATCTTCGTCGTCCCTTTCAGTACAAGGTCAATTGGCTTTGAATACATTTGTGTATTTGGGAAGTGTATAGTGCGAAGGTGGATAGTACTACAGGCACATGTCTATTATTTATATTTGACGGCGATGCATATCAAAGTGAAGCTACATGATCTTTGTTACACTTACACCCCTTTATTTTGGGATATGCTTCAATTCATAACCAAAAATATACGTAACTTTCGTTAGTTCCAACTTTCATGCTATCGAGAATAGCGACGTGACTCCACGACTCGACCGATCGATTTAATCTGGGCTCATAGTCGCACAAGGTCGGTCTCGATCACGGCAAAAGTGTGCTTAGATTTCAAGATTATAAAGGGGGGTCTCAGGTTCACAGGAAGTTTGGTGCATTGTTAGCTTCGTTCAAAACGAACTATGGAAAGCTCGATAAAAGCCGGTTTCGAGGTGCTCAGCAATACCCTCAAGTGACGCCGGCTGGATTAGCTCTCTGCATCTCACGGAGGTAAAGCTTGCTTCGTTGATTATGGTAGGATCGTAGCTCTTAGCGCATTAGGAGGGGAGGGCCCTCCAATCCGGTCTCTGGGTTCTTTGGTGCCTTCGGCGGGGGACAGGAGATGCTTTTAGGGTTTGTCGGACTGGCCAAGCGAAAGTGAAATTTTTCTACAGTTTTCGCAAAATGTTATTAAGCGGCAATCGCATTAGATTCCAAGGTATTCGAGTGTGGCGATGTGACGTCAGCCTATCGATAACTCACCTAAGTGACATTTCCGTGCCAAATCTGGTTTTCCAACATAGATACCCAAGAACCGGTTTGTCAATTCTACTGCACTCCGCCATAGTGGTCGGAAACGTCATTAAAACATCAGCAGCATTTCTTGGTATCTGGAGAAACTTTTGTATATTAGAATGGACGGGTGTGGCGTATCCTTCCTCGGCTTGACTTTACGTACTTTCTATCGCAAATATCACAATGGCCTCTAACGCTCAAAAAACCTTCAAGCTTGCCACCGGTGCTAAGATCCCTGCTATAGGTCTGGGAACTTGGCAGGATGAGGCTGCCCAGGAGGCAGCAGTTCTTGTAGCTCTTCAGGCAGGATATCGCCACATTGACACAGCAAGGTGGTAAGTACTTGAACAAACTTGGGAGAATTGCCGAGGTTGACACCTATAGCTATGGTACCGAGCCCGCTGTCGGCAAAGCCATAAAGCAAAGCGGTGTACCCCGGAGTGAGATCTTTGTTACGAGCAAGCTGTGGAACAACAAACACCATCCAGATGATGTAGCACAAGCATTGCAGATGAGTCTGGATGACCTGGGTCTAGACTACCTTGATCTCTTCTTGATGCATTGGCCTGTTGCCTTCAAACGTGGAGATGATCTGTTCCCGTCCGACAAAGACGGGAATCTGATAACTGATGATATTGATTATGTCGATGTATTTCCATCCAATTTTAATCCCACAGCGAGATTTATTACTGACCGATCAAGACTTACAAAGCTATGGAAGGCTTAGTAAAATCCGGTAAAGCTAAGGCTATCGGAATTTCCAACTTCTCCCGAAAGGAAGTCGAGCGCCTCCTTGCGAATGCGACCATTAAACCAGCCGTACATCAGATGGAGCTGCACCCGTGGCTCCAGCAGGAGGACTTTTATCAGTTCCACCGTGAGCAGGACATTCATGTGACGCAGTATTCGCCGTTTGGAAATCAGAATGAGATCTATGGATCTCGCGAGAAACATGGTCAGCTGGTCAATGATAAGACATTGGTCGAAATTGGGAAGAAGTATGGAAAGACTTCAAACCAAGTCGCCTTAGGTATATTATATGCTACTTCTCGATGGTTATCCAAGCTAATAAAGGTTGCAGCTTGGGGTATCGCACATGGGCGTTCCGTCATTCCTAAATCAAAGTCTCCAGAGCGAATCATGCAGAACTTCGATATCGCCTTCGAGCTTGACCCGACAGATATCCAAAAGATCGATCACATCGACAAGAAGTTACGTTTCAATGACTCGAGCAAAGACTTTGGTTATGAGCTCTTTACAGACCTTGACGGCAAGCAAAAGTGAGGTTGTCTGGAAAAGAAACTCCTATTGTAGCTTCGATGGCTATGTGGGCTTTGGTTAATACATGCTTGCGAACTCGTGAAGTTTTGTATATCGCACAACCTTTTACTATGTCTTTAACTCTAGTTGATCTGTCTTTATGTTGGCAAAACAGGCTTGGAAAGCTCGTCTATAAAGTCCAAATGTTGTATACCTACCAAGCCTACTTCAGGATTGGAGGGACGCCCTTAATTAAATGAGCCCTAAGTTACCACCTATTTGCGGAAGCCTTCTTGTCCTACTTTTCTAGTTTAAAAAGTGGGTTACAAATGATTTGGAGAAAATGGTAGATAGACGCGTAGAAGAGGTGTAAGATGATTTCAAAAGTGATATAGCCTGATATGTCCCCAGACTTCTGAGACGTGACGTAAACTCAAAGAGACACATCATCACTGGTGGAGTATTATGCTGCATCTTCACGTTCAACGCTGAATAGTAGACCTTTCTTTCTATCTGCACGCCAAACAAGCCACCAAGAAGACAGGATCCCCGTGATGGCCGCACAAAGGAAACAAAGGCAGATTACGTACGACACTCGATACGTTGGTCCAAAGACCGTGTCGTATATATGCGGCCCAGCTATCCCGCTGAACTGCGCCATGGCATTTGTAAGCCCAATACCAATACCCGCAGCCACCGTCCCTTCGAGCGCGCGAATCCGTTCTGGCCAGATGACGGGGTATGCAGATCCAGCGCAGGCGGTGGCTACAATCAAGGCAAGATACTTGACGACTGAGTTTCGGACCGTGATCAGGATGATATAGCAAACGATTGTTGTGCTTTCAACTGTTTATGTCATTAGTCCAGGATACTGGAACACCGTTTCATATGTGCTTAAGAAGAAGGATAATACGTACTCGCGACAGCAGTGGTCCAGGGTCTGATCCATCCCTTGTGTAGCACATGCCCGACGGTGTTCAGAAATAAAAAGCACGCCACGTAGGGAGGCTGTTTGTGAAGTATCGGTTAGCAATCTTTCACAGATCGCGTAGTGCGGTAGTCATTAAATGGTGACTCAACTCACAATATTCATCAACTGCGATAAAGCTGTCGAAGTAAAGCCGAGCTCATAAATAACTGTAGGCAAAGCATAGTTCACCCCGAACCCGCCTATTCCATGTCCTATCCAGTAGAGCGTAAATGTGTAGACCGTAGGGCTCGAGAAAAGCACCTTAATGGCGTCCCAGTCCCAACTTTTATCTTTACCAGAAGGCGCCGAAGAAGACAGACGGTCTTTGAGAAACTCGCGCTCCTCCTCTGTTAACATGCGAGCGGTCTCGGGGTAGTCTGGAAGGCCTAGCAGTGCCACAACTGATAGCAGGATAGCAGGAAGTCCCTCTAAAATGAACAACCACCGCCAGCCCGAAAGCCCACCGGCCCCATCCATAAAGCTGATGGCGTATGCAAGAAGTCCACTCAAGGCCCCGGCTAATTGACCCAGAGAATAAAAGAGGGCGATTCTCCATGGCATCTCGGACGGCTTGTACCAGAAGGCCATGTGGTAAAGTACAGCAGGGTAAAAGCCTGCTTCAGCAATTCCAATTGCGAATCGCACGCACATCATTCCCGGGAAATTCTGCGCAGCACCAGCTGAGCATGCGCAAATTCCCCAGGACATAATAAGGACGAACATCCATCGCGACGGCTTGAAGCTTTTGAGGAGGATTGTATTGGTTGGTTCGAATACGAGGTAGCTGTATGAGAAGATGGATTGGGTCCAGGCCCATTGCGAAGGGGTGAAACCAAGCTCTTTTTTGATCCCCGTTCCGGCTTCAAGGTTGATGATGGCAGCGTTGGAGTAGTTGCTCGAGTCGATGACTCGAAAGATGTATACGAATGAGTAAAATCCAACGAGCCAGAAGTCTATTTTTCGCATTACTCTTTTTTCGAGCTCAGCATGACGTTTGATGCCCGCATTTTCGAAATCGAGTTCATTGGGTCGAAGTGAATTAATGCTGGTGCTATTTACCTGTTCGCCGCCCTTTCCAGGTGCCATTTTTCTCTTCCGTAGAATGCAAAATTGAACTGAATAGCTCCAATCTCATTCTATATCTCTATTTAACCAGACATTCCTTAAGTATTCGAGGCCTTGGTGACAGGGGTGCTGGCATAAGCTTGTGTCATGATAGTTTCGATCACGGCATGCGCTCCCCTATTGCGCCTATCTCGAGGACATCAACTTATTCATTCAATTGAGCATTTCTTGCTCATTTATCCTTGGTATTGCGGCATGCCAAATCTAGAAGAAGCTGCGGACAATTAATTGAGTTCTTGCTACCTACATTACTATCATTGCTTATCCTAGCTTGTGTGCGCGGCAGATGAATTGGACCAGTATTTCATCAAAGCTCAGGTATAGTTATGTCCACGAAAAGCCGCAGCCGAACAAAAACAATCCAATCATGGTCTTTTTGCTAGAGTTTGACCACAAATAAGTCCCGTTTGAGTTCTGCAATCCAACGCCACTTAATCCCTACTTGATTCTTACTTGATCGGCAGGTTTTCTTAGCGCATAACGCAATCGGGAGGAAAGATGATATGACCCGAGACCCCGCTGGTGCTAGAATTTAGAAAATGGAAATTGGATATGGAAAACCATACGTACATATTGGACACATTGACAGCTCTCAGGTTACATAAATAAATAAACGAATCAAAGCATGTTGCATTCATATATATATTTCTAGTCAAATCACTGTCGCGGTCTATATTCAAGCAAAGATGGCTCCGTCCGCTATAAAAGAGCAATTTTCTTCCGAAAAAGTGACAATTAAACCATGGAGCCGTCCTGCGCATACGAGAGAGAACATTGATTGGGCTCCACTGGTTGAAATCGATCTATCTCGCTTCGACGAGCCCGGCAGGAAGCAAGAGCTCGCAAAGCAACTGTACGACGCCGTTACACAAGTCGGCTTTTGGGTAGTTGTTGGACATGGAATTGAGGATGAACGCGTCATGCGCCAATTCAGCATCGGTAATGCCTTCTTCCAAGAGCCGCTGGAAGAGAAGCGAAGCTTCGCCTGCAACTTTGCCGAGGGCGAGTATTTCGGCTACCGTGAGAATGAAAGATGGATTGGAGATACCGGAGTAAAGGATAACGTCGAAATGGTATATTCATCATTGTCTAAGGTACGGGTTGAACATAGCTAACTCGTTCAGCTCAATATTCCTAAAGCGATCCCCGAATGGGAGGACATTCCGAGACACAGGATCGTTCGTCAAAACTATGATGAGATTGCCAGGTTTCATCGAGACCTTTTTCATCAAGTCATTCGAAAGTTATTTGTCTTGATGGCAATTATTCTGGAACTACCAGAAGACTACTTGGTCAATGCCCATGGCTATGACAAGCGATCCGATGATCACTTGCGATACATGATCTATAACACCCGGACTCAGGAAGAATGGGACAAAGCCCAGTCCTATACCAAGGGCGGCCACACCGACTTTGGTAGCCTGACCCTATTGTTCTCGCAGCATGTTGCTGGCTTGCAGATCCGAACGACAGAAGGGGTATGGAAATACGTGAAGCCTGTTGAGGGTGGGATTACATGCAATGTTGCCGACACTTTATCCTTCCTTACCAATGGTAAGTGTCTAATCGATTTTCAAAAGAGTGTCTCGCTAACTCAGAGCAAAAGGATTTTTGAAATCCACGATCCATCGTGTGGTCACACCTCCTAGGGATCAGATCAACATTCCTCGTCTTGGGTTGCTCTATTTCTGTCGACCCGGGGATCATACGATAATGAAGACAGTACCCTCGCCCGTGCTGGATCGCCTTGGCCTACTTACCGAAGACGACAAAGACCCGAACAAACATGCTGCCACAGGAACGGAATATGTACGCGCTCGGGTTCGGGATGTGCACTATAAGAAGGTGATCGACAAGAGGGAGAACACATCGTTTGAGTTCAAGGGTCTGAAGGTCGCAAATCATTATGAATAAGTAGCAGGCTTATAAAGTATGGAAAGTAAAGCTCTCATTGACTCTCGATTGAATAGGATACATACAACAAAAGTACATAGTCCAAAGAAGATGCCCATTCACGGGCCTTGCTTATAATATATAATAAACTAGTTTCCACTCATAGTAGATCGACACCTTGTAAAATATCAATTAGTGAATTATTCTTGGGACAGAGTGATTAATAGAAGTTGACAAACTTCATAGAACAAAAGCCGTCGAGTCCTGGTGGCAAACACCGAATGACCGCAATTTTGATTTTCCGGCGCGATTCGCGAAAACCCTCAATCCCCACCTGCATCAACTATCAACCATCAGACACAATGGCTAAGTCTAAAGCTGCGAAGCGTAAGCGCAATGCACAAGTCGACCTTCCACAAAAATTGCACAAGCCTGTCTCCACCTTGACCCCCCCTCCTGATGGCGCAACCCTCGAGCCCAAACACCTTAAAACAGTCGTCTCAGACGAGGATCTCGACATCACCATCGAGACACTCACGGCCCTCGCAGAATACCCTACCCTGACCAAGTCAAAGGCTTGCAAAGATCTTCGAGTTGCTGTCTATGACTTTCGTCAGGCTTGCACTACCGGTCTTAATACAGCTGGTGCGCTATCTTTCTGTCTCTAATCGATGGCTGTAACTGATTGCTTGATAGAGGGTGCAAACCTCACAGCACGTATAACCGGTGCCCTGGCCGACGAGAAATACATGGAGGCCAAAATTTTGCTTGCCGAAATGAGAATTAGGGGTGAAAAGCCTAAGATCGGAGCCTTGTGTCGCTGGGTACGAGATCTGGACGTTGTGAGCGGGCTCTCAACACAGCCGAAAGCACGCGATTATAATCCCCCTAGCCGTAGCGCAAGAGACATGGAACTACTCGGCGTTCTTGATGCCATACTGCGCGTTAGTACACCGATCGACACCAGCTCGAACGCCTCCAGCTCACCCTCCCCGATTGCCTTTCACTCTATTTGGGACCTCCGGCCGTCGACCGCACCACTACAGGTCTACGCCTCAGTTCTCGACAAATCTATCCTAGCCGAGGCCCCGAAATCTCCGACCGCTCTCCGCGTCATCGAACATATTCCTGGCACACTTCGCAAACCTCCGAACCACCATCCTGCAATCCTCTATACAACAGAACCTAATGCTATCCCGTTGGCTCCCGTGGGTCCCTCTATAACATACCACCCGCATCCTGCCGTTCCTGGCCTCGGCCTGGCTATGGATGTCCTCTCCCCCACGGAGTGTAAGGCGATCATTGCAGCTGGCGAGTCCGTCAATTTCCTACCCGATGCGCCTTTGCGCGAAGACGGCGACGTGAGCATCTTGGCTCACAACTTCTACTGGATTATCGACACTACTTTCCACGACATGCTTTGGGACCGCATCTCCCCTTATGTGCCGCCCTCGATTAACGGCCGCTTAGTACGAGGCATCAATCGACGCTTCCGGGTATACAGATATGTCCCCGGTGCCGAGTACCGGTGCCACATTGACGGAGCTTGGCCACCATCTGGTATCCTCCCGGACGACACATACGTGTACGACTCGTCGCCCGAAGACCGAAAGCAGAGTTCTATGTATACATTTTTGCTATATCTTAACGACGAGTTCGAAGGCGGAGAGACTACCTTCTTCATGCCAGCCGCGCGTGAGGGAACACTCAACGCATACCCCGTACGACCTGTGATGGGATCCGTTGCCATATTCCCGCACGGCGAGGCAAACGGGGCCTTATTACATGAAGGGACGGGGGTAAGGAAGGGTGCTAAGTATATTATTAGAACAGACGTAGAGTATGATGTAAAGCCTTCCGAGGAGGGACAATAAATATACGAATTTCATGCTATCACAACTTGGATTAGATAGAAAAGTAGTGTTTGGCAATGTTGTGCCAGAGAAATTACATGACCCAAAACGGAGAGATACATGTATATACATATGACTGCCGTAAATTGGACCTATTTTCGTGCCAATTTTGCTTCTTGCAGCTTCTAAGCTCGCCGAGTAACCTGATGAGCTGAACATTGCAAAGTGCCTCTGCAGCCTTTCGTTGGAATGAGGACTAAATTCTCGAGATAATCATGAGTGTCCTTGGTGCTATATGGCTCTTGCCTCGTTACTTGGACATTCTATCGCCTGATACTGACTGTGTGAAATTAATTTCAGTCAATATATATGACTTTTACTTCTTATTATCAGTATTGACTAGACCAAAGAGGACAAAGACCATATATCAACAACACCACCTGCCCAACTTATTTGCTTGCCCTCCACCCAACGAAACAACAGCCAGATATGCATTAGCATTGCCAAGTAATGCATGTTTTACCAAATAATGCGCGGGAAATACAATTACTACGCCTTACATATTACGGTTAGATAGATGGAGAAAGGGTCCGAATAGCTTCCTTGGGGAATCCTGGGCCATGATATAAATACGGAGAAGATGCTAATAAGGTTGGATTTTGCCACTGTTCTTTTCCAAAAATGTGCTATATGATATTATGTATTCCCTTCCTTACATCCGATCTGTTTAGCTTATGCAATCCAAAACCACATCCGCTCTGTTTCAAAATTTTAGGTCAGAGGTTTCGGTCAGTCGCAGAGAATTCTCAATGTAAACTTACCGAGAAAATTGCGAGGCTTGGGTTCTTCCCACATTGATTCCAGCTCATCGGCCTCTTCCTTGCCAGATAGGAGGTCCATGTCTTCTATCCTAACAATCCTTGTTCTCTTGATGAATTTGTATCCCAAAAAGAGCATGACAAAGATGGGAATATCAATATAAGGGGGAATAAAGCTCTTCGCGCTGAAGTGGCCAGGGAAGAATGCATCGAAGCCGTTGAAAAATGCCACAGTGGAGGAGAATATCATGGCAAAATAGGCCATGAAAGGTTGGAAAGGAGACTGGAAAGGGAGTGAGGAGCGTGGTATGCCATGGTATTTCAGCCCTCGATGGAAGCGAATATAAGTTACGGCAATAGAGGTCCACACAATCAGCGTACTGACAGAGCTCAAATTGCTAATCCAAAAGAACACCTCGGCAGAGCTAGATGAGGCATTCAGATAGACAAGCAAGCTCAGTGCTGCAGTGACAGCAACACATGCGTATGGAACCCCGAATCTTTCGAATCGAAGGAACCGAGGCGCCTTCCCATCCAGTGCCGTGGAGTAAAGTATTCGGGTGGACGCATAAAAGAAAGAATTACCAGCGGACAACGCAGAAGTGAGCACAACAGCGTTGATGATTGAAGGGAGCACCAAGATACCCCCATTCTCGATAGCAATGACGAAAGGGCTTGCCCCAACGCCTGCAGCGCCCGTGCCAATAGCGTTGAGCAGTCGATTATCTTTAGATGAGACGCATAGACCCACTAAGAAGACGCTTCCGACATAGAAAATAGCAATGCGCCAGAAGACACGACGGACCGCCTTTGGAATGTTGCGCCGAGGGTTTTCAGTCTCTCCCGCTGCGACGACAACCATTTCGCTGCCGCCGTAGCTAAATGTAGCCTGTATGAAAACTTTCCAGAATGCTAGAAAACGGCCTAATGAACCAGTTTCTAGGTATTCATTCATTGGACCCGGACTTTCCCAGTAGCGGAAACCTATACGGTCATGCGTTGGTGCGCCACCGAGTGTGATAATAAGCATGAGCAACATCAATCCCACAATGGTGGTAAGTTTGATCGATCCAAGGACAAACTCCACTTCACCATATACCCGAACAGGGAGGCTATTAACGGCAATGATAGCCACATAAAGCACAGTGATCCACACTGCAGAAGAAATGTAGCTGGGCCAGTAGTCGATGACAAGGGCAGCTGCGCTGATCTCGATTGGAACGCCAATAGCAAATTGGTACCAATAATTCCATCCCAAAGTAAACCCCAAGGCTTCATCAACAAATCGAGATGCATATACGGGGACTGCACCGGGAAGAGGGAGCCAAGTCGCCATTTCACCCATACTGTTAATGACCGCGTAAAGGTTGAAGCCCGTAATGAGATAGGCAAGCACCATAGACAATGGCCCAGCTAGTGAAAGAACCTGGCCTGTACCCACAAAGAGCCCTGTCCCAATAGCCCCGGATAGAGCAAGAAATTGAATATGTCGAGACTTCAGTCGTCGTTGTAGGGTGCCAACCTCCGTTGGCGCTGTTGCACCCTTCTCCATTCCCGGTCCAGAACGTTGAGAGCTGAAATCCTTATCGCCCACCTCGATATCCTGTTGATTTATCATTTCCTGTGCTGCCATGGTAAACCTTGTATCTGTGACAATGGACGAGCTTCCGCATCCCCATTTGTATAGAAACGCACAGGCCTTGCTACAGGCGTGGGGTAAACATGGGGGACAGGCGAGTCGCTTCCTACGCCGAGGGTTAGTCTGGGGTTATTTTTCTGGAAAGGGAAATTCTCAGGTCGGAAAACTATCCACTTGGCGGGTCATATCTCTCCAGTTCCCCCCTTTCAGTGGTTGATCGGCAGAGTGATTGTATCGCAGGGATGTCCGGAGTCCACTGCAAGGCCTAAGCCTTCTAGGCTTTGCTAGAGTTGTATTCTTTGGTGGTATTTGAGTCAAGATCGAGTGGGGGTTGCAAGAAAAGGAAATTGGTCGTCACGCTTCATTTCCTATTTGACTCGCTGTATCTGACTGAATACCAGCTCGTATCTTTCGAGATGTCCCTCTGCCAAGATGAGCTGAAATTCGGACACGAAATGCGTCAGCATTTCTCGTTCGCTCCGGGTTATCGAAATCTGAATCATGGTAAGTCCTTCATTTTATATACCCACATACCTGCTCATGGTGCCAGGGTCTTTTGGAGCATCGCCAACCGTGATTCGCAACCGAGCAAACGAGCTACGTGAGGAATGCGAGGCAACTCCGTGTCCTTTTATCAAGTACCGCTTCCCTCAACTTCTGGACGACTCTCGGGCTGCTATGAGCAGCTTTCTTGGTGTACCTGAGTCCACAATCGTTTTCGTTCCGAATGCGACCACCGGTGTCAACACAGTTCTGCGGAACATAGTATGGAATAGCGACGGAAGAGACGAGATCCTTCAGCTGGATGTGATATATGGGGCTTGTGCGAAAACAGCACAATACGTCTGTGAGGCCAGTGGCAACAAGGTCCGCACCCGACAGGTTGGGTTTACATACCCGGTCGACGACTCTGAGATCGTTATAACCTTTCAAAGAAGCAGTAAAGTCTTCGCGCTTGGAAGGCAACCACCCGCGTATTGCCATATTCGATACTATTGCCTCAAACCCCAGGCTCCGACTCCCATTTGCCGAGCTCACCGCGGTCTGTCGCGCAGAGGAAGTACTAAGTTTGATCGACGGTGCACATGGAATCGGACAGATCGATCTTAATTTGTCAAAATTAGACCCAGACTTCCTGGTCAGTAACTGTCATAAGTGGCTTTTCACTCCTCGCAGTTGTGCTGTGTTCTATGTTCCTGAGCGCAACCAAACCATGATCCGAAGCATTCTGCCAACGAGCCACGGGTTTATTGCACGGTCCCAAGGAAGCTCATGCGTCAAGGCAACAGACTTCGTCTCCAATTTTGATTTTGTGGGAACCACTGACAGTGTTTCTTTCCTGACGGTGCCTGAAGCCATTCAGTGGAGACAGACAGTTTGCGGTGGGGAGGACAAAATTCGGCAGTATTGTATTCAGCTTTCTCGCAAAGGTGGCCAAAGAGTCGCTGAAATCCTAGGGACTAAGGTCCTAGGCAATGTTTCCCACAGCTTGACGGAGTGCTGTATGGTTAACATCCTCCTCCCTTTGACAAAGCCTACTTCTGGAGATGAGAGTATGATCAGAACGGCTGGAGCTCCGAGTATCACAGTTACAGATTGGATGCAGCAGACCATGATTCGGAGATTCAAAACATTCATGCCAGTCTTTCCTTTCCAGGGGTCTTGGTGGGTTCGGTTGAGTGGGCAAATCTATCTCGAGGAGAGTGACTTCGAATGGGCGGGCTGGACGCTGAAAGATCTTTGTGAAACGCTACTCGATGAGGAAAATTAAATGAGCCTTCCCAATGTGAGTCAATAGCAGGGATTATAGACAGATAGGTACCAATAAAGGCATATGGAAAGGAATTGAATCTACGAGAGGAAAATCGGTCGATGAATTGAATGCCACCTTCAGATTGATTGTACAAAGGAATTTCCAAGTCCATTGCCAACAACTCGGCCCGCAGTCATGTTCAGGATCAGGCGCACATGCAATTATACGGGCGACGGAAACGGTTAGGTCCGCTCGGCTTACATTCGGCACAGATACGTCAAAGCATGCAATCGGTTCCGCATTGTATATCGGGCAGAAGAAAAAACCGGCACCCAGACATCGGCACGCACATTAATACAAAAATTTTCTCTGTCTTGGGATCGGACCTGAAACAAGTCTGATAACGGGTATGGTCGGCTCTCCTCGGTAACGTTCCCTAGCCACATCCCCGACCATAACCGAGTTAAACACGACATCTAACTGGTCGGCTCACTTCCATGTCTGGGCACTGTGGCTGCACAGTGGATCTCGGCATTCACTAGCAGCCACAGCGGAAAGGTATGGATCTTCTTATAGCAGTTTCTTGCTTCGTTGTGGCCAGTGTGAAAGATCCAGGGCCCATTTTATGATAAAAATAGTGGATCAAACAGAAATGCTCCGAGGAAGAAGAGGAAAGAAAAGGGCAAGAAACACTGAGAGGGGCTTAGGAGCATGGGACATATAGATACTTCATGCCCCCTCCGTTGTGGACCATGTATTATCCAACAGAGCCCTCCTTTCACGCAAGTTGTACTATGACAGTGAAGTACTAAAATGGATTACGCCAATACATCTCATGAGAGATATGAGCCAAGCCTCGATTTCACCCACGACTCTCGCAGCGATTCTGACGACACAGTCGATCATATCGATTCTCTTGAACTCACCCGTATCAACACCTACCGACTTCAACAAAAGACTACCGTTGGCTCCACAAAAGGACCGATCCCCCGTGAAAAATGGCTACCGATGGGCGCCAGCAAAGAATACCCACCAGTACTCCCAGACTCCGAGGCCTACGTGGTGGAATTTGATGGCGCGAATGATCCATTGCACCCATATAACTGGTCTATGCTGAGACGGTACGTGCCTATATTGTGCACAGCTATTTACGAAGAGGCCTTGTCTGATCGATTGAATAGGATATCCCTGGTTTGCATATTGTGCTACGGTACGTTTGCCGGCTCATTTGCCAGCGCTGTGTTCTCGGCCGCTATCTCGGGTATCAGTCAAGAGTTTCACGCCAGCACCGAGGTTGGCTCTCTTGGAGTAACACTTTACGTTCTCGGGTTCGCTGCCGGTCCTACAATCTGGGCGCCAGCATCTGAACTGATTGGGAGGCGCTGGCCACTATCAGTGGGACTTTTTGGCTGTGGCATCTTCACGGTAGCATGTGCGGTCGGCAAAGACATCCAGACCATTATGATCTGCCGGTTCTTTGCTGGTCTCTTCGCAGCTAGTCCAATTTCGATCGTTCCCGCGGTTTTTGCAGACTTGTTTAACAATGCTCAACGGGGAGTCGTTATGTCGATCTTCTGCATGGCAGTCTTTATTGGGCCATTTGCAGCACCTTTTGTGGGTGGCTTCATTGCAATGAGCTCTCTAGGATGGCGGTGGACAATGTACATCTCAGCAATTATGGTCTTCCTAGGCTTTGGCTTAGTCGTCGTCTTTCTCGATGAGTCTTATGCACCTGTTATCCTTGTGCGTAAGGCGGCTACCCTACGCCGCCAGACCCACAACTGGGGCATTCACGCAAAGCAAGACGAAGTCGAGGTGGATTTCAAAGAGCTTGTTAGAAACAACTTCGCGAGACCAATTGTGATGTTGATTACGGAACCCATTCTGCTTCTTATATCACTCTACATCTCATTCATCTATGGCCTCATCTATGCTCTTTTGGGTGCATACCCTGTTGTCTTCCAAGGGGTATATGGCATGAATATGGGTGTCGGTGGATTAGCATTTATTGGCCTTATCCTAGGGGAGCTTCTTGGTGGTATTTTCGTTCTCTTAATACAGGGATCTTATGCCAGAAAGCTGGCAGCCAATGGTGACAGACCTATTCCTGAATGGCGTCTCCCTTCAGCTATTTTGGGAGCTGTTGCATTTGCTGGTGGGATGTTTTGGTAAGTTATCCTAGAAATGTTGCAGACGGATGTCTTGATCACTAACTCGACGCCCACAATAGGTTCGGCTGGACCGGATACACAACCTCGATTCACTGGATTGCCCCTGTGAGTTCAGGAGTTCTTACCGGAGCGGGAATTTTTCTGATTTTCTTGCAATGCTTCAACTACATCGTTGACTGCTATCCTTCCCTGTATGATCCGTTATCATTGCCCCAATCGCCATATAGGATATTCACTAACTAAACCAATAGAGCTGCATCCACCATCGCCGCCAATACAATTCTACGGTCGGCCATAGGGTGCGCTTTTCCGCTATTCTCCAGACAAATGATGCAGAATTTGGGGGTGCAGTGGGCTGGAACTATGCTCGGGTGCATCGCTGTCATCATGATCCCTATCCCTGTACTGTTCAGGGTTTACGGACCCTGGCTACGGGAAAGAAGTAATCTGGCATGCTCGTCAGTCTACGATGTTGAAAAAAAGTCCTATGATGTTTGATAATGAAAATATTACAAGTAATGAAGATACCCTCACGCTAATTTCTGCACGATGTACTTCGTGTGATCACAAATTTGGTTCTATGGCAGTCACCCCGCCGCATTTTCTTTTTTAACATCAAGCAAGGCTTCAGTCGGGTAATACAAATGGCTATCTCCACATCAAAAGGACCATTCCGTTCACCAAAACAATAGGACGTTGAGGATGTTGGGGATGTTTGATTGTGTTTGTTTAGTCGACGTCATACCGCTTTCGATTTGATGTCTCAGTTTCTGTCGCAAATATCTTACGAATACTGCATGAAACCGGGTCTACAGTTGACCCGAATGGCTTCCGGGTATACAGTATATCCGGAGGTTAGTCATGTAATTAGAAATGCCTCATAAATAGCAGGAAATAGGGGTGATACAATACAGAGTCATTGATATCTCCAATTGGCCGGATACAGTACAGATCGTGACAGTTTCTCTCCCCACCATCACTCAATCCCTCAATACTACTATGAATACTACCAAACTTCTCTTCGGTCCGAACTGGGATCTCAATAGATGGACCGACTCTGACGATCGCGTTCGCGGCGGATCATCTGTGTCAGAACTCGTCCCTTCCACAAATGGGGTTTTCTTCCGCGGCAACCTCGACATCGAAACCCTTCGCGGTGCCGGATTTGCCTCTCAACGCACGGTTGGACAAGACGAAATTTGGGACCTCACTGGAAATGATGGCATTGAACTCGATGTCGTTCCATCGGACCGGAAACGCTACACCTTCTCCTTGACAGACGAAATCCCAGAGCAAAGACGAGATGGTCGTGAACAAAGTGCTTTGGTCTGGGAATATGACTTTTGCGGCAGCTCTGTTAGGACAACTGTGCGCATACACTGGAAGGATCTGAGAGCAACATATCGAGGGAGGCAGGTGGAAGATGCGAGGTCCTTGGACTTGTCACGCATCAGGAGATTTCGGGTCATGGCCAGAAGGTGAGATTTGGAGATCTCGCTGGGAAGATATAGGTGCTAACTAATTAGTTTCTTTGGGGACCAACATGGTGAATTCGGCTTGGAGATTCGTACAATCGGCCTATTTCGGGATAGCTACCTTGATGATCCCAATCTGTTAACAGAGTCGATGGAGTATAATTTTGAGAAAAGAGAGTCTTCCGAGAAGACCGAAGAAGACCAGGGTTGCTTATCATGCTGTTGCCCATTGTTTTAAAGCTTTACAGGCTTCTCGTTAGAGGCGTGTGAATCATGGATTGGGATTACAAGACCCCATTATGGTTAGGTGGCAGTAGCCAGCCTTGGGATGCACATAACGTCCGCCATAGATCCTCAGCTTGAAGCGTCAGCCCTCGAGATAGACCTCCTTTCTGGGGTCCTGTTCCCATCATGCATGCTTTCCTCCGATAATTAAAGTTCAACCCCTTGGAAGTAAGCACAAGCTTGACCAATGGTATCGCTCGGCGGTCGGTTGTGAGATGTTTGCCGTATCATGATAACGAAGATTTGGGTAAGTTATGTATAGGTGTACGATGGGCTCTCAACATCAGGTGGCCATCTTACCGTCAACATGTTTGAAGTACTGTAGAATACTATGGGCATCCTTCGTGTTTCTCATTCTTGATTTTTGCGCTTCGACACCGCCACTTCCAGCGGGGTCCACTCCCTTTCCTTACAACTCAGAACAGAGGTGCTTTTATCAACGAAGTCAGTGATAGAGTACATTAGTGACAAGCCACGAAGTTCCACGGTTTTTTACGTGTTTTTGACCGGCTCAATCACTGAGTGCCCCTATTTCAAGTGTTTCATTTGCCCTTCTCTCCTGTCTGACCCACTGTGAGTTGAGACCCCGCTTAAGGACAAATTGGACGATTCGTGCGAAATATATATGCCTGTGTACCCCTCTTCTTCCCTTTTCTTCTTCCCCTTTTCCATCAAGTTTACATCTTATTTCCACCTACTTCTACCTTCTACAATATCTTCACAATGGGCTGGTTCAGTGGTGAGTGATGAATTTATGTTTTATTCCTTTGGGTGTACATTGCATTACGATCATCCCTTGCCAAGACTGTCACTAAAGGCTTGGCTACTTTATCTAGACGATTCCCCGCAGCAGGACTACCACCAGCAGTGGAACAACTCTGAGCCCCGGGAGCACGATCCTTCCTTCGTCCATGAGCTGATCGCCGGTGCTGCAAGCTACGAGGCAGCCAAGGCTTACGAGGAGCACTGCGACAGAAACGGTACGCATATGAATCCTGCGGCCGTGCAAGGACCCATGAGACGGGATTCTGACTTTTTTTTTTCCTTATAGGCCAGCCGCAGAGCCACGAGAAAGCCAAGGAGATTATGGCTGGATTTGCCGGCGCCTTTATCGATCGCGAGGTCGAGTCCAGGGGTCTGGATTTCATTGACCGGGAGAAGGCCAAGTACCAGGCTCGCCAGCACATTGAGGACGTGTCCGCCGACCAAGTTGGCTATTAGGCATCCCTTGGGGGATTGCTGTACATATAACTTTTACTTGTGTAGCAGAGCTTTGGTATAGGTCGCTTATCGCACCAATGCCTGTGAGACATCTTCTACAATATATTGGATAAATTGAAATCTTCTTGTTTCGCACCCCTTGCAGCATGCACTTGGTTGTATGACTGCCATGCATGAGAATTTCTGTTTGATGATTTCATAAATCAAATATCGCCAGTCCCCTATGCTCCTGACCCGTCGGAACGGTACCTGAGGCCGTCACGGTAAACCCGAATCTCCTCGGTGGCCACCTGATTCCGAAGATCGCGACTTCTATTACCCGTCATTGCTTGGATTTTTTAAACATTATATGCATTTTTGGACTCTCATCCTCCTTCCTCGGAGGTGATTCTCTGAAGAACCGATAAGCTGGCCACTCCTCCTCACTATGGGAACTAGCCAATATCCCCAAAGGTATCCCAGATTCAATCCGATGTCTTCCTATAAAGCCATGTATCATCAGTCGAACACAACACTTTTGCGATCATTGCATTGTAGTTGGCCTATTTTTACCTTGCCTCTGTAGTAGCCTATCGAATTCTAACGCATGCAAAGTTGAGACTATACGTGATCAAACCGTGAGCTTCTGTGAGTTACAGAAGAAATTATATTTGGTCGCGCTGTTTCTTGCAGTGAACCGCGATTCCAGTGAATGAGCTTTAATCCACTATGATAGGACGATCAAGTCTTGAATGAAAAGCATAGTGTATATCCGTTAAACGCCGAGTAGCCTGAACTCCACAAGTATAGATGCACATATGCCCGCAGTATTAGCCACCGACTACCATGAAGCCCATCAGGCCAATCCAACCAGCCACGAAGACAGCTGTAAGTATGCCAGCACCTGCCCGGTCACCCGTTGTAATGACCGTTATCTTTCCACTCGACGCATTACTGTCGTCTTCACCAGCCGTAGGATTACTGGTGCTGTTTCCGCCAGTTGTCGAAGTGACCGGGGCGGTCTTATTGAAATTAATCATGTTGGCGAGAAATACGTTCGTGGCGCTGATTTCTTCTTCCATTCCAAGCCAACCATCGTATTCTGACTTATACCACCTAACACCACAGGTACCATTGTTATGGCCAGTGCAGGATGCGGCGGCGGCTGCACCGGAGGTTTGCAGCTTTGCTAAAACACTATCAAACGTTGACGGGACTAGCACAGCAGTCAACGCTAGCCACGAGGAGGTGAGTCCTTTGAACAGAATTTCATTGTCGTTGCAGGTCTCCGAGGGCTCGCAGTTGAAGTCTTCAATGATATTGCCTGTGAGGAAGAATGTTTCGAAGGTTTTGTTTAAAAGCCCATTGACCGCGGTCTGCCATTGATCTTGTGTGGTTCCGTTTGTCTATGGAAAAGCTTGAATCAGTAAAAAAGATTTGATAAGAATATCGAATCTCTGGTGATAGAAGATCATGGGGATGGGTTCCAATAGATAGAAAGATTTCTTACATAGTTATACATATAGGCCGCGCCCGCTAAGTACGTGCCGTAGTTATATGTCCACTGAGCATTGCCCTGGGTTGCACAATCATTGTCGACGTTAGTGGAATCGGCGACATTCCATGTCGTGTTACTCAGGAGAGGTGATGAGACCGACCAATCCCAAATCTTGTTAGCCCACTGGAGATAAATCGCATCCCCGGTATATCGAGCTAAGCGTGCAGATAATTGGAATAAGCCACCATTGGAAATAGAATTTTTCATTCCGTAGCCACTCTGGTATGGCCAAATTTGCCAGCGCAAGCCACCCCCACATGAGGACGTATCCCATCTTTTGACCTGGGTATTGAATACACCCTGTGCTAGTGAAAGCCAAGAGAACCCAGTTGAGCGGTCCGGAAATCCGTATTCGGCAGCTGTCATAGCTGCAAGGCCCCAAAACATTTGATCGTCATTTCCCTTGAAAGCGTATTAGACACTTTTAACACTTCAGTGATCTAGGATGCCTCACCAGGTAAGAGCTGTAGTTGCTTGGCATATAGTCTCCGCCATCGCCTGATTGCCATTGCAGACCAATACTAAGTTCCGAGTTATAGGTAGTGTCGCCGGTGAAGTGCCAGTATTGGAGGAGTGCAAGGAAGAGAGCAGATCCCTCCCACCATTTATCGGGAAATGCTCCGGGAATTTGACCGGTTTCATTGCCATAATACCAGGTCATCATGGAATAAACCGAAGTACTCGCCGCATCTTTGATAGACTCTAATAAATCGAAATGTCAGCTCGCTCTTTGCATGATATCGCCGCAGATGCCCAGGCCAACGTACGTTCATCGCTGATGTCGAAATTGATAGCATGTGCCACGTTAGACAGTAGCAGAGTGGCGAGAAAGCCCCGACAAGAGAAAGCCCTAAACCAATGCATTTTGTGAAGATGATATATAACCCATATAAAGGTAGTCGACCAATCAGACGAGGTCCATAGGAGTAAAACAAAAGACAATTGTGAACAAGAAGCCTAGCGAGAAAAGAAGAGAAAAAAGAATCAAATAGGCGAGAAAATCCCAGGTAGAGCCATTTTCGTAACTACACATGGCGATTTAAATATAGCGTCAGGGGCATGCGTAATCCTCGGCGCTAGCGTCGTCAACTCTTTCATTGTGGGGTTCCAAGATTGCACTTTTCGGAATCGCGCGGCGAACGAGTAGTGGAGTCCGCCAAGCTCAATCAAGCTTTTAGTGTCGTGTTGATCGTGTATATAGGCAATTCTTTGATTGTCGATCAGGCACATATCGGATCCCGGGCAAATCTAATCCTCCTGTTTATCTTCGGTTTTTTCCTTTCCCTACATTCTGATCATTGCTTTAGTTTGGTTTTCTTTACCGTTGGCAGAGATTTTGGCGCCGAGTATCGGCGTCTATTGAACATTTCACTCCGGGCGCTTCTTCTAGATTCATGTACCTTGGAGCTTTTCGATATCTCTAAGAAGCGGTCATACATATATGATAACTCCGTCGCATGTCATCTTGACAGTCAGGCATCCACACAACTAAAATGGAATCTAACCTATATCGCCACATACAGGCACATGTATGAAGTACCACATATGGTCAAGTAAAACATTACAGGAGACAAGAGGTTCTAATCAACATTACCTGGAGACTTTGATTAACTTGGGTCATACACTTCTGCAGGCACAATCTAACATCTATTGCTATTGTAAAAAAAGAGATAGCCACTTACGGGGTGGATTGGTCAAGCTTTCGCTGCTCCTTGTTGGCAAGCTCCTGTCTCCAACAATATCCCTGCTGGAAAACAATCCACAAAGCAGAGCTTCCAAGCGCCCAAAGACCAGCAATAAACGTTGCTGTCCACCCAATCCCGATTGCCCCGATGAGAGGTGATGCCACTGCTGTTGCCCCAGCACCCAGCAAGCAACGAAAGAGATTACTAGCTGCCGCAGCAGTTGCCGCGCTTTGGTAGTGGATGTCCACAACCAGCGTATGCAGTGTGTTGAATGCACTTGTAGTCGTGAGACCAGTGAAAAATAACATCACGAGAGGGCCAGGTAGAGCAGTTCGATACTGCATCACCCAGCCGTAGGCTATAATGCAGAGACTGGCAAAATATATTAATGGGATCGTTATTGCTAGTCGAGCCCGTTCAATGTTGAAGTTTTCAATCTCCTGCTGTCGATTTTTCTGGATAGTCATGCCTTGAAGCCGTGCTTCACGGCGGAAGTTCCAGTCCAACAATCGGCCAACTAACCAGCGAGAGCTGATACTTCCCATGCCCATGGGAAGATAGCACAATCCGACTTGGATGGAGTTGAATCCAAAACGACTGGTCAACTGAGTCGACAGGGTGCTGATCACGGCCATATAGCCTGCATATAATAGTGCACCGTATATGAGGACCAACCCTGTCTCTTTTTGTGTGGCTAGCAAAAGAGCCGAGATCGGGTTGGGACGCTGCTTCAGTTGCTGAATGGTGGTGTAGTCGGCGGTTCCCTGTTCATCGCAAAATCGAGAGCGCCGTACACAAAACGCCCAAAACGGGCGATTCCACGACGCCGGTGGTACAGATCCATTTCCCACGACAGCTCGACATGTCTCGGGGAAAGCAATAAGAATCACAACAAAGCAAACACCCGACATAATGACCAGGAACCAAAAGATCGACCTCCATCCCAAATAATGATCCAAAAGTCCGCCTATGACAGGGCCCAGTGTCGGTCCCAGCGCGATACCAATGCCTGCGTATCCAATATATTTTCCTCTCTCGGCACGAGTCGAAAGATCGGCCATGACAGCGCTGCCTAATGCAACAGTCCCACTACTGCCCGAGGATTGGACGCAACGCAAAATCATCAGGGCGACATAGTTGTTCTGTAATGCAAGGCCAATATTGGCTCCAAGGTATATTGTAAAGGAGATGATGTATGCGGGACGTCGACCATGGATGTCTGAAAAGCTGCCGATGAATGAGGGTGCAAGTCCTTGAAAAATCTATAATTGGTCAGTCACAATATTGTTGCACGTGTTGACTTGAATTACCAAATATGTGGTGATAGTTAGGTAGATCAGTGAAACAGAGACATTCATATCCCTGGAGAGAGAGTCAAGTGCCGGTAGGTAGATGCTGCTCGAAAGTGGTGAAATGAGGGCCGCAAATGAGCCCGCCGCAGTCACAAAAGCCTTTTCGCCATTTGAAAGAATGCTGTAGGGAGGTAAGGATCCATTTTCCGTTTGGACCTCCAAGTCGACTCCTGAGCCTGGCTGGTTGGTTTGAGAGGTGTTGTTCTCAGTATTAGCCTCGTTAGCCACCAGGGGCGGTCGCTTCTCCGTTACACCAGTCTCTTGCATGATACGAAGATAGAGCACATATTTCAAATTCGATACTGACTATATTTTTTATATCAAGCCCAATGGGCCTTTTTGTGCCGGGGGCGGGCCGGGACCGGGATAGAAGTGGGCCACCATAACTTATAGAGTAGAGCTTGCGCTGAGCTAAAAATGCCACGATTACTGTTTAAGGTATAAATCTCAATTTCTATATCAATTTCAAGTGCATTTCATACATAAGAGAATAGGACTGGGATTGACCCTTGTTTTTGCAATATCATGTCTCAGATCGTATTTTACTTGCAGGTGTCACATTGTGGTCCTCCTCTAACTTTACTGGATTATTGATGGATATGGAAACAATGCCACATTCGCAGTAAGATTCTCCCTTAGGAAATACTTGTACTATAGGACAATGCCCAGGCTGAGATGCCAATAATTCCCATGCTTCCAATAATTACAAGTGCAATCACCGCGTCACATCTACTGAAGGTTCTTCTCGAAAAAGTCAGCTAATTGAGAATATCTGAAGACAGTTAGCAATCACTTGAATGTCAATGTAAAATTCAAAGTCTCTCACCCTCGTGTGTATTCAGCTCGACTCTCCTCTCCATCCAAGTCCGCACGAGCACCCATCCATCCGTGCCACATGGTAGAGTATGTCTCAACATGTCCACCTGACTCATTGCTTTCGATAACTCGGGCGTAGCCAGTGACTGCATCAGCAGGCTCGTCTTTCGATGCCAAAATAATGTGCGGAATGGAAAGGGGGGCAGCATCAGCCACATCCATGCGTCTGTTACTCATCAATCTCTCGTCAACTGCCTGTCAAATGTGAAAGCGTAAAAGCGAGGAGCAAATTACATACCCTGGATGCACCTGTCCCGAGGCAGCAAAAGGACTGTTGGCACCTGAGGCTAATACTGTGACCTGTAAACAAGCGTGATTAACAAAAGTTCCATTCCAAGCTTTCACCAATTGCAAGCCCTACCTTCCCGCCCCAGCAAAGACCAAAGGCACCCCATTTCCCCACAGATGGGAACCGAGCCTTGTATTCTGGGATTGCCTCCAAAAGAACCGTCGCATTTCGCGAGAATGACGCTTTATGTGCCATAAATTCTGCGATTATCTGTTTCTTTTCCTCGGTATCGGCCGGAACATACTCCGGCTTGAGCGCATCGCCCTCGAAGAAGTCAGGAACCAACACCACAGCGTTGAGGCGCACGGCGAGAAGGTCAGCACCCTGAAGGGTCTGGCTGGCGAGCCCAAAGACATCATAGAGGTCGACTATGCCCATCTTTCCGTCCGTGTTTCCAGTCACATCTCATCACAAACAGTCAATTATTGCATGCGTAGATAAGCTGGAGACTCACATGTTTTGAGGCCCGCAATGGTCTCATAATGACCCTTGGGGGAATACCCCTGCACGGTAACAGGTGCAATCGTACGGCAGGCTTCACAAGACATGATGAATATATGTACGAGTTCAACCCTAAAGGACACGATACGATATTTATGGGCGAATCCCCTATTTTCCGGGACCGGGATTGTCAGATCCACTACCCCACTTGATCATTGCAGCTGAACTTCAACGTGAGGCATATATTTAGGTAAGTGCTCAAAGCTCTATATTTCCTATTTTGGTACTACTTCAATCGGAGACCTCGGAGATGGTGTACCTAATATCCAGTTCCATAGAAGACTAACAGTCAAGCTCATAGGTCAAACTCCCCCCCCTCCACCCTTCGGATCTCCCAATGCTTAGTCAGCATGCTAGATCTCCCTCAACTGGACACCCTTGGAAGGGGCAATCATCTCGTCAAAGTATACGGAATCCTATCGAAAACTAACATCACATCAAAGCTTTACTATTTCCATACAAATGATATCAATTCCGGCTGATTCCGCCACAGTGAGGGGTAATCCCTCGTCACTGACAGGCTGTTTCGGGAATCCGGGGTAGCTCCCTTCTCCACCTTGGATTCCTCCACTCGTCACATATCATCCCAAAATGAGAAGTTCATGCCTTTTCCCTACTCTCGCGGTCGAACTTGTGGAGTTGATCGCCAGCTTCCTTGAAGGAGATACCTTACTAGACCTCCGTTTGGTCTGTCGCGAAATACAGAAAAAGACGTTTCATCACTTTGCGCGGCGCTTCTTCTCATCTATCAAGACCGACCTGTCTGATGACAGTCTACGTCGTATAAACTCCCTTTCTCGAAATTCTGAGCTACGCTCTTACGTGCACGGTTTAGCTTTCATGCTTCACAATGGTGTCGGTCGCGGCCTAGTTTGGGAACGGCATCCATGGGGTCCATTATCAGCGCCCTTGGAGGTGGAGGCAATTCGGTCTCTTCGCGACAACCTAATTCAAAATTTGACTAATTGCCGATCTTTCTTTATCTTTTGTCGATATCCAGAGGGCCATCCGGACATGAGTCATGTCACCATCACTGATGCCGTCGCGGTTTTCTTTGCCCTGGTCGTCGATGCTCGTCTGCCTGTCTCCTCCTTCCATCTCATATACGCGAACAAATACTCGCGCACCTTGATCATGGATATGCGCCGATTACCGAAGCTTCTCTACCGTCAACCAGAGTTTAAACTGGTCTGGGGCAATTTGCAGAAGCTGTCTTTGGAGCAGTACCTTACCTTGGACAACTTTGGATTTTTGCTTGAGCTGGTTCTCAGCGCTCCAAACCTCCAGACTCTTCTTCTGAACCTTGGCTCGCATGACTTGGCCTCTGAATTCATGCACGAACTCGCAGAGAGTGCCAATTTCTCCAAGCTGCGCGAGCTTGCATTATTTCGAACATGCCTGCGGGCTCCAGATCTTGATAAGTTACTTGGCATTGCTCGTGGAAATTTGAGTGCACTGACACTATACCATGTCTCACTGGCTCCAGGCCGCAATTGGACATCCTTTTTGAAAAGGCTTAGTACGGGCTTTTTGGCTTTGCAAAGTATCTCACTTTACTATCTGTGGGCCAGTACACCAGCGAAAGGGCTCTTGACTTTTCCAGATCTTCGGAAAACATCTTCGTTCTGCACCACAAGTGGTCAGAGTCTTAACATGTTTTACTCCGAGGATCTGAAAAGTCCTACTGTTCTTGGGATTGAGTATTCTGGATCGAAGATGCCACACGTGTTGAGTTTATTACAGACAACTACTGAGACTTCTTGATCATACTTGGTCAGGGCGGCACGCATTCCAATCACTTATATGTATTATGTCTTGTATTCTTCTTTGACTTTTTCGACTGGCGTGTTTTTCGTCTTTAATCCGCGCTCTAGTTGAAGGTTCACGTAACATTTGCGATGGCGTTGCAATGCAATCTTTCATTCACGCCTATATATCAACTAACTTCCTTTTCCCGCCGCTAAATGTTCAATTTATAGGATGCTGCCATCATAACATGGTAATTCCATCCTATCTCAGCGAAAACTTCAATTTCACATTATTGTTGCATATCCGCGCCCTTCAGTGTCATCTTTTCGGTATTTTGACCAGATACTTCAATTATAGTCTGTTGCAAATTCCCTTGAAACGCAACTGTCACACGAAGCTTCTCTTTTGGCCAAAGGGTGATATAATTATCACCAGTAGACTGGTGCAACCTCTGCATTTTCGGATGCATGAATAGCATTCAACGGAATGAAGAATGCCGGCACCCCGGATTCATTTTCCAACTGGACCTCTGCCTGAGTTAAGCCATATGCAGAAGTCGACTTTTGGGGACGCAGCAATACCTTGATATTGGCTGCTGGTAGGAATTGAAGCTTCGTATAATTTGCGAACTTTGTGACCGGGGTGGTGAAGAAGTTAGACTTTGACCAGTCTAAAACATCCGTAGTTTGAGAGACCCAGTAGACATCGCGACTGATGACCAGGTCGGACTCTGGATCACAAAGTATTAGGCGCAGAAAGGCAACGTCTTGGATTGTGTGGAGTGCATCAACTGAGCTCACTGGCTTTGCTGAATGAGGGGTCGTAGTGATGTTGACTTTGGTGCCCGATAGCTTGTTTCCTTGTGTGTTAATGACATCTATCAAAACCTGTCGGTGTCCTTCATTCTTGACCGAGTGTTTGATGAGCCAAACAGTCCGACTTTCGTAATCGTAAGCAACATGTTCCATGCGTGCACCGACTTTTGCGCCGAAGTAGGCTGCCATGGGACTGAGGTAGTAGTCGAACAACTGCCAGTGCAGATTTGGCCAAGCACTATTCAGCATCCAGTAAATCAGACCTGTGGCGGGTCGGGTGGCATTTTTTCCTCGTTGAGTAAGCTTCGTATTGGGCCCGCGTAGCCTCATAGTCCGCCATTTGACATTTGAGAACGTAGTCATCCACGCTCACTGGTGTGCCGTAACAAGAGTAAAGAGCCTTGTTGTAAATGGACCGATCGTAAAAGTGAGAGTCATAACGAGACATGTGATACAACTCTGCATCTGGTTGTGTCCACGGACATGAACTTCTTCAGACTGCGCATCTCAGGGGTTCCAACTCCAGCGCCCAGTTCAGATCCAAATCCAAAGGCTGCCCCTTCTTGGTCGCCATACCAATAATTCGGTGGCACCCAATCGTACGGACCGTTCATTTTCATTCCAGACGGCCCTAGAGCCTTCGGGTAACCACGCATGCTGGCCGATGCAATGACTGGGTTGGACCAATCCATACCTTGAAGAGCATCTAGGTATACTTCTGTAGCTTGGTCATCCGGCCAATAGTCTGAGCCCAGTAGGAATCCAAGCATCGAGGGATGAGCTTGCATCATTTCGACCTCATGTAACATTGATGCTCTCGCAATGAGGTAATCTGGATCCTCCCATTTGATGCCGTCGGCATCCTCATTGTACTAAGCTCATACTGTCAGTGCATTAGGTTTTCAAATGAGATTGCGGTCACGTACTTCCCAGCCTTCCCATTTATCACAGCATTCCCACCCTGCCAAGACCATCACTCCCATGCGGTCTGCTAGTTCGTATAGTTCCGGGTGCTCCTGCTTTCCCTCCAATCGAACAGTATTCATTCCCATGTCTAGCAGGTAAGTAAAGATTTTCTCAACTCTGTCCTCATCAAATCTCATGAAGATATCTGGTCCATAACCGGCTCCAATGACTTGGAAAGGCTCTCCATTGACGGTGAATTCAGTGTCATTGAACCCGTTCAACTTTGATAATACATGTCGGATCCCAAATCGTTGACTGCTGGAACGGTCTGACACCAGTTTTCGAGGTCCCTGGATGATGGTATCTGCCTGGATTGTATACAAGGGTTGCCCGCCCCAGCGAGCAGGCCACCAAATGTCAGGGTACCGAATCGAAGCTTTGATCGAAACTGTCCTTTTTTCATTTGGCTTCAAATCAAATGTATCGCAGATCTGAGCTGCAGCGGAGCCATCTCGTCCTGTAACAGTTCAGTTCGGAAGGTGACATTCACAATCTCGGTAGGGGGTTTCGTAAAATCAGTCAGTATACGAAATGGAGACATGGAAATCGATCCGGTCTGAGATAGCTCCACGTTTCGCCAGACTCCCGTGCCGTTGTCAGCTGGGTAGGGGTTCCAGTCCACGAACCCCATGGCAAAGTCACGAAGATAATTAGTTGGAAAGGCACGAATAAGAATGCAATTGTCGCCTTCTTGAATATGGTCGGTAAGGTCGTACTGGAGGCCACCGTAGGATCCTTGTTGTTGGTCACTTGTTGCAATGAGAATCCCGTTCAAATAGATGTCCGCCTTGGACGTGATTCCATGGGTCTTCAAAGTAAAATACTGCCCTTCTGATGGGCTCATTTTGAACATCTCTCGATAAATCCACGGGGATTCGAAGGAAGTATCGCTCATCGACTCCATGTTGTCGGAATAAAACATTTCTGTTTCGTTATAGACCCCATTTTCCAGAAGACCAGCCATTACATTACCACGAGCACTGACCCGATGCCATGAAGAGCTGTCTGCTCCCGGTGAAGACAACGTGGACAAGTCGTCCGGCACCTTGAGCGCCGACTGGAGGTACCATCCAGGTATGTCAGCCACGTCGCCAGCAGAGGTGACGAGGAGGTCTGAGACAACGTTTGCTGCATTGACACTGCCACTGATGACGACTGGTATTAAAAGTGCACCCACAATCTTCAACATACTCCAAAGTTGTTTGGTTTGCTGCAATCTGGGAGATAATTTCGCCTGTATCTCTGGGTGACACGGTCTCTTATATGAATGCTATTGCCCAAGACAAAGCAACATTGTGTCATATAGTTCACGAGTTAATACGACCGTGGTATGGGGGGATTTGGTCTGCATGATCGCTCTAACGACCTGCTCAGCCAGGACTAGTTAGCACGGGAATCTCGGTAAACATGGAGATTCCCCACTGGGATGACCGGAGGAACTTCCATTTGGGGTGACTAAGGGCCTTGGCAGGGCCTGATCAAATGATGATCAGAAAACCGATGACCTCGACATCCAATGAAGCGGTGATATCTTGAGACTGGGGAAATCTGGATGTACCTGTTTGTCCTGTTTGTCTCGCTTAGTGTGAGTATTAGGTAATCTCTGAGCCTGAATTGCTAGGCCTATACCCCTTCATCCCAGCAAGAGCCTCAAAAAGTCACGGTAGTTATCTTCGTTGGCCCCTACAATATAGCTATTTCAAATCCATGCGAAGCTAAAATATATCGGACTGGCTCACCAAACTCGGAGAAATATTCCATTGAGCGAGTGTAACTGAAGAAAATAGTAAAAGCAGGGGGAACCAAGGCTTCCAAGTACTTAAGTTACTAGTTTAGACTAGTTAGTAACCATTTACGGACTATTTGCGGGAAAAGAAAAGTGGTCGCGGCAAAGGAGTGATAGTCGCGACATAGTCGTGAAATACCACGTTGAACTACTGGTTCAAACACTCAATTAAAATCCTCAATACTAAATCAAATCCCTTTTTTATGAAAACCATCGCTCCAGTAGAAATCAGACTAAAATCAAGTGATCTTCATCAACAGGATAGGCATATAGATTTCATATACATCATTCACTTCAGGGCTGAGATTTAGTCGAGCTTACTAATTTTCTGGCGGCTTCCCCTGCTCAAGGTTGCTGGACCCATCACAGGGATGCGGTATGCCTGGAATTTGACCCCCTGCAACTCCCTCTAAGACTCTAACAATATGATTGTACTTTCTCTACGCCCAGGGATGCAGGTTACAACGGAATGTGTTGTTGCATCCCGTTTGCGGCCACACGCTCCACCCTGTCTTCACTCCGTCCGACCATCTATGATTTGCCAATCTCTCTCCACGGATCAGATTGATTCGTTTGACAGCTGCTTTGGAATGCCACGCCGATCCAACGTGGAGCGTCCATGCAGAATCCATGGAAATGACGAGCCAAATGTTGCACTCCCGTCAGCCTCCTAAGCTATTTTCGGAGACTCTCATCAGTACAGCCTGATGGAATTTCTTGATGCAGCCAAATGTCGAGGATACCCTGCAGATTCCCCCTGTCGGAGGATGATCTGAGGACCACGCCTTGTTACCATGCCAGCGCTCCTGGGATGCTTGGAATGTGGCCATCCGATCCACACATCCCCCTCTCGCTGTTCTGTCTCGCACAATCTGACGTCGGGTGGTGATTTCCTCCATCTTTTCATATTCTTCACCGAGAAACTGCTGGGAATCATCTTCTCCCCCAGTCTATACTTCGCACAATCTTCGTCAGTGTTCGTCGACCTCTTGAACATCCAACTGCATCAAGATTGACAGAGGTCAATCACCGGATAATCCGGCCAGCTTCCGTGTGCGATTGAAGCTAAGCATTTTTGCTGGGGGTAGTTCAATTACCTTCGCTATCAAGCCGATTGAAACATCAGCCGCCATGCGCGTGTTTTCTCACACATCACGGCCCTCATGGATGGGTTTGCTGACCGCCGCTCTGATGGGCACTTCAACTGTGAAAGCAGTAGAGCTGGACCTGGATGATGGAGGTAAGTGTTCTATGGTTCTGCCCGTATGCAAACACTAATCAGGATCAAAGACTCTATCAAAAAGGCTGCCAAGGAGGTTGCAACCAATATGATGACATACTACACCGGCATGAACCCAGGTGACAATCCAGGAAACTTGCCTGATCCCTACTACTGGTGGGAAGCCGGTGCGATGTTCAACGCCCTAATCGACTACTGGTTTTACACGGGCGACGATACCTGGAACGACATCACGATACAGGGCATGCTTTGGCAGGCTGGGGACAACAAAGCATTCATGCCGAACAATCAGAGCAAAACAGAAGGCAATGACGATCAGGTATTTTGGGGCTTTGCTGCTATGTCGGCCGCAGAGCGGAACTTTCCCAACCCGCCAGAGGATCAACCGCAATGGCTTGAGATGGCCCAGGCTGTGTTCAACACTCAAGCTCCCCGCTGGGATCCGTCTTCCTGTGGTGGAGGTCTTCGCTGGCAGATATTTACCTGGAACAATGGCTATAACTACAAGAACACGATCTCCACAGGCGGGTTTTTCAACCTTGCTTCCCGCCTGGCTAAGTATACCAAAAACGAAACGTACGCAGAATGGGCTGAAAAGGCCTGGGACTGGACCGCCGATGTCGGATTCATGACCCCCGAGTATCGCTTCTGGGATGGAGCGAGTGACTTGAGCAACTGCACTCCCATCAACCAGATTGAATGGACTTATAATGCCGGGGTCTACTTACTTGGTGCTGCCAATATGTACAATCTGGTTAGTGAAGTCTCTGCCTTCGGCGGTGTCGACAAAATCTAACATTCCAACAGACCGAAGAACCCAAATGGAAGGAACGCACCGAGAAGATTATCGAGTCTTCAAGCGTCTTCTTTGCTCATGACCCGCCTGACGTGATGTACGAGCGAGCCTGTGAGACGGTTAGCACATGCATGGTTGATCAGCGTTCGTTCAAAGGGTATCTTGCACGCTGGATGGCTCAAACCACCCAAATGGCACCCTTCACGTATGACAAGGTCATGAAACGATTGAGGGCTTCTGGTCAAGCAGCTGCAAAAACCTGTACAGGAGGCTCCAAGGGAACGACTTGTGGTCTCAAATGGACAGATCAGAAGTGGGATAAGACGAAAGACTTCGGTCAACAGATGGCCGCCCTCGAAGTGATTCAATCAAACCTGATCACTCGTGTATCGGCTCCTGTCACCGATGATGACGGTGGCACGAGCAGGGGAAACCCGAATGCTGGTTCTAAGCCTCCTAAGACGGTTCCTCCCGCACTGGCCTACTCGATCACCACAGCTGACAAGGCCGGTGCAGGTATTCTCACTGCGCTTGTGATGATAGGTATCGGTGGGTCTGCAGGGTGGCTGATTTGGGATTGACTTGCCTCATGTTTTGGTCTCGTACGTCTTTGTTTCTTGTTTTTATATTTCTTTGTTTTCCTTTTCTTCTTCTTCTGTCTTGACTTATATTTTGCAAAATTGGAGACTTTGGTGGTGATTTTACATGGCTTAGTCGGTGGTATATTGTGAATAAGGATTTGATCTAACATACAATCATTCTTCCCAACTTACGTTGCCGTTGTAGTCCAATGTAATGTCTCCTTGCTAGACAATTGCCAAGCTGTCCCCGCATCTCTACGGAAATACGGAGTGCAAGGCCACTGACGTGGAATATCAAGTGAGGGGTTGGCAACGGATGGTTTCCGCGTACTTCTGCCTCGGTGACACTTCGGCTATTAAACTATTGCTTTTTCTATATCATATATGCCTCAGAGCTCACTAACAGTTTCTTCTGTGCTTTTGAGAAACTACTATATACTATCAGTATGGGTTCAATCATGGGGGATTCCCAGATCATAATTCCCACCCACTGTAAAGCGGGAGTCGTAGTCAATGAAGGGCCTGATTTTCATGTCGAGGTACAAATGGTGCCCGTCCCAGAGCCAGGTAAGGTTTGAATACCTTAGGGGAAGAGCCTCTATCATTCCAATCCATGTCTGACATGAAATCCTTGTATAGGTCCAGACGATGTTTTGATCAAGTTGAACTACACCGGCCTGTGCTCATCCGACATTCATATGATGCAGGGCGACTTAGGGGTCCCTCCCATGTCCACATTCGGCGTTCGATCCCCAGGCCATGAAGGTGCCGGTGTTGTGGTTAAGATTGGAGCCAACGTGACAAGATTTAAAGTGGGCGATAGAGCCGGGATCAAACCGATCATGGATACCTGCGGTTCCTGCGGCCATTGCTGGGATGACAAGGAGACGTACTGTAAGGCGGCGATTCACACTGGGTTGATGGTAGCAGGTAAGTTTAGTTCGAATGGTCTCGGTTTGAGATGTTAGCTCATGATACCAGGCACGTATCAGCAATATTTGGTCTCACCAGCCCGTTATGCGTCACCAATTCCCGATGGGGTCTCCGATGAAGTCGCCGCTCCTGTGATGTGCAGTGCCAGCACAGTTTATCGATCCCTGATTGAGTCAAACCTTCGTGCGGGGGCATGGGTTGTTTTCCCTGGAGGCGGCGGCGGCGTCGGTATCCAAGGTGTTCAGCTAGCCAAGGCAATGGGAATGCGTCCGGTTGTGGTGGATACAGGAGACGCCAAGCAGAAATTAGCCCTGGAGATGGGCGCAGAGGCCTTTGTGGATTTCAAAGAAGTGGCCGATCCCACTAAGGCTGTGATTGAGATTGCGGACGGCATCGGTGCGCACGGGGTGTTCGTCACAGCCCCGGCTGCATATAAAAATGCTATCTCTTTCACTGGCGATCGGATTGGAAGCGTTGTGATGTGCATCGGTCTCCCTCCTGTCGGATCAATGACACTAGGTGCCGATCCCTGTGCGTTTGTTCTCAAAAATCTCACCATCAAAGGCACCCTTGTTGGTAGCCGGAGGGACGTGGCCATGACATTGGATTTTGCGCGACGAGGGATGCTACAGCAGATCAGCGAAGTCTATCCAGTGAATCGTATGCCCGAGGCTGTCGAAAAGCTTCGCAAGGGACAAGTGGCGGGGCGCCTTGTGGTCAACTTTAACTGGGAAGAATAATGATGCTGCAAAGTTTCTCCAATATATATCAGCGTTTTGTATTGTCCTCGTTAGTATTTCGTGGTTTTCGCTCTACCGTGTGCAAGCCCCCCATATAAGGGAGAATATAATCAAAACTACAATAGACTAAATAAACAGACAACAAAGAAGCAAATAACGTTAACATGCAAATGATCGGGTATGGAGAAAAAGGAAAAATAAAAAAAGAATGGACTCGCGGGGAATCGAACCCCGGACCACTCCCATGCTAAGGGAGTATTATACCACTAAACCACAAGCCCAGTCGATGGAAAAAGGCTTCCAATTTATGCTACATGAGCCAGGACAGTGTTTATACCTATCCCAACTTAACTTATTTCGTCCAGTGACTGTCCCAGGGAGCCTTTGAGTCTAGTAATTTTGTACTTGCCTAATACCGAGGAGATTTGTGTTTCAACCAAATAGAGCCCCAATTTTACGGCGATCGGCTGGATCATCTACGTTTATGTCCGAGATCCTGCTCAGGAGCGGCAATAACCGTGCACGGAACCATTTCCGGCTCAGTTTCCCCCAATATATTTTGGCCATCTTTTAAAATCTCCAGGACTACAAGCTCAGAGCACATAGAATCTAGAGCCCGACCGAAAATATGGCTTCCTATCTCGTAACCGGCTCCTCGCGGGGTCTAGGATTAGCTCTGGTCGCTCGTCTGGCAAACTTGCCCAAGACTGAAGTGGGAACGATCATTGCTACCGCTCGCCAGGACAACTCTGCTCCACTCACAGAGATTGTGAATGCTTCATCGGGTCGAGTGAAGATGCTCAAGCTGGATGTCACGGAGATCGCCAGCGTGGAAGGAGCAGTTAGAGCAGCAGAGCGCAGCCTGCAAGGGAAAGGACTCGATGTCTTGATCAACAATGCGGGACTGATGGATTGGTCGCCAACAGGGCTTGAAGGAATGTAAGTGAGTCGGATTCCATTGAAAGGACTTTATAATACTCATTTGACAGGGACAATCTCAACGACATGTTCCACGCCAACGTCACAGCGGCTCATCTAGTGTCCCGCGCGTTTCTTCCACTTCTTCGGAAAGGGAACAGAAAAACAGTTGTCAACATGTATGTCAGGTCTCATACTTTCAGCGGCAAACTAACAGGATCTTAAGATCGTCAACTCTGGGGTCTATCACCATGGCTGATGCGTTCAAATCCATGCCGGTCCCGGCCTATAAAATTTCCAAGGCAGCATTAAGCATGCTTACCGTGCAGTATGCTCATCAATATGCAGATGATGGCTTCACATTTCTAGGAATTAGCCCTGGTGTAAGTCAAGATATCGTGTTCATTTCCCACCGCGTTGCTGATATAATCAGTGGCTCCGCACCGATCTCGGTGGCTCACGGGCAGATCTCCCTGTTGAAACAGGTGCCGAGAAGGTAGTGGACATCATCCAAAAAGCAACCCCCAAGCAGAATGGAAAGTTTGTGAACATTCATGTCCCCGGATGGAAAGAGGGACAAGGCGCAGACCGCGCAGATCAGTATGATGGGAACGAGATCCCTTGGTAAGAAGTGTGAAGATCATTGAAATTTGAAAGTGTTGTAATATTCCATACTACTTCTTCGCAAGAGCACACCGATTGGGAGAACGACTGTAATTTACCATTTACATGTTCAGTCAATGAACTGAGGTTGATTGGATTACTTGAAGCTCTTCTTTCTATGGAGGTCGATCTCTTGAGGCAGAAATGTGACTATGCTGCATGACATCGAATCTCGTGGCTAGAAGAAAGTGACGGCGTCCGCCTTCCAATCTAAGCCTTCTTCGGCTGTCGAGATTTAACAAAATCCACCAGATCAAAGAAGCTTTTCTTATAAGATCGCTCCTGTGTTGTTCGATTGACCGCTTGGATGCCAAACTGCTGGCTATAGTCCCCGAACTCCCAATTGTCGACAAAGCTCCAAGCAAGCGCCCCCATTACATGCACCCCGTCTTCATAAATCGATTTGAGAATCTCAGACATGAAGGAGAGATAGTAGACGCTGCGGGGGGAATCAAATAGTTGATCAGACAAGTCCCTGCTTGCTTCTGCGTGAACCGGGAATCCAAATTCGGAGACCAGGATTGGGTGGCGGAAAGTGTTCCATAGATAAAAGAGGTACTCTCGGAAATGTGTTGGTGTGATATAGACGTAGGACTGAGAGCGGTAACCAATGTTCCACCCGTAAACATTCTTTGTCTCTTGGTTGACACAATATGGGAAAAGCGAGTTGGAGGTTGACTTGTTAGAAGCGCAAGCTTCAATCCCTTCGTCTGCAGGAGACACCACCGTAGCGGTATATGGGTCGATTCCGAAAAAGTCAGATGTTCCTTTGATATAGGCTAACTCGGAATCGTTCAATGGCTTGGCCCCGGGAAGAGTTTTCAAGACGGATTTAGGGTACTGCTTGCCCAAGAAGATTGGATTGGCGAAGAAACCAAGTTGCATCTCTTGGAAGCGATCAGCTGCCAGCACATGGCTGGCGTTTTTAGGGTCTTTCGGCACTCCGAAGTTGTCGTTGAACTTGATACCTATTCTGCCTTTAGCCTTCAACTCCTCGTGGTAGAAGTGATAGACCTGGGCATGTGCCTTGACAACGTGGTCAACGCCCTTGAAATTGAATGCATAAAGAAGAGGCTCATTGAAAGTGACCCAAATAGGAACACGATCTGCGTAATGTGCGAGCAGCACCTAGGAAGTGAACTAAATCAGTATTTCACCCTCGCAAAAGATGAACTTTTGACTTCATACCTTTCCATAGTTTACAAACGCGTCAACAAAAGTTTCATTTTGATAGCCTGCATTGATGTAGCCAATATCAGGACGTATCGTGTAGTTTTCGCTGGCGCGGAACATCAATGGGCTATCAAAGTGAAGCATAGTGACCACTGGCTGCAATGGAAGTTAGAAAAAAAGCTCGACTGATATTTCTTTGAAACCCCTTACCGTCATTCCCGCATCCAGAACTGCAGTAATCAAATCATCATAATGGTCAATAGCTTGTTGATTAACCGGTGTCCCTGGTAGAGCAAAGGGCAGAATGCGGGTCCACGGGATAGTGAAGCTGTAATATTCCACGCCCATGGCAGCGAGTCGCTGAATATCTTGCTTGTACAAGAAGTAGTTCTCGTTGGTGACGTAGTCCTTTGGCTTGTTGCCTGGTGCCAATTTTTCCAGCAGCGAAGGAGATCGACCTTCCAGTGCGACTGCACCTTCAATCTGGGCTGCACTTCCTGCAACTCCAAACACGAAGTCTTTGGGGAAATTGTAGCAGTCTGTAGGTCCGAAGTAGTCCCGCGGTGGCAAGACCAGCTCACTGCTGGGCACTGGCGTAGAGCTGACGGTCGTCGAGAACAATCCAGTGGTAGTCTAATACGGTTAGCTGTAACGTCCCTTAATTCATAGTGTAATGAGCGTGTCTCACGTAGTCTTCAAGGTCTGCCTGTAACCACATCGAAGACCACGCAGCTTGTCCATATGGGTCATCGGTGTCAGTGGCACTTATGACCGTTTGTTCTGGAACCCAACTGCCCCATGTCGAAGTCGACCAGGTAGTAGTCAAATGCTTGGCTATATCTGTGTAGGCAGGGGCATATGTCCTCGTGGTCGTCGGAGAAGGAACCGAGGTCGCGTATCTTATACTTGGATTAGCCAATATCGACGCGCATCAACATGTGAATCACTCACCGAACCGTTTCATTCAAAGTGTACGAGAACGGCTGGAAGTGATACTTCGGAGTACTTTGCTTTGTACATTGTGGTCGAGCGGCATATCCTGTTGTTGTCAGGTATAGCTCCTGGGCCTCAATGGCCACAGCGAAGGCTGTAAGAGAAAGGATTGACACCCGCATTGTTATCCAAGCTCTATAATTTTCTAGACATGGTCAGGGTTAAATACTCAATATTACCGTCAAAATTATCATCCCCCGCTTTCGGTAAGTCGTAACAAAGTGTACCGAATTAGCCCATAGGTAAAAGGGCAGAAGTATAGCGTCAAACTCAAATTAAATTGCCTGAACAACGTGCCTAACGCCACCTCACGGGGAATAGCCAGATAGAGTGACGATCGACAGGCCAAGGTCGAGGTCAAACCGGTCCAGTATGCGGTTGCACATGGGGTCCCCAATTTCCCCACATGGCGGGGAGCAGATGTAGACCCGAGGATATATTCAGGGACACCAGCTCCATATGACCCCGAGGATTACCCGATACGTCCTGTAGGAGGAGTACACGGGCTGGAGAGGACCGGAAACAGGTTACCCTCTAGCATCGGTCCTTCTCCAAGTCAAGGAAGAGAGCAATGAGTCAATCTAAGTAGACGTTTGGGAATCATTGGCTATTTCAAAAATATCTTTCACTTCCTTACATTTTTGGCTGTGAGAGTGGGCGCATCGGAGTTTCTTGGCACTGCGGATTTCAAGTTGTGTTTAGTTTGTGGAAGTATTGAGTATTGGATATTACTCTCAAAGGTCTTTCTGTTGGTGGAGGAACTTCTTGCAGAGTAGTCGCTTCCTATGAATTGCGCGGGATCTCAGGAGCGTGGGAACTCGTCAGAGAGTTGGGTATCTATAAGAATCGGAATATATATATGCCTCGACCAAGTGGCGTGGAATGCGAACACGGCTTTGGATTCTAGTTGGGATATCTGTAAGGATCCAACTGACTACAGCAATACTACAATGCAAGAAAACAAACAGAATATAAACCACACAACGCACAACACAGGAATCCATGAAGCTCATAACTGCCTAGTCAATATTCGATCACGTGCCACCTGCGTCACCGATCTCCGTCTTTCTTCCACTTCTCTCCAGACTCTCCAGACTCCTCTCACCCCCGTTGCAGTGGTGTGTTACACCATGGCTGACTCCTTCACTCTGCCTTTGCGCCCTCTTCTTGACGAGCGCGACCGCCCAGACACCCTGCCTGCTGAGATTGCTCAAATCAACAACCAGTGGGGCTCATTTCGCGATGTGAACGAAGATGTTCTCCGGACCAAAATTGCCGAAGAATATAGAGATGATCTGGATGAGGATGAGGGCGACCAGAGTGCATCGGATCTTGACTCGACAGAGCGCTTGGAGCAATTGTACAAGCGACGTAAAGACATCATTGATTTCGCTACGTGAGTCTAATGGAGCTTGGATTGACTTTCTGGAAGGAACTGACAGCTTCTAGGCAAGCACATATGGAGGCCATGTTTGCCGTTGATTTCGTTTCTCTCCTTCTCTCCAAAAACACACCGCGCCAGGCCGAAACTTCCATGTCGGCCTTTCTCAAGCAAATCGCACCTCTTGGCTCGCTCAACGCCGAGGTTGTGAACCCTCCCCCGAAGCCAGATTCCACGACGAAAGATATATCGGCCGTATCGAGAGGATGGCGCATCCAGAACTTCAACGGGGCGGCAAACAAACTTCTCCAAGCTGCCTCCAGGCTTGAAAACGAAGTCGCATCGGAGACTCGATACTGGAATGAAGTGTTGACTGTCAAAGAAAAAGGGTGGAAGGTCTCCCGACTTCCCCGTGAAAGGCAAGCACTTGGCGTGCAATATGGTTTCCTCGAAGGTGAGCTCCCAAATGAAAATTATAGAGACACGTCTCTAATCACGCTGTTTTAGCTACACCCGTTTTCCGTGACCGCGGACTCGCTTCCCTACGACGCGCCGAGAATGGTAGTTTGATACTGGACAAAGGACTGATCCCTCCCAAGGCTCGCTTTGTCCGGGTACGGGTAATGCAGGATGGGCAGCTCGCAGGCCGCTCTAAACCGACCAGTCCCACGAATGACGAACAAACAATCGAGAGTCGAATTTTGCAAGCGCGGGATACACTTTATGAAGAGGAGCTATTCCATGAGCTTGTCCGAGAAGCTAGAGCGACCGCGAACTACGGCGTGACGACCCGCCAGAACCTCATTCGGATCCCCGCTTCTGATAACCTTGAAATTCTGCTGGACCTGGTGGATGTTGATGAAAACGACCTGCAATCTGATCAAGATATCTCACAAGAAGGAACCCGCATTGCAGAAGGCTTGTCCCATACGATCCGCATCTTATTGGCATATGCCCACCGTCAAAACTTGCACCGACGGACCCTACTTCCGCTGCCATTGACCCCGAAGAAACGATCGGTTCCTGAACACCAGCTTTTCCGTCCGGCCCTGGCTTACATCCAGCACATGTCCCATGTACTGTGGCTCCAGTCATTTTTGAAAGATATCTTTGGTGTTCTACACTCGGCCGCCTTGGACATCCCAGCGTATACCAAGCATGTCTTTTCGACAAGAATAGCGCAGACCTCTTCCGCCCCGACAGCTGAGGCAGTCGTTGAAAGGTTCCTGACTCCATTTGAGTCTACTTTCAGCGGCAAATTGTTGACTCCTCGGGGCTCTTTCTCAATCGCAATTCACACCAATCTTTCCTCTCCCTCGTTCGGCACCAGCTTTGATGTGTCATGCAATATGCCCAATTACCCCGATATCAAGTCCCCCGGTCGCCTTTCTCTCAGAGAAGAAGTGCAAGCTGCTATTACGCATCTCTTGTTACTCGATGTTGTCTTTACTACCTCATCTAACAGTCTTCCACCGTCTAAGCCCGAAAAGGACACACAAGAGAATCGCGTCTGGGAAGCAGTTTATCCTCAACATGGTGAGCTTGTGCTATCATCCTCGAACCCCGAAAGACACAGAAAGATCAAGCTTGCCCTGTCCCGTCATGAGCTATCTCTCCAGACGTACACTGTGCGCTGTATTGATGGCACCGGGCGTGGGAAATGGGAGCAACCCTCACAAACCCCCAAGCAATATACCTGGGGGACCCCTTCTGCATCCACACACTCTCTTATGGCGGTTGTGTCCGAGGCATCAAGCTGAACATCGACCCACATCGGGCAGTCCCACCTTAAGCCGAAACCCGCCGGCCTCTTCCATCGACTGGGCTTGTGGTTTAGTGGTATAATACTCCCTTAGCATGGGAGTGGTCCGGGGTTCGATTCCCCGCGAGTCCATTCTTTTTTACTTCAAGAATTTTTGCTCGCAGCTACAAGCGCGAAAGCATCAGGGGAGCATCAGGGGAAGTGGGTCCAGAAACAGAAAAGACTTTTTCCACGAAAATGTCAACATAGAGAGATTCGATACCCTATACAAATTCTACGGAGTTGAATATTGCAATGCAATACTTTTCACAATCATACATGAACAAGAAATATCCTCACATACATCTCCGAGTCCAATGCCGCCAAGCTATAGCTTTGAGCCCAGGGCGCTGACAGCTTCTGAAATAGTCAGCGACCCTTGAAGTCTCTTCCAGCTAAGTCCATATGCAATGGGAAGCCATTGGCTGACATCCTCGCCGAGCATCATCAAAGCAAGCGCCTCACCGCTCATTAAGCAATTTGCCATTCCATAGCCATTGAATGCAGCAGCAATCCACTCATTATCACCTTTTCGTCCTGTCAGTGTGGATGGAAGTCTCCCAACTATTGGAAGACCATCGGATGAGAAGCCCATGATCCCACTCCACGAACCCACCAGGCCCCAGTTTGATTGATCAGTTTTGCCGAAGAATTGTGGCAGTACCGACTGGAGGTGAGTAACAGAGTGCTCAGCCACAAAGGTATCATCGGCAGACACCGACTCCTCGATGCGTGCATTCTCGCCTCCAAAGTAGAAGTACCCTGTCTTGGCGCTTTGTCCCAGATAATACAACCCAGATCCATGCCGCTTCGTTTCGGGATCGTAGGAAGGGGTATAATGGAAGCCCCATGATACAGAGGTGCCTTGGTTTGGCACAGAGTCCTTTGGATCTTGGACCGTCATCGTACCCTTGAAAGGATGAACCAGACCCCTCAGCTTGGGGAGAAGGTGCCCGCTGTACCCATTGGTACAGTGAACCACAGTCCTTGCCCACAGTGGACCGCGAGAAGTGTGCAAAGTATAGGGGAGATCAGTCGTGATGGGCGAGGCGAACGTCGATTTGTGCTCCACAGACTCAACAGGGGTATGTGTCTCAATTGTCAGTCGATCCGGGTATTTTTCCAGGAGTGCTGCAAAAACTTTGGTGATAAGACGATATGGCCAGACTGTTCCAGCCGAGAGAAGAGCCCCTCCAGCTGTACCGTGAATTCCATATTCCTGAAACGATATCAGAGCGAGTGGCATACGAATAGAAAACTATGAGTAGTAAAGACCTACCTGACCTACTGCGTCCGCATCCAGAATGACATACAATCCTTTTTTAGAAGGATGATCCTCTTCCAGGCGTGCAATACTTGCCTTGAAATCTTCAAACTTCTTCGGGGTCAAAAACACTCGTAGTTTCTGCAGACGTTGCACCTCGCTAACTCCCACAGCATCGTACGCTTCAATCAGCTCGTGCATCTTCTCCAAGTTGCGAAACGTGAAATCCACAATCTTCCCTGCTGTTTCTGGTCCATGGGTCTCGGCTAGATGCATATACTCCTCTCCAGCATTGGCGGCCATCTGACCACCATTGCGCCCAGTTGCTCCAGAACAGAGCGTACGAGCCTCCAGAACAGTTACTGTCGCAGTCGGGTGACGTTCTAGGAGCGTCTTGGCTACTGCTAGCCCCGTGATTCCCGACCCAATGATGGCAAAGTCTCGGTCATTGGGGAAAGTCGAGGATTGGACATCGGCAAGAGCATGTGGAATGTGCTGCCAGTAAGACTGAGTAGGGTTGGGTCGCGGCAGGCCTGGATCGGCCGTGACAAGATTGGAGACTGCTCTATGTTAGGGTTTGTGCCCAGTTTCAAGAACGGGGGATCAATTGGGGGAGTGCTACCAAATTTATTCGATGCCATTCTAAGGGGTCAGTCACAGAATTCCTGGTAGGGCAGACAGATAGAATCGAAAAGTGTAAGAAGAAGACTTTATTCCCTGAGAACCATCGAGCGGGGTTATCTTATCTGGATAGACTTGCCCGAGTGGGAATAGATTAAGTCGGTCTGATATTAAACACTTGAATCGGTCTTAAACTGAATATAATCCCACTGTAAGACTAAGATCAATGCAGTCTGCTAATCTACTTCCGAGCTCCGCATTCCCTTGCCACATGGATTGGGGAAATTCCATCTAGGCCGGGGACATTTTAATCTAGAACTATATAATGACTACATATAACAGGGGTCATAAGTGTGTGTACAATGCTATGAAGTATTGAACAGTCTCTAAACGTAAGCCTCGGAGAAAATAACTTATACCGTTTCATATGTGGTTATCGCCCTACTTTGGCCTCTCTTTGTCCACGTCTTTTTTCACCCATTTTCGAGTGCCTCGGGTTCATCATTAGATTGTATCAAAATGGGGGTGTGACTGTATGCCGGAATGATGTTCAAGCTCATAGATGATCTCATAGGACATGCAAGAATCTGAGCTGTCTCGGATATGCAGCTCCTTCCAGTTCGTGGTATGTGAATGGCGTAACTACATTCCGCATAGCATTCCGCCGCAACTCATTAGGACCAAGCTTCTCGGACAAGACCAGGAATGTGAACCTTGGTTGTTGAGACACGAGTGCAGTTGGTAGGAGAGGTTCGATATAATAATCCGAATATCCCACCCTCTCTTCCATCTAAGGCCTTCCTCATTACATTCAATAATCTCATACCTCACCATGAAGTTCTCTTCTGTTATTCTAGCTCTCTTTGCTCTGGCTACTACTGGCATTGCCCAGAAGACCTGCACCCCCAGCTTCGATTATTGCTCTGATGTGTTGATTAAGGACAAGGGTACTTGAATTTTACCACCTGATAGTTTACCCCATGCTAATCAAGTAAGTAGGCTTCACCGAGGCCGATCTCAGAGATGTTCTCAAGGGAACCGATCTGGAAAATGAGGATCTGGAGAATGTTTTGTTCCATTGCAAAAACCCCGGTGATGTCGGTCACCCCAAGCTGTGCAAGAGTGGATGCAAAGACCCCGCGACTGAGGGTAGCCACTCATGCGACGCGTAAGTCGTGAGATTAGTGTTAGAAATCGATGCATAACTGACAACGAAGCAGCTAAATCATACGCCTATGAGAAACGAACGCATGGACGCACACTGCATACAGTGGCAATACTGAGGCCTGAGCTGCTATCTTCACTTAAAGCCTAATTACAGATCAAATCAATAACCACTTATTAATGAGTTCATATGTAGATCCCAAGAAGCCAGTATGAAATTGGTCGTAGACGGAGACCATTCAAGACGGAAAAAGAATCCGCAAGACGACCATATTGACGCTCAAGCCTACGACTACAGAATATTCATTCCTTCACATCCTTGATTTGATAACAGCGAAATGCGGCACTGGATTGCTCTATAAATCAGGGTTTAATGGAAGGTATTGAAGATTATAGTTGTATGGGCTGTTAATACTTTGAAGTAGAACTTGAGTGTTGTAAATAACAGTTCACCGCCAAAAGCCCGAAGGCCTGTGGAGCTGGAGTATATTTGATGACTGATTGGCGGTTACAATAGGGTTGCGCGTGAGAAGTCTCAGTTCTATGACGCCAAAGATTGACCGAGCTTGACGAGGGACTGGCGATGCCAGGGGAGATACTCATTCGCGCGATCAAACAAGCGGCAAGATTGGGACCAGATTCAGCTCGGAGATCGGTTAATTCGTATTTTTCGCATTTTTGAGTCGAACACCCCTCCACCGCGCCGTTTGCGGTTCAACCTCGCTCTGCACTACAATTCGGCAAGCAGTAAGAGTAATGCCTCTCAATTGGAGGCTGAATTAAGCAGAAGAATCCCAGTTTGAAGGTGGCCTACTACCAGGGCGATTTGACGGCTGCTGCTGCTGTTGAAAACTGTTCCAGTCGGTGCTGACAGATTTTGGCAAATTGATATTGTCGTGAACACCGTGGGCAAGGTGCTGAAGGAGCCCATCACTGAAATTTCAGAAGAGGAGTATGACTCCATGTTCGCGTAAGTGCCCGCCAGTATCTGTGGGTTGCAATCATGCTGAGACATTCATGCAGAATCAACTCCAAGGCGGCATTCTTCATTCTCAAAGCTGCTGCTGTCCACATTGCCGATGATGGTAAGATAATTACCATCGTGACCGCATTGCTGGGTGCCTATGCTGGATCCAAGGCACCAGTGGAACACTTCACTCGCGGTGTCTGCAAAGCATTGATGGAGAGACACGTGAGCGTCAACAACCTGGCTCCGGGTCCCATGGACACCCGTAAGTTGACTTATCCCAAGTCCAGCCTTCTGCAGCTAACACCTGTATAGCATTCTTTTATCCCCAAGAAGCCCCCGAGGCTGTCGAGTTCCACAAGGCCAATGCCATGGGCAACCGGTTGACGATGGTGCAGGACATTGCTCCTCTGGTCCGGTTCTTGTGCACGGAGGGTGCCTGGATCACTGTACAAACCATCTTTGCCAACGACGGCTACACGACTCGGTAATTGGGAAGACACCGGGCAAGTATGTAGTTGAGAGACGAAATATCAATGAGGTCAACAACAAACACAACAAACAAGTGACGTCACCACCGAGCTGCCCCTCACCGCTCACGTGAACGCCACACTAAGCCCAAAATGACCAAGCGGTGACTTGCATCTTGCAGGTGATTTGTATGGCAACGCAGGTACCAGCGAGGTAGAAGGGCCTCTAAGAGAGTTTGGCAGGTAGGAAATGGTGGGATATCTAAACATCTTCCCATCTCAACTTGGAATTATATTTCATCATACGTGTAAACCGGTCTTCAACACCCTCAAGCGTCTCTGTGACGCAAGCACCCACTTCTGCCAATTTCTCTCACCGGATTGGGTTGACCCCTCCACATCCCACCCATTCATAATTGCAGCTTCAACGCTTATCGCGCTCAATTTTGACTTGTTTTCTTCACTCATCTCATTCCTTTCTGACCTGTAGAGGTCGACAGCTTCAATTGATAACATGGAGTCCGTCAAGATTCCTACCCAACCGGCGAAGAGACGCCGTATTGGTGTCCTCACTTCTGGTGGAGATGCCCCCGGTATGAACGGTGCTGTGCGGGCCGTTGTCCGTATGGCAATCCACTGCGACTGTGAAGCCTACGCTATTTTCGAAGGATACGAGGGACTGGTCCACGGCGGCAACATGATCCGCCAGCTGCACTGGGAGGATGTCCGTGGCTGGTTGTCCCGGGGTGGTACCCTGATCGGCTCTGCTCGGAGCATGGGCTTCCGGGAGCGCGCTGGCCGTATGAAGGCTGCAAAGAACATGGTGCTGCGGGGTATTGATGCCCTCGTGGTGTGTGGTGGTGACGGCAGTTTGACTGGTGCCGATGTTTTCCGCGCAGAATGGCCCGGCTTGCTGTCTGACCTCATCGCCGCGGGTGATCTGTCCGCAGAGCAAGTCGAACCTTACAAGGTGTTGAACATTGTCGGCCTGGTGGGTTCCATTGACAATGATATGTCTGGCACAGACGCCACTATCGGATGCTACTCGTCCTTGACCCGCATCTGTGATGCTGTCGACGACGTATTCGATACCGCCTTCTCCCACCAGCGTGGATTCGTGATTGAGGTCATGGGCCGACACTGTGGATGGCTTGCATTGATGTCCGCGATCAGTACCGGTGCAGACTGGTTGTTCCTTCCCGAGATGCCTCCCAAGGATGGATGGGAGGATGACATGTGCTCTGTTATCACCAAGGTGAGTGGTGCCCGAGTCATGTTGACTATTTTGTATACTGATGCACATGTGTCCCAATAGAACCGTACCGAGCGAGGCAAGCGCCGCACCATCGTTATCGTTGCCGAGGGAGCTCAGGATCGCCAACTGAACAAGGTTTCGAGCTCGAAGATCAAGGATATTTTGACAGACCGCCTCGGCTTGGATACTCGAGTCACCATCCTGGGTCACACCCAGCGAGGTGGTGCAGCATGCGCCTACGACCGCTGGCTCTCAACGCTGCAAGGTGTGGAGGCTGTTCGTGCCGTGCTGGAAATGTCACCCCAGTCTCCTTCGCCCGTCATCACCATCCGCGAGAACAAGATTATGCGTACCCCTCTGATGGAAGCAGTTCAAGCAACCAAGGACGTCACAGCGAGAATTGAGAACAAGGAGTTCGAAAAGGCCATGGAGATGCGTGATGCTGAGTTCAAGGAATATTACCACGCCTACCTGAACACCGCCACCCCAGAGCACCCGAAGATGATCCTCCCAGAGGGCAAGGTAGGCCTCAAATCCCCAGCCCACGGGGGCTTCACAGGATTGCGAGATACTGACTACGCACAGAGAATGCGCATCGCTATCATTCACGTCGGTGCTCCCGCAGGTGGTATGAACCAAGCGACTCGTGCCGCCGTTGCGTACTGTCTGACCCGTGGCCACACCCCGCTGGCTATTCACAACGGTTTCCCCGGACTGTGCCGCCACCATGACGACAAGCCAATCAGCTCCGTTCGTGAAGTTAGTTGGCTGGAAGCCGATAGCTGGGTCAACGAGGGTGGTTCGGATATTGGAACCAACCGTAGCCTCCCTAGCGCTGATATGGAGAACACTGCCAAGTGCTTTGAACTGTACAAGTTCGACGCGTTGTTCGTGGTTGGTGGTTTCGAGGCCTTCACGGCTGTCAGCGAGCTGCGCCAGGCCCGTGAGAAGTACAATGCCTTCAAGATCCCGCTCATCGTGCTCCCAGCTACCATCTCTAACAACGTTCCCGGAACTGAATACTCACTGGGAAGCGACACCTGTCTCAACACCTTGATTGTCTTCTGTGATGCCATTCGTCAATCCGCCTCCTCTTCTCGCCGTCGTGTCTTCGTGATTGAGACTCAAGGCGGCAAATCTGGATACATCGCGACTACTGCTGGTCTGGCAGTGGGTGCCGTGGCAGTGTATATCCCCGAGCAGGGTGTTGATATCAAGATGCTTTCACGCGACATCGATTTCCTCCGCGACAACTTCATCCGCGACAAGGGCGCTAACCGTGCGGGTAAGATCATTCTGCGTAACGAATGCGCCTCGGGTACCTACACTACCCAGGTGATTGCCGATATGATCAAGGAGGAGGCAAAGGGACGCTTCGAGTCTCGTGCTGCTGTCCCCGGTCACTTCCAGCAAGGTGGAAAGCCGTCACCTATGGATCGTGTGCGTGCTCTGCGCATGGCTATAAGGTGTATGCAGCACATCGAAGGATACGCGGGTCAAAGCCGTGATGCCATCGCCGCTGACCCCTTGTCCTCTGCCGTCATTGGAGTCAAGGGCTCCCAGGTCTTGTTTTCACCCATGGGCGGTAAATCTGGCCTGGAGGCCACCGAGACTGACTGGACTCGCCGTCGCCCCAAGTCTGAGTTCTGGCTTGAGCTGCAGGATGTCGTCAACGTCCTGTCTGGCCGCTCTAACCCCACCGGCAACGAGGGCTGGTCCTGCTATGAGAGTACGTAAACACGATAACCCCTTATTGCTTCTTCACCTACCTCGATTTTGCCTTGAGGATCGACCCCCTGGATTTGGCCATGTCTCACATCCTTTTGCAAATGTTGACGGTTTCTTTCGCTTGCTCTCCAGATCCTTTGACAGTTCAATCTGTTCCCTCAGTCCCCAACTCCCCCTGAAGAGCCTTCTACTTATGAGCCTTCAAGCTTCTTCCAACCAACAGTGGAATCCACACCGATACCCAGGACTCTCTGAAGGTTTCTCCCAACACTGCACTGGCCGGTAAGCCACCTGCTGACTTTGAGTCGGCGGTCGTAATGGTGCACGTCCTTTACGCTTTGTATGATGCTATGCAATAAAACCCCCAGACCCAAGCTTGGCTCTAGGTAACATTTATGCTTGGGAGTTTGGGTGAATTTTCTTTCGTTTGATACGATTCTCTCTTCTGTACTCCCAAGACTCTTGGCCCGTTGGACCTAGACAAATTTGCAGGTAGAATTCTCAAATGCAATGACTTTAAATAGAACTAAACTGCGCAACCAAATAGAAAGTGCTAGCCAAGATGCAAAAAGTATTCTTGCCTCTGCCTTCGAACTAAATGACCAAAAATGACCAATGCGATGCGGAATGGATTACTTGTGGTGGACGGTCTTCACTTCGAGTGAACTGCCTTCTCTAGCTCATCCAAGAGCTCCACAGTCTCAGCAGGACTCGCAATCCAGGCGGTCGTAGATGCAAGACGGGCCTGTAAGGTTAGTCTCATTCGCAGTGAAGGGTAGTCTGCTCATACCTTGAAGTCATTAGCACCTGCTGACAGGAACTGATCGCCAACATGCAGTGTTTTCGATGGATCAATGCCACCGAAATATTGCTGACAAGCACGCACGCCCCAGGACTTGTCACCAATATCCACAAACACATCATTTCCGCCTATTCGGAGTCAGCTTGTACATCTCTCGTGTCCGAAGAACATACCGTTGAAAGCACAGAAGGGCAGCCGCGACCCCACAGTCGATCGCTGCACTGTATTTTGCACAACCAAGACAGTTTCTTCCAACTGTTCTCGATTGATGCGCACGCCGTTGACGGGGTAGACACCCACAGCACGATCCTTGCGCAGAACAGCGGCTGGCAGACTGAGGTTATCGGCACAAGCACGTAATGCCGACTCCGCAATATCGAGCAGCTGGGTAATATCATTATCACTCCAGGCTCGCATCTCCTCCAATAGCCACTCGTCCCGCGGTACATAGGCTAACCGGGCCTCCGAGGTTGGGTCATAGCGAAACAAGAAATTGCTCTCGCCACCCATGACAATCAACCCCTGCTTTTGGGCAGTGGTCAGCACGGTCGAATAGTGCATCGCATCCAAAAGCCCCTGCAGTCGCTCGTAGTACTTGGGCGCCTCGGTGTATCCGGCCGCTGTCACAATGCCGACCTTGCGATCCTGTTGCAGGAGTCGCAGAATTCGTGGAATGACTATGTTGTCGGCAGTAAGGCAAGCGCCATCATCATAGAGAGTTACATCTCCATCGAAGGTGACTAATTGCACCTCACTGGAGCGGACCAGACCCAATAGCTGGGCGGAGTTCAAGATGAGCCGGATATCGTTGAACGACGGAGCGACGAACCTGCGCCGACTGATAAACCGTTGCTGATCCTGGTACTTGAAGGCATCCTCCAGATACAACTGGGTGAAAAAAGTACCGACCGTAGGCACCAGCAAATTCAACTTGGATTTGCCAGGGGCGTTGCGTTCATGGTGATGGACTTCCATGTATCAGTTGAAGCAATGGCGATTTCTTGATAAATCACTTACTATGATCGAGCATCAGATTCTCTACATCGCGCATAATCTCTGCGTAGCGCAGGTGGGTGTCGGCGGCGACCGATTTCAGGCCTTCGCCATGTTCCTGGTAGATGGCGGTGGGCTGGGAATGCAAAACAAAGGGGACAGCCAGGAGACCCTAGAGGAATCAGAACAGTTCCACCAGTACACAAGATAAGCGTAGAACATACTTTGATCCATTCAATCTGCAAGCCCGTCAGCACAAATCCCCAGTTTTCAAAGAATGAAGTCTTACTAGTTGATCCCGACGATGGGTCTACTGCGGAGTCAGTGAGGGTGCCGGAAATGACCTCGGGGGGATCATACCTTGAGAGCATCTAGAATTGGTCAGCTGAAGTACCCCAAGGAAGCAAACGAGTCATTTACATTCAACGCGATAGCGGGTCGTCATGGCGAAGGTGAAGTTGATGAGATGTTGATGAGTGCACGTCCCCCGGTGACTCATGACTGACTCAAGGCCAAACTCCCTTGGCGCTTTGTCCTCAACTTACACTTCACATTGGTCACATTATTCTCTCCAATACGAAACTTTGAGGCCTAGAAGACTTCCAAGAGTCATTGTGACTCTATGCCGGAGCCTTCAGGCAGCACTGCCACGGCATCCTATTTGGAGGTAATAACTTACACATTGAGAGCTGACATGAGTATAAAGTCTACAGTACTCTGTTGCGACTATCAGAGTCCACCAGAATCCCTTCCTATATTGGTATAACCTCGAATACCCTCAAAAACAAAAGAATGCTCCTTGCATCTATACACACTCCAGTCATGAATACAGCCAATCCTCCAGCATACTCCCCGTCGGAAGACTTCAACTATCTCATGGAAAAGTCCGAGTCCCCCATGATCCTTCCGCGGGAAGATGAACCTGGGTTTGCCACCGCGTCAGCTCTCAGCAGAGGTCTGCAGGTACCCTCCCGCACCGGCCACTGCACATCGGGCTTCGAGTACCCAGAAGAATTGTCCCACTATGGCGTCTCGCAAGACAACTGGGCAGACTTCACACAAGTGGTCTGTGAAGAAGCCAAGCTATCACGCCAACAATGGACCACAGTGGTCGGGAAAGGTCTCGGGACCTTCGCAGTCGGTGGGCTAATGGTCGGTCTATTCGGTGCTGTTCCCGCAATTTTCGTGGCCCGAAATGCCAGACGCCGACAGGAACAGCGGAATTTGGTCTATGCGCTGGCAGGGGTTCAGGGGGAACGACTATCTCGACACATTTCACATTGGAATGAGACTTTCTTCCGACCCAAGGGCATTTTGATACGTGTTGATTTACCGAATGAATACCTCAACGACGTGCAAAATATGGATATTCACACCGGTGCGAGCTCGCTCCAGTCTAGCTCAAAAGCGCGGGACAAGGCGGGTCTGAAGGCGAGGATTGTGATTATTCCTCTGGATGGGTCAAAGTCGAGCCCTTAAGAGTCTACATACTCGGGGCTTTAAAAAAAAATATAGAGTAAATTAATGTCGAGACGTGATATAGTGATAGACTTGGAAATATTGTGCACTTATTGGACCTTCATAAAAAAGTTCATCAATCGTGATAGTATCATTGTCCAGGAAAAAAGTCACCCAGGTCAACACCGGAAATATTCAAGTAAAAAGCTAGATAGCCACACTCAACGCTCGGCGTCCTGTCTCTCAACGTGCTGGGCAGTTCCGTGCGACTGGGTCATTACCTCCATCTTCTCATTGACAACCTGATCACGCTCCTCGGCATCCCTGTTACCATGTAGGCCGATCTTGTACCATGGCAGAGCGAAGAGGCGATCCATGCTCTCCAGCGATCGGCCTGACGTCTCTGGAATACTGAACCACACCCAGATTCCACCCAGAACGGTGATAGCAGCAAAGCACCAGAAGGTACCCTTGGGGTCAATTCCACCCTTTGCCACCGGAAGCAGCATGTTGGGTACCGCGCGTGCATTACCATACTGGTTAGCAAAGTGCAAGGTCATGGCCATTGACGTGCAAAGCGCACGAATGCGAAGGGGGAACAACTCTGCCGTCAACAGGTACTGCATGGAGTTCCAGCCCAGAGCCCATCCGAATCCAGAAAGATAGATCATGGCTATGGCGCCTTCACTGGCACCCTTCTTCGCTTCCGGGAGTATAAAGCCATCAAGCACACCCATTTCAGGGACAGCAGTCAAGAAGCCGGCGATATAGACCATGGCGATACCCTGAAGGGTGATACCCAACAGCAAGGCACGCTTACGTCCAATGACATCGACCAGGAACAGAGCACAGAGAATGGCAGCAACCAACTTGACGATTCCGAAGACGGCAGTGACAAGCAGACTCTCGTTCTTTCCTGTGACTCCAAGCAGCTTGAACAGATCAGGAGCGTAGACAGTGATACTGCCAGCACCGGACCACTGGGAGAGGAGTTGGGCCATGAAGGTAAGGTAGACTCGGTAGAGGTTGGAGGGAACCAAGAAGGTCTCCTTGAGCACGCCGATCGGACCAGATCCCATTGTGGCTTCCATCTCAGCGTCATGTGAGGTTTGGATAGCAGTGATCTCCCGCATAACATAGTCATCGTCGGCAGGCAGGCCACGGATGCGCGAGAGGTTGGAGATGGCCTTGTCGAGTTGGCCACGCTTGACCAGGTATCGAGGGGATTCGTACTGCACAAAGGAGAGGAGGAAGATTATGCCGGCAAACATGATATGGAGAGATGTGGGGACCAGCTATATCCAGTCAGTATCCGTCTCGAAAGTCTTTAGCAAAGAGTATACATACCCAGCGGTTGTGTGTCTTGTCACCCAGGTTAAGTTCACAGCCATAGTTCGCAAAGTATGCCAGCACAATGCCCAGATAGACAAAGCCAGTAAAGACACAAGTGCAAAGACCACGAATGGAAGCGGGCGCCTGATTTCAGGAGTTAGCTGTGCATGAAGCCGTTGCACGAGTTACTTACAATCTCAGCAAGATAGACGGGGGCGACGACTACTGTCTGACCAACACCGAGACCAGCAATAAAGCGACCAGCATAGACAGCACCAAGACTGCCAGAGTTACCCATGAAGATAGCAATTCCGATCATCCAGATGATGCACAGCTGGCGCGTGGCCCAGATACGACCGATGCGATCACAGACTAAGAATGCACTGCAACTCGTTAGTGGGATATAAAATAGCCCAGGCACTGATCAGACGTACAAGAGAGCACCACCGACGGATCCAATCTGGACCATCGCCGTGACATTGCCCTTGATGTTGGTTTGTTCAATCTTGCTGTATGTATCATAGTGGATGTATTTCTGGAAATCCTTGGAGTTGAAAGCACCAGAGATCAGACCCTCATCGACACCTCGGGCAGCGCCCATCAGGCCGAATGAGATAACGGCAAACCATAGTCGCCAATTGAAGACCTGCTTGGGTTCGCCCAGGTCCTTGAGACGGAAGATATTGACTGGTTTCTTTGCTCCACCGGCCATGATAAAAGGAATCCGCAGTGGGTGAAAAAGAAGATTGAGGTACAGCACGAGAGGAAAAAGAAGTGAGAGCAAAGGGTTTTATAGTCAAGGGGGGACCCCAGTCCATGTGGGGAAACCTGGGGGAGGATAGTAAGTCTGTTAGACCAGTTAGACAAAGAACATTACTCGCTTCCTCTTCCCCTCCCTTTCATCTCCCCGGAATTACTCGACCGATCATCGGTGTTTTACAGATAGCCAAGGCTGGGGAACAGCGCCAAGAGAGCTTGGATCCCCCGCCAACACGATCGACGCTCATTTGACGGCAACGCCGTGTCGGTTCCTTTTTGGTCCCGAAGTGACACCGAGAACTGAGCAGCCCGGGATGATACCGTGAACAACCTCACCATTTCCCCCCATTTCACTCTTGTTGTCTGTGACTTGTTCCTGTATGTATTGCACCTTGCATCTGGCTTCGCAATGTCGGTATTTCGACCGCCAAGAGACAGGTACCGCGTCTCCACGTGTTGAGTTGACTTTTTCGGAAAATGTCCGAAACTGTCATCGAGATGTGTCGGGGGGCGAAAACCTGGAGAGTCTCCATCCCTGACCGATATGAAGTCTTCGATTGGCTCGCGGCCCTCCAGTCCACTCTAGGAAGATACGCCGGTCCTTGGCGTGGGGTGCGCATGGACATGCCGATCCCTGGACTCTATCTCTCTCTCTCCCTCTCCCTCCTTCTGGGTGAAACCGGCGACTTCCGTGCCGAGAAGTCTTGAACTTTCGGTGAGGCATATAATCTTATTAAACTCTGTCAGGTGCCGATGTCAGGAACTTTGGGCTTGCAGGGATCTAGAATCATGTCCGTTCCTCGGCCTTTGATCTGATCTACGGGCTCGCATAGGGCAGATTAAGTCAATGAACACCTGGAGAGTGCATACATAAATGATGCAAATAACAATATTTTGGCATTGATCGGAATTAAAGAATACCATTCAGGTATCTATGTAGAAAATAATTACAACCCCAACACCAGAACAAAGCCAGCTCGTCACCGAGAACCGGAAGATAGTAGCACACATTCGGTACCGAGTTCAACATCGGCTGAGCCTAGGGTCGCCAACGGAATCCTGGATTGCGCCAGTCGAGGTCCTGAATCTGTTTGCGCGAAAGTCCCGCCAAGACACCGGCCACATCCACCCGCCCGCGGCGGCGATTGTCCCAGGCCATGTACATCCACAAGGAAGCACCGAGCAGGAGGATCGTGCTTGAGGTTGCCAAGTTGAGCCCATTTCCAATGTGGTAATTGGGAGCGTCGGAGGGAAGGAAAGACCACGTGCTAATGAGGCCACCCACATTGCCAAACATAACAGTCGTGCCAATAGCCGATGATCGCGCCGTATCGGACACTACATTCGCCGAGACATGGGCCGTACATAGCGCACCAAAGGCAAAAGCCCCGCTGGCGATGATAAATGTGGCCCCATATCGTACCATGCTGTTTTCGCTAGCGAGGAACATTATATAACCTATATTCTTCCCATTAGACATGTCTTTCGGAGATTGGCGGGGCAGTTCTTACCAGTCATCATCAGCGGTGGACTGATAATGAAGAAGATGAGTCGATTGTCGAAGCGCCAACTGAGGAAGGGGAACAACACGGTGAAGAAGCCTCCGACAACATACGGAGGAACCGTGTGCAGTTGCTGAGAAATCACAGTGGCATGAGGATAGATAGTCTTCACAATGGTGGGCGCAAAGAATCCAAGACCCTGAACGGTGATGTTGTTCAACAGGAAAATGAATGCCGTGGTGATGGTCACTGGACTGAAAATACCACGCAAGGTCTTGGTTACGTCCAGCTTGTCGAGGACTTCCGTCGTGCCAACGCGCTCGGACTTGACACGGGCAACTGCCAAATCTTTTTCTTCCTGTGAAAGCCACCGAGCCGTCTCCGGTCGGTCGGTCAAGGTGAAGAACGCAATAACACCAATTCCAATGGTGATAATACCCTCAATAGCGAAGATCATTCGCCAAGTCTTGAGAGAGCCGAAATGATCGAGCTTCAGGATGCCCGAGGCCAGGAGACCACCGAAGGCTCCGGCCAGCGGAGCCATGACAATGTACAATGACAGACGGAAGGCAAGTTCACTTCGTCTGTACCAGCGAGAGAGGTAGTATGCAATTCCAGGCAACAATCCTGCCTCAAAAATGCTACGAAAGGTCAGCAATGGCACCGGTGTTTGTCTCGGCGGACGTACCCCAAAAGGAAGCGGACACCAGATGCGCTGTGAATATCGTGCACAAATGCCGTCGCGACAGAGCAAATACCAAATCCAAGGGTAATGGCCGGAAGCCACCAACCTGGACCGACCCATTTGCACATCAGATTACTTGGGATTTCAAAGATAATATACGAGATAAAGAAGACCGAGAGCACTTTGTTGTAGTCATAGCCCACAAGGCCAAGATCCTTGTCGAAGCCAGCCAGCTTGGCGTTTCCTATTCAGGGGTTAGTCGGCTCACGAGTGAGAGAGAGGATGGCCTGCGCACCGATATTGGCTCGGTCAATAAAGCAAAACAGATACATCACAGCAACTGTTGGAACGATGTACAAATCGATCTTCAGCCGCAATCGTGACTCGGCGGCCTTGTCAAATTCTACAAGAGCTTGACCATATTCATCGGTGGCCAGATGGCCCCTTTCCGCCGCATCATGGGCAACATCTCCCATCATACTCTCCTTGTGATGGGCGAGGGCCTTCTCGTCGCTGACCGGCACAGTGCCCGTCTCGACATTGGCCATGTTCAAGGTGATGAACAGACTCGGGGTCTGGGGTAAGGAGGGTAGGGGCGAGAAATGCTTTGGGTGATAAATACGGGGCTAGGGTCAGCTGAGGACAGGCATTATATAGCTTGCATGGCAAGCCGATCGGAAGAGCCGAAGAGAGAAAGGAAGTCTGGGTTTGCGGGGGGAAAGCCGTGTGAATCTTGGCTCTTCGGCACTTCCTGCATAAATCCCAATCTCAATACGCTGTTTGCCAAGAGTGGGAATGAAGCGTGGCATGTGTGGAAGTTAGCAGGGTCCTTGGCGCGACAAAGGGAGATCCCTGAAGGCCCAATCATAATGGCGGTTCCCAGTAGTTGACAGGCATCAGTCGGGTCAAAACACCTTTGGCCATGGCCTTCGATGACAAGCAGACTTGGTCAGTACCCCACACTGGCTCCGGCTTCCCCAGACTTTCCGGATCCTCATCTCAGAATCTGGGGAATTTCCGACCCAAACCGACTTTTAAGTGCCGAATCTCTCATCCGACCCTCCCCGGGCTTGATGCTGACCAGCCACATCCAAGAATGTGCCAGTTCGAGGCATTGGATTTGCCGAGGCCTCATAAATGCCAAGAACCCATTAGGGGGGCGGCTGCGCGACCCGCGGTAAGTTGGGAGGCAACTCGCTAAATAAAGTTGGCAGGTCAAAATCTTCCGATCCGAAGCTGATCCGATCGGATGGAGGGTCTGGGGAATGGCGATATAGGGCATATTCGACTTGATTCCTAGATGAGCAGCAAATCAGATCACAGACATACATATACCTTTCAATAGCTTAACTGTAACATCCACCAGCGATGTCGGCTGAGTCATCTCGGTCAGCTGACTCCTTATGTCATCCGGATATCCGGATCAAAAGCTTCGGATTAAACAACTGCATGTCTTCCCCAAGTACTTTTGAGACATGGACGAACATCCTCCAGGTTGGCGGATCCCTCGCGCTTGCCAAGAATGTCGTAAGCGCAAAATCAAGTGTAATGGCTCCAATCCGTGAGTGCCCTGGGATAGCTTCATTGCTTCGTACTAATCCAACAGGTGCAAAACTTGTCAATCGCGCAATACAGAATGTGTATACAGAGACTACATTCGGCATCGACGCAAGAAAAATGAATATGGAGACTCCAGTCCGAGGAACTCACCTCGTCCAGAACCGAGCTTGGCTCAATCCTCGTCACAGCGGACACCAACTGTCATGCAAGGTTTCACGAAGAGTGTCTCGGCAACACATCAGGCTTCTCCGTCATGCTCAATGGTACGTGCTCTAAACAATATGATCGATAATATATCTCTAATTGACCATTTGTAGCAACTGTACTATGGGCCTACTTCTCATTTTTCTCTAATGCAACACATCTATAGAGATCTCGTGTCCCATCCGACTGCCCAGCCTGAATCGTCTGAGGGAGTTGTCGAAGCCTCAGCAGGCTTGGATCTATTCTCGTTTCGGCGGATCTTCTTTGGGACACCCGATTCATATGAAAACAACAAGTCTAACGGGATAGGGGATGTCCCAGTGATGTTCCTGCCCTATGACCTGGCCAAGTTGTTCATGTCGAGATTTCTATCATCCCTATATCATATGATGCCGCATCGTCCCAAAATATGGTATGAACAGTGTCTCGACCGACTATATCATTCTTCTCCCACGAACACTTTAGATACCCTCACTCAGGCGATCATCTTGCTCGCCATGGCGTGTACATCACTTGGCACGGATCACTTTGCCTGGGGCGATATACTGTTTGAGCGTGTTAAGGCTTCAATGACACCATTTGATGATGTGGTCAATCTTCAAACCATTCAGGTGTCACTGCTCATGATAAGTCACCCTTCTTCTATGTTTCTTCACGTGCGCTGACATGCCCTGGTTGATACGGCAACTACCAGAATGAACAAGGTCGTCCCAATTCGGCATTCTTACACCTCGGCACGGCTTCTAGGAAGGCCTTGGCAGCTGGAATGCACAAGGATGTTCCTCACGGTATTGATCAATCACCGGAAAACCTTGAAGAACGACGAGTCACATTTTGGTCTCTTTACGCTTACGAAACGTGCGTATTATACCCTATATGTGGTTCAAGTATCACACTCGTTAATACAAAAAGAACAGCTGGTTTTGCTTTCATGCAGGTCGCCCTTCGTCTCTGTCACTGAAGGACGTCGCAATTGACGTGGCACAAGATCCCTTCATTCGATTATTGGCAGAGCTCTGCAAAACCATTACTCGGACCTCCGATGAAATTTATGGTCAGCGGCATGAGTCTTTGTTGCATATGTGGAAAGTGGCACGAACCATAGCAGATGACCTCCGTGGCCACGAAGCCCATATGAGACAAGCTTTGAGGATTGGTCTTGATTCTGGTATCCAAACGGGATCCCTTGGGGTTCGGCAAACGATATTCACCACCCGTAAGAAACATACCGACAGAATTTTGGCACTTATCTGACATCACTTAGTATACTATCATACCATGCTTCTCACATTCCGCCCGTTTTTGATATTCCGTGGTCATTGGCAGCGTGACCTAAAAATGTCACTTAACAGATCCAAGGTCAATACCACAAATCGCCCGACAGAAACGCCATCTTGGCTCAATGAAGCTTGTAATCATGCTACCACTGCTGCCCAGAAAACAATTCATCATCTGTGCGAAGCTTCCAGACTCAATGACCTGGTTCGAGTAAGTGAAATGTCAGTCGTTTTGAAACCTCCCACTCACCGTGATATAGCAACTTCGCTACCACGGCTATTTTATAGGAAGTTCCACTTTCACCCTCATTTACGAATTTATTCATAATCCGAGTGTCGCACCCACCTACCTACCATGGGTATACGCTTCAATGCAAAATCTTGCCTCAATGCGCGCAGGGGATCCTGTCACAAGCACAATATCAGCCCTTCAGACCGTACTTTGCAAGATCAACGCAACATACGGATGGTCTTCATATCCGTCGATAGTTGGAGGACAAATCACGCAGCCAGAAATGACAACAGCCACACAACAAGGACTTTCCCGCAAACGCACTAACAGTTCAGTCTTGAATGACTCTGCTTTATCTCAAAATCCGTCCTTTGGATATCGCCCAGATCTGCCGGTATCACCTTGGAATCTCCCACAGCTTGACATGCCAGAAACGGGAGGATCTGGCGGATCTGGAGAGGAGTTACTTGATTTTACGCAGTCTGATATGGGCTGGGACTTTGACTTTTCCACCATGGATCTTGAGGCGTTCTTTTCTGTATATCAGTCCAATGACGCACCGACCTTTTGAGGAACGTTAGGCCAAACAACCCCTTACATGGAGAAACATTTGATACAAAAATCGGCTAATTGGGATGGATGCTGGGCCGGGTTTAGGTAATTTTTTGATCTTTTTCAAACGTCATTTAGCAGCTATCCTTAGATATTTCGGGAACTTTCTACAGACCTAATCCATTGAAGTGGACCAAATATGTTGATAGGATACCGGCAGCTGACTCACGGTGGAATAAAACTCGGTCGATGGCGTAAATCCGTGCATGAAGAGAATGACAAATGATCTACTGGGTCTACCCCTGTTTTATACTAAGAAAAGAACCCACGGGCACCGAAGCCTTCATTCGTGAACGCCAATCGTTGGTTTTCTATATCCGAGTTCCAGCGGATCCTTCTTGTAGAGCTCTAGAAGCCACGGAAATCGGCTTGAAGACCAATGAAAGATCGCTATTGCTAGGGTGGGTCTTTGGGGTGGTCCGAGTGTATATATCCGAGTAGCTCGGGTATACGATATCCATGCTAACACGTTATTTTCTAGGGCTAACTGATACATCAAGGTATATCGGGCGTGTACCGTTCTCGTTTTAACTGTATGCGTATCTAGATCCGGGCAGATCCACACATCTCGGCATTATGGATTTACAAGGTATAGACCCAATAAATCTGCAATATAAGAGTTCCTGGACGCCTCCTTGAGATACGGAGATAATTCTGCCTCTATAATTGTACCTGAACCAACCTTCAGATTGATCTTGAATAATCTGCCGCAATTTTAGTTGGCATCTCCTGCCCGTAATGGAAACCCCATCTTCGGGCACAGCAACCCCAGTCGACCTGGAAAACGGGCCAGGCCAGATTCGCAAGCGACTGACAGTGACTTTCCGTGACCTCAATGTCCGAGTAACGGCACCAGATGCCGCATTAGGAAGTACACTATGGTCTGAAATCGATCCGCGACAACTCGGAGGCCTGATCAAGCGCGGCGATCGCCCCAAAAGAGTAGGGCTACCTCCACAAATTGAGGAGTATATACTTACATATTTTTCAGACTATTCTCAAGGATATTGGAGGCCAAGTCAAGCCTGGAGAAATGGTATGCTTTAATACTCAGATCCCTAACGGCAATAAGATGAAGTGCTAACTTGTATAGCTTCTTGTTTTGGGACGTCCAGGCTCTGGATGTACATCCCTACTCCGTGTCCTTGCAAATGACCGTGATAGCTTCGACGAGGTCTCCGGTACCACTAACTATGGAGCTATGGACCATAAAGAAGCAAAGCGCTATCGCCAGCAAATCATGTTCAACAACGAAGGTATTCAATTGCCGTTGAAGCCATATTTAACCCAGTAGTAACGTCCTTTTTCCTAGATGATCTTCATTTTGCATCGCTATCTGTGAACCGAACAATCAAATTCGCTCTTCGCAACAAAGTTCCCGATGAACGCCCAGATCATTTGAGAAACCGCAAGGATTTTGTCCAAGACCATCGTGATGGCATCCTGGATTCACTCGGAATAGGACATACGAAGAAGACCATGGTCGGTAACGAATTTATTCGAGGTGTTTCTGGTGGCGAACGCAAGCGTGTCTCGTTGGCTGAAGTCATGGCTGGACAGGTGAGTCTACGAGCTTCGAATCGGCTGTAATAGATACTAAATTAAATGCAGAGCCCTGTCCAAATGTGGGACAACCCTACTCGAGGCTTGGATTCCAAATCAGCTGTGGAATTTGCTCGTATGCTCCGTCGCGAAGCTGATCGCAATGACAAGACTATCGTCACTACAACCTACCAAGCTGGCAATGGGATTTATGATCAGTTCGACAAGGTCCTGGTATTGGCTGAAGGTCGGGTCACATACTACGGCTCTCGTCGTCTCGCGAGACAATACTTCGAAGACCTCGGATTCATCTGCCCAAAGGGCGCCAACATCGCCGACTTCCTTACTTCAGTTACCGTCTCGACTGAGCGCACCGTGCGACCCGGTTACGAAAAGAAAGTGCCAAACACTCCCGAGGAATTTGAGTCCTGCTACCACAACAGCGCCGTCTACAGAGAACAGCTCGATGCTATTGTTCCCCCGGAGAAGCTCACTTATGAAACTGAAGACCTCAAAATGGCGGTGGCCAGTGAAAAGGGAAAACAACATATTCCGCGGAAAACAAGTCCTTACACAGCCAAACTCTGGTCCCAGATTGGCGCCTGCACAGTTAGGCAGTTCCAAATTATGTGGGGAGATAAATTTTCACTGGTAAGTTGGGATATATCTATGGTGGTTCGAGAATTAGTGCTAACTGCTACATCTTCAGATGGTCAAGGTCTGCTCTGCAATCATTCAGGCTCTTGTGTGTGGTAGTTTGTTCTACAACCTGGCAGAAGACAGTAGTTCTATCTTCTTGAGACCAGGCGTTCTATTCTTCCCGGTACTTTACTTCTTGCTCGAATCACTGTCCGAGACGGTAGGATCGTACATGGGCAGGCCGATTTTATCACGCCAAAAGCGATTTGGATTCTATCGCCCGACAGCCTTTGCCATCGCCAACGCCATAACTGACATTCCCGTTGTGATTATACAAGTTACCTGCTTCTCATTAATCTTGTATTTCATGGCTGCCCTGCAGATGGATGCCGGAAGGTTTTTTACATTCTGGATTATCGTTATCATGCAGACACTGGCTTTTATTCAACTGTTCCGATCAGTGGGTGCTGTTTGCAAGACGTTCGGAAATGCATCCAAGATCTCTGGCCTGCTGTCCACAGTCTTCTTTGTCTATGGAGGTAAGAATACCACTGATCAACATGATGGACAGGAGACTTACAATCAACAGGTTACCTCATTCCATTCCAAAAGATGCACGTCTGGTTCCGATGGATCTTCTATCTCAATCCCGGTGCATATGCGTTTGAAGCTTTGATGGCGAATGAGTTCGTTGGCAGGACCTTGAAGTGTATCGAGCCAGATTACATTCCTTATGGAGCTGGATACTCAAGCTCGGCATCTCCACACCGTGGATGCTCGGTTCTTGGAAGTGATGACCAAGGCATGATCGATGGCGCGAAATACATCAAGGAGCAGTACAGTTACTCCTACCATCACATCTGGAGAAGCTTTGGAATCCTCGCTGGTTTCTGGATTTTCTTCATCTTTTTGACTTCCACTGGCCTCGAATTACGAAACAACCAAAGCGGTTCTTCCGTTCTGCTTTACAAGCGTGGCAGTGAGAAGAAGCAAGAAGACGAGACCTCGCAGCCACGAGAACTAGCAGACCCAAGTGCTCTCCTAGGATCTGTGAAGCAATCAACCTTCACTTGGAAGGATCTCGACTACCATGTGCCCTTCCACGGCGAGAAAAAGCAACTTCTCAACAAGGTCTTTGGATTTGTCCAACCCGGAAACTTGGTTGCTTTAATGGGAGCGTCTGGTGCTGGCAAAACGACCCTCTTGGATGTTCTGGCCCAACGAAAGGACAGCGGAGAGATTATTGGATCCGTCTTGATTGATGGTCGACCTGTCGGAATCAGTTTCCAGCGAACGACAGGATACTGTGAGCAGATGGATGTACACCTCGAAACCGCTACTGTCCAGGAGGCTCTGCGCTTCTCGGCCACTCTTCGCCAACCATCTACCGTGCCATATGAAGAGACGATTGCTTATGTTGACCATATCATTGACCTTCTGGAACTGAGGGACATTAGTGACGCTCTGATTGGAGGTAAGTCTGCTTGAGTTTACAAAGCTGTGAGCTTAAATTCTAACATGCACATAGTGCCCGGTGCTGGTCTCAGTATTGAACAGAGGAAACGTGTTACGCTTGGTGTCGAACTTGTCGCAAAGCCTACATTGTTGTTTTTGGATGAACCTACTTCCGGTCTTGATGGACAAAGTGCGTTCAATATTCTGCGTTTCCTCCGACGTTTGGTCGATGGAGGGCAAGCTGTTCTGGTAAGACACACATGTATAACCAGACATCTTTCGGGTATTAATTTATCCAGTGTACTATTCATCAACCTTCTGCGGTGCTATTCGATGCGTTCGACGGTCTTCTATTGTTGGCGAAGGGTGGAAAAATGACATACTTCGGAGAGACAGGCAAGGAATCACACAAGATTCTTGAATACTTCGCCAAAAACGGAGCACCATGCCCACCGGACGCCAACCCTGCCGAACACATCATTGAAGTTGTCCAAGGAAGCGCCACTGACAAAACGGATTGGGTCGATGTTTGGAACAAATCAGAGGAGCGTGAAAAGGCACTCGCCCAATTGGACGCACTCAATGCGTCCAGCAAAGCCGCCGCGGATTATGTTGAAGATACATCCGACTATGCGACCTCTCACTGGTTCCAATTCAAGGAGGTCTCCAAGCGCCTCAGCGTCCATATCTGGCGGTCACCGGTACGTTGCCACAAAAGCATCCTACAAGACAGGACTCGAACTAACCTATCTACAGGACTACATGTGGAACAAGATCATTCTTCACATTTTCGCCGCGCTTTTCAGCGGCTTCACTTTTTGGAAAATTGGAGATGGCACCTTCGCCCTTCAGCTCAGGCTTTTTGCCATTTTCAATTTCATCTTTGTTGCCCCCGGCTGTATTAACCAGATGCAACCGTTTTTCTTGCACAACCGAGACATTTTTGAAACCCGAGAGAAGAAGGTGAGCACCTCCGTCGATGTTGTGATATGTCCAAAGCTGATGATATGTCCATATAGTCCAAAACCTACAGTTGGATTGCATTCATTGGAGCGCAGACGATCACTGAGATTCCGTACCTGATTATCTGTGCCACGCTATACTTCCTGTGCTGGTACTTCACCGCGGGATTCCCTGCCACGGCGAGTATTTCCGGTCAAGTTTACCTTCAGATGATTTGTAAGTGCCACTGTATTCAAATGCCGATTGGCACTAACAAGAAAATAGTCTACGAGTTCCTCTATACCTCCATCGGACAGGCAATTGCGGCCTATGCACCGAATGAGTACTTCGCTGCCGTCATGAACCCAGTTCTCATTGGTGCTGGCCTGGTCAGTTTCTGTGGTGTGGTCGTCCCGTACTCATCTATGCAGCCATTCTGGCGCTACTGGATTTACTACTTGGACCCTTTCACCTATCTGGTTGGTGGTCTTTTTGGTCCAGTAATCTGGGATGTCAAGGTCAAATGCGAGGCTTCAGAGTTCGTGGAATTTACTGCACCTTCAGGCCAGACTTGCGGTGACTACATGGCCGATTTCCTCGCGACGCAGACTGGCTACCTGCTCGACGCAAACTCCACCGGAACATGTTCGTTTTGTCAATTCTCTCAGGGTGCAGACTACGCGAAAACATTCAATATTCGGGAAAAATACTATTCTTGGAGAGACGTGAGTACTCCGTCGGCTTCACCTGTTCCACTTACTGATGTATTTTCTAGACTGGCATTACGGCCCTTTTCTGCATTTCCTCTTATGCCCTGGTCTTTTTGATGATGAAGCTCAGAAGCAAGAAGACGAAGAGTGCGCGCTCCGAATGAGTGATCCCCGCGGATCATGATAATCATGCTTTAGGCAATATAGCCTGGGCCAGCATCTTCCCAATATTCAACCTACAAGGTGTAATCCAGCTTTTGCCAAATTTGATACTGCCGGTGATACTCTGCTTTCTGATCTCTTTCTCATTTTCCCCCTCAATTCTTGTATTTGCATTTTCATCCTTTATTAGTCTTCTTCGCCTTACGCAAAGGCAGAAAGGCAACAATCATTGCATTGGAGCGGAGGCAGCGAGCGGTTTGAAGAAACAGAACAAATGCATATAGAAGTGACCTGTGTTGATAAATATACCATATAAAGTTAGACGCTTTTTACCTACTTATTTCTTGCTGTTGGAAATATCTTTTACCTTTCTCTTCCCTTCTCATTTACTTTGGTTTTTGTAAAGTATATATATTGAGTCCTTTAAGCGTAGGAGTGAAATATCACCGAATTAGAGCACGGATATGGGAAGTATCTTCCTGGACCAAAGGTTGATTCACATGCACAAGTTCTACAGCCCAGAAGAAGAACATGATTCGCACACATTCCATTTGTTGAAAATCATGGTACAACGATGTTGAACTCCTCATCAAAACTCACAATGAGAGACAACAACTTCGCAAAGTTTGAACGATCTCCGAATCACTCTCTATGCCTCCAAATATTCCCGTGGCTAACAACAGCAACGGCTGAGATGGGACATCGAGCATGAGTAGTCGGTCGTACCAAACTGTGGCTCTCCCTGTTTCGACCCAGTCCGATGGATTAAAGCCCCGTTGCTGGCAACGAGACGGCATTTCTCCTTTATATCAGTCACATACAAATCGATCGTGGAATCACGTTCCTATGCTTTATAACCGTCGACTCGCACAGCAATGGAAGCAAAGAGCTAATGAAGAGACAGAGCCATTAGTATCTCCGTCTGGTCGGAGAGTAGATTCTTATGAAGCGTTTGACCGCGTAGCTCACCAGCACCAGACAGGTAAAAGTTGCGCCACGGGCCGTTCTCGGAGCCGAAGCCGAGTCTTTCTTATGTTGAAGCCAGCATAATTTTCTCGGCTTTGTTTTCTGGATCGGAGAAAACAACATGATTCAGAAGTGTGGCCGCAAAGCGTAGGTCTCCTTGCTTCACGTACCCTTGAGCCTTCTTAATGACTTCTTCAGCACCACCCATGCAATCAACGTAGCGTCTCGCAGATTCAACTGGTGGGTGTTCCCACACATGAGATGGATTACCGTCAGACCAGGTCATATAGCGTTGATAGATTGCCTTGAGGTTGTGACTGACTGAGCCGTAGAAGCCTTGTGTATGCCAAGCCGTCTGGAGTTTTGGTGGAAGCGTGAAGTCTTCGGCGATCTCAATACCAGTGAGTCCTTGGTACATCAAACGGACTGTCTGGTCATGCAAAAAGGCATAGAGGTCCCGTTGCTGAGTGAGATAAGTGTATACCCTCTCTTTTCCCCATCGTCCAATGACGCGAAGTGTATGCAACTTCTGTTTTCTCTGAATAAAGTGAGATTGACTCATCCAAGTAAGATGACCACGCAAGCGCATCTCTGACAGCTACCCCTCGAAGAGTCGAAATATTGTGGAGACATTGAGTGGCGTTCTCGGCCATGCACATCGTCCAGAGATGAGGAAGAAGTTCATCTCAGCCGGTGCCTCTGTCCCAGGCGTAACTTGGAAGATTAGTTCCACGCCATCGATAACCTCAGTCTGAACCGTGTGAGTAACATTGAGATTTGGCGGGACGATAGTAATGGTGCCTGAGAAGACGGTTGCACATAGTCCGGCACTGATCTGGCCCCGGGGACCTTTGGGCAATTCGTTTCCATATATATATCCAGCTCTGCGAGCCATAGCTTGCCTGCGAAGATGTTTTCACTGACAGCATGCTCGAGGGACCCACGAGGAGCAATTACTGGAACTTGAGACGCTTCGCTTCTGGATAATATGCCCTCTGCTCCGCCAAAATGATCAGCGCTAGAGTGCGTGTAGAGCATGCCGTTCAGGGCTTTGTTGCCACGGTTCTTGCGATAAATCTCAAGGGCAGCGTTTGCACACTCCACCGAAGTAAGACGAGTCGATCACAATGATTCCTTTGGTCCCCTCAATCACCGTCATATTGGAGAGATCGAAGCCTCTGATCTGGTAAATGCCATCGACAACCTTGTAAAGGCCTTGTTTGGCAACAAGTTGAGCCTGTCGCCATAACTCCGGGCTGGCAGTTTCAGGAACAGGCTCAGACAGGAAGTTGTAGATCTCATTATCCCAGACGACTCGACCTGAGCCATCTTCGATGATACACGGATCAAGACGATCAATAAAAGCGTGATCTGTGTCCTGAAAAGACTGCACGTCATCAAACGAAGGCTCTATCTTTTATGTTCCTGAAATATTTGGAAGGCAGGAACAAATTAAATGGGGATGATGACATGTGAAGCAGTACTCAGGGTCTATGACGGGGATATCTGGGGAAGAGTGAACTCCACCCGGCATATCCGCAACTCCCAACTTGGAGCACACTGGGTCGATTATCCACAAATATTGCATACTTAGCCTTAAAGCGGTTACTCTGCTCACTGAATTGCCTCGATGGGCAAAGTATTGTATTAAATCAGCAGAATTATCAAATCAAAATGGAAGAGCAACCATAAATGAGTCGCGCCATACTCCAACCATAGCAAATCCATATCTAACCAAGTCAGCTCACGCCATAAGATAATCCATCCGTTCCCATAATGTCCTAATCCCATCATAGCAACCGTTGATGACCGGCATCCTCGCTGCTAATTACACTTCCAACCTCAGACCAGCTTGCAGGAGTAGCTGCGCCGCCAACCGAGCGCCCACCAAGATCACTAAGAGTACCATCCGAGGTTTCATCGTTGAATCCTCCGATGTGGCTAAATGTTCCAGTTGTAGAAGGGGCAGCCGAGACATCATGGGCAGACTGAGCATCTCCATGACCGAATCCATCTAAGTCCGCAAGTAGATCATGCTGGTAAGTACTGTTGACTGCAGAATGAGGGTGAGCATAGTACACCTGCTGGTGGTCTTCTGTATGGCTCGAGCCAGAGGAGCCAGAGGCGGATTGGGGTGAGCTGGGCGAGAAAGGGTCAAAGAGGCTATCATGATCAAGTGCTTCGGAAGTAGGCGTAAATTGAACAATAGACTCCGACGGATCGTTTGAAGCAGGAGTTGAAGGAATGTCGAGATGCAGCCGATCTCGGTCCATGTTAGAGGAGTCAACCTGGATCTGTTTACCTCCTCGTCGGAAAGCGCCCGAGGTACCGATATCGACTCCGGTCGAGCTAGCGCCAGCTCCTGTGCTGGAATGGGCACCAGAGGCATTGTCTTTAGGTGTGCGCAGGTTGCCATCGCTGTCGACGAGTGCGTCAAAACTACCAAGAGATCGGTCTGACTGGGCCTTGCGCCGTGATTCCATAAGCGTACTTCGTCGCATAATCTCCGCACGAGCAATTCGTCTGCGTTCTTCGGCGACCTCTCCAACTTCCTCGGTCATAGAAATGTCCTCCCTGGTCAACTCTTGTGGTTGGATCTCATCGCCGAGGTTATGCAGAGCTAAGGCAATCTTGCGCCGCGAGGTAGTCACCCATTGCTTAAACTGCGGAGACTCGTATACGGCGATGCCTGCTGCGACGAGAACAGAGACAGTGATTATGATACCTGCTGGGGTTAGTATAGGGCTGATAAGAGTCCGGATGATCCGGAAGGTCAAAAACCAGGAAAGCAGAAGCCTGTACCTTTTGCAAGCGGTGCTGGCATGACGACTCTCAACTATCCCTCAAGTAATCCCACCTGGATAGTGAAGAAGATAAGATGATGGCGCTCTGATGCTCTGATGCTCTGATGCCTGCTTATCATGCCACATGACCCCACCCAGCCCTTATCCTCATGCCCTCACACACCGCTTTGGGTTCCCCGCGTCGACGTGACTTGAGCTTCCATTCAGCTTCCATTCCAAGCTCAGTTGTTCTTTCACGGCCATGTCTCGACCTTCTCAGGCCCAGCGGCCTTTGTCTCTCACTGAGGAACTCGAGAAGTTGGAACAATCTATCACCCTGACGCTGCAAGGTACGTCAAAACACAAAAAGTAAACAAACAAAGCACTTACCCCGATGTCTTGCAGAGATCGACCACAACTTCAGCCAAGCTCATCGGATTGTTACTACGAGTATCTTACCTCTTGTGGAACAATACACGGAGCATTCCCGGGATGTCTGGGAGGGTTCCAAGGTGAGCAGGTCTCCGGGGAGTATATCAACCAGACTCACATTTACTGACTCCGCCTCAGTTCTGGAAGCAATTCTTCGAAGCTAGTGCCAACGTATCTCTGTCCGGCTACGAGGAATGTAACAATGATGAAGATACCGTGCAGGAGCCTACAGCCACGGAGGAGGAACTGTCCGCCGACATAACCCAAAGCATCAGCCTGGATGAGACGATATCACAAGAGTCGCCCTCTTCTCAGCGCCTTGGCACCCCATGCCATGATCATGGAGGTGATCTGGATCTGACGGATCTTGCAATCTCCTCCCATAGCACTCCACGCGCCCAAACCCAACATCACCCGGCCGATGACGATATCACGACCTCCTCCATGGACTATTCCTCATCCTACGAGAACCTGAGGAAACAAGTCAATGAGTCAGAAGCCCCGTTCGATATCCAAGACTCGTCAACTCTCCCATCCACCCCAGGCCGACAGCCATTTTTCCCGCGCGGCGTGTCTGCCAACACCCCGATGTCCTCGCCGTTCATCCCCCCTGCGTCTTCCGTTCGCCAGCCAACCACCCAAGACCGTCGATACCAAAAGACTTCAGACCCAGTCCTCCACCAAATGCTCGACAAAACTTACCGAGTGCAAGCTACACCCCTTGGAAAGGGATTCCGTAACGTCGGCGGAGGCACAAATACCCGATCCAAATTCAACATCACCCCAAAGCCTGCCGAGTCTACCTCCCGATATGGATATGACGACTCCCCGATTTCCAGCCCGGAACCCGAGGCGCCTCAGCTTCACTCGGAGATCTTCTCATCTCCTATCAAGGGTTTCGATACCCCGGGCACGAACCGCAAGAGACGGACAAGCAGCAGTCGCATGCGCGGGATTCCTAAACCTGGCATGAGCGTGTTGACACCTGCCAAGAAGTCTGCAGGCAAGTCGGCCATGTGGGATAGCGATGATGACCTGGATTATGACGACGATGATCTTGGGCCCAGTCCGCCAAAGACGATGCAATTTCATATTCCTCAGAGTCGACTCATGAGGACTCCTGGTAAGCCTTTTGGGATTCTGTCTTTTTTCTGGTATTAAGCTAACTTTATGTTCTAGCCAAGGAAGCTTCTAAGCGCATTGTAACTGATTTGCTCGCTACTGCGGGAGCTGGTGACATTACAGATGACTTTGATGACGATCAGAGCCCAAGCGTGATCCGCCGTATGGAACGGCTGGAAGATGAAACTTTCTAATCTTATTCCCTGAGAGGTATCTTGGCTAGGATGTCTGTGATCTATCCGGGGCTCCGGTTTCCTGTTTATTTAGTGTTACAATGCCCGTATTAGGCTCCTATACCCACGTCACCATATCATGACCGATATCTACTATACTATCTCGTGCTACCTGAATGTACCATTGTATAAATCGAGTGAATCAATGGAGCAGAGAATAAGATTCAGAATATAATCTTAAGTAGTATCATACAGGTGGACACGATCAAACTAATGTCACTTTTAAGGCTGCGCGAACCCTTTAGACACGAATAAGGAAACGCCAGAAAGAAATGCGAAATTATGTACGGGCGATGATGACCAAACAGCGAAAGGCCACCTGCCCCCAGTGTTCTCGGAAATATCACCGCCCCCTCTCGTCATCGATCTTTATTGTTCAATGGAGCGCATAAGGCTCCCGAGAGGTAAGTGGAAGAGCGGTGGATAGCGAAGTTCCATGGACCTCAATCAATGAGGCAGTGGGAGTATTCAACAATCAGACAGGACAACATCAGAGCAGTTTAGTTCTTCTTCTCTGACTCGGCGTCCTTCTTCTCATCATCACTGTCATCGGACTTTGACTCCTTCTCCTCGGACTTTGACTCTTCCTCGGCGGGCTTGGACTCAGCCTTCTTCTCCTGGGCAGCAGGCTTGGCCTGCTGCTTCTCATGGTGCTCATAAAGATCCTGGTGCTTCTTGCTCAAGCGTTGTTCTTCAGCAGCAACCATGTCCTTCCAGAGGTCACTATCTTGGACACTTGAAGCCGGGTGAGAAGGAGACTCGACCTCTTCCACCTTAGCACCCTTCTGCTTCTTCGAGTCAAGAATACCACGACCACGGCGCTGATCGGAAATCTCAAAAGCAGCCGAAGCACACAGCACACCGAGAGTCAGACCCTGGGCATAGACACGAGCTTGAACAAGCTTCTGCTGTCCGGTAAGACCAGGGTTACGACTGACGAGCACGAACGAGCCAACCATGGAGGCAACCCAGGTGGCGCTGATGATCTTATACTTCTCACGGCGAGCGAAAGCAGCAGCGCGATCGGTGAAGCTCAGGCCGCGAATTTCTTCGGCACGCAGACGCTCTTCACGGCTATCGTACCATTGGCGCTCGGCGTTGTTCTTAGCTTCGAAATCGCGGGAGGCGTGGTCGGCGGCGATGATTCCGACGAAAGTACCCGATGATGTTACCAGGAAAGACTTCATAGGCACGGTCAGGTTGCGGATTGTGTGGAAGCGGCGCGAGGCCAGGAGGACACCTGCTACACCTCCAGCTAGACCGGTGAGGCCGCCGATGGTGCCACCTTTGACGACGGAGCTGGGAGAATCGGTTAGTATGGATTAAATTTGCAAATGATTGGCGTACCGATAGTGCGCATCTTCTTCTTCCTTGGTTAGGAGCTTCATTGTGTCTGTGTATGATGTATGAGAGATGAGGAAAAGAGATGAAAGTCGTAAGATATAAGTTAAGTTGGAATTCCGCAAAGGCCGGAATGACGTGTGTGTCGGGGTCTGCTCTTTCTCCTGGCGATTGGCTCCGGTCGAAGTTCGGCCTCGGATTTGCCGTTCACTTTGATATGGGAGATACCTGACAACATTGTTGAAGAGGCGCTTTATTAAGATTTAAGGTCTGAGATTGATGACAGCTTTGTTGTAATTGGCCTTGCTTTCCTGATATCTGGCTTATGCTGGGGTTGTAGTCAAATCCCTGATCCCCGATCCATCCCGAACGCCCAAACACCGCGAAAAATTCTCGATACATGTGGCCTGAGCCTGGAATATTACAAATTGAGCATGCCGCCCTTACCGGCGAGAGGCTTTCTTAGCTGCCACTTGTCGGGCTTGCATCTTACGGAAACGGTCCTCGCCACTGGCACCCAGGGGGCGCGCAAACTGACTCTCTCGTACGGCGGTCTGGCGCGGAACCACGGTGTAGCTGACTTGGGTGCGGTCGACACGAGCACGGTTGGCAAGACGAGGAGGAAGCATCTCACGGGCGCGAGCTTCAGCAGCGACAACCTCGGCCGTGGGAACTGTGCGCTTGACAACCTTCCTATACAACTGTTAGTAAATGGCGCGCAAACGGTGCATGGCAAGGGACATACGTAGGATCGTAATCGGCCTGCTGGAACACACGCTTCGAGTAATCATCGCTGCGCTGTAGGATAGGCCGAGTCCATTCTGCCAGCAACTTCTCTGCCACTTCCTTGATGCGGCGCTCGGTGCGCTTGCTCTTGGTGTAGAAGACAATCACCTTTCCGATTCCACTGGCGATAAGAGCATCCTTGTTGATAGGTAACTTGGTCAGGCAGGTCAGTAGGTCGCGCTGGATATTATAGGCAGGCATGGCTCCATCGTCCAAGGGTTCAAGGAAGAACCGCACGGCTTCCAACAGGTTGATTTCGGGATCAACCAAGGCATTGATGTACTGGTTCCGATTGAGGAGCATGGTAACTTCTGGGAGGAGCTTGAGCTTGTGCATGGCGGGCTTTCCTTCTTGGCGACTGATCGCATCCATCTGTGCGGCGTGTGTCATGCGCTTGCGCATATCCTCGATTTCGGCGTCGGCCATAGATTCCAGATCCTTGTATAGTCAGTAGGATGAAGGCTAAGGTGGAGTATAGCACATACAATGCCATCTTGCTTGCGGAATCGTCTCTTAGCGGGTTTCTTCATTGCCTGGTCCATTGCACGATCAAGAGCTCGGCGACGTCCTATAACACATGGGCTGTTAGTATCACCATAAATTGAGCCCAATGGAGAGCCAGTAGCTAGTAATCCGCGAACGTACGGGTCTCCGGATCAAGAGTCTCCTCGTCAGTATCAGGCTGCTCCTCGCGCTTCTTGCGCTCACGTCGGCGGGACGAGCCACCCTCCTCTCCATCCGCATCGGCAGCACGACGGCTCTTCTTCTCCCGACGACCCTCCTTTCGGCGCGGCCGACTCTCGTCACCCTCAGTGCGCTTGCGCTTGTGGCGACCAATTAGCTTCAGGTTGTCCTCGTCGATAGCAAGCTGTGGGCGGTCTTCAACGTCCACGTTCTCGGGGTCGAAGTTCTCGAATTGTGCCTCGTCGACCTCGGACAGGATCGACTCATCGTCTGAAAGCTTCTCGTCATCATCTTCGTCGTCTCCACCTTGCTCGGCAGCATCCTCCGCATTGTCGTCAAATTCAGCAGCAGGTTCCGCCGGTCTGGCATCCACTTCGTCGTCACCGGCAATCGGGGATGCGACTTTCTCGGGAACTTCGCGTTCGGGGGAAGCAGCGGACACAGCCGCTTGGTGCTCAGGGGAGGCGGACATTGTGGTATGAGAGGTTGCAAAGGTGAGAGTTCAGTTAGGGGATGTATCGCGACCAAGTCACGGTACGTTGTCCAATCTCAACGCCCTGCTGTAGCGGCGCGGAAATCCGAGAGCGATATGATGTGGCGAGAAATATCGATATATGAAGTAGAAAAACAGCAATATGCACGAAGATCGAGATAGAAGTGAAGAATAGAGAGGGTGGCAGTCAAGTGAAGGCAAAAGAGAAGATGAGATGGTCTGTGCTCCCGTGATTTCTTTCTCCTACGCAACTCTCAACTCCTCACCTCAACATCTACTCTTCCACATCTCCTCCCATCTCTATTCACAATGTTTGCCCCAGGTATGCTTGATCTCTGTCTTTCAAGCTACAGTTAACTAACATATCTCAAGGTCAAGAACAGATCTCCAAGGAAGAGATCAAGGTCAGCACATCGTGGCATCGGCCCCGGCCAATTCGATATTAACATATTTTACAGGCTGGTGAGATTGAGGCCAGCCAGACTGTCCAGATGGTTCTCGCTGGTGGTTTCCTCCTCTACCTTTGTAAGTCGAGCCTCCGAGTCCACCCGTGGACGTCACTGAAGTTTCTGAGCAAACAGCTTGAGAGAACATGAAGAGACACATGTTGATGAGTGCCCTGGAACTAACATACATGTCAAATAATAGCTCCCTTCGCCGTCGACTTCGTCCGCAAGTTCCTTTAAGCGGTTGATTCGTCGCCCTTCGTTTCTTCCCCGAGCTGGCTCAATCGCTGGTTATGATTGCGCGCGGTCACCTTGAGTGAGATGAGGTTTTCTCCCAACGTGGCAATATTCCAAGTTAGATATGATGGACCACATATGTCTAAACTATGGATAGCTCTGGCTCATCAATATCTTTGGATTTGGCTTGCAGTTGGGACTTGTATTACTATTGTACATGCTTGGTGTTTTCTGTGTTTTGTCGGATATAGAACAAACTAGAAATTACAAGATGATTTTTCATGGAAAACGAGTTGGCAAGAAGGTATGGCAGATGAGATCGTATTCAAGTATGCATTACAATGGTCCGGTCCCCTAGAACGCCAGTACTCCCATGACCGTCAAGATGAATAGAAACAGATGAACTTGAGACTTGAATGGCAGCTGAGCTGAAAGAAAGTAATCAGTTTCCGTTCGCGCTCTTCGCTTCTTCAAAGTCCTTCTTGATAGACTCCATTTCCTTCTGGAGATGCTGAATCTGGGAGTGGTAGTCATCGAGAATCTAAGATAGTCAGTAGGCGGTTCCAATAGCATGCAAATAAGGTAACGAACCTTCTTCGCTGTCTTCAAAGTCTGCTCATCGATATCGTCTTCAGCGGGTGTCACGCTCACGCCAGCACGATCCAACTCCGCCTGCAGTCGCTTGGAGTGCTCATGAATGGCCAGCATACGGGCCCAGATCTCTTCGCCACGGCCATTAATCGACGGGTCAAAGACAGAACGTTCCAGCTGGGTAAGCTTCTTTTTCAGCTCCTCTTCTGCCTCATCCATGGCGTAGCCTCGGTTGCGGAGGATCTGTGTCTTGGCAGCAAGGGCGAGGCACCGTTTGCTGAGAATAATATGTTTCCGACGGGCGTCGGCGATCTTAATGGACAGGTTGAGGTCATGCTTCGAAAGAAGCTCAGTCAGGCAGTTGTTGATCTCATGCAGGCGCGATTGCATCATGGTAAGGAAGTCTCTTTGTCGCTGAGCGCGCTTGCCGAGCTCCCAGAAGCCCTTCACAAGTACAGGGACATACCCCGGACCGGGGCGCTTGCGCAAAGCTTCCTCCCACTTTGTATGATCATCCTCGGGGCCCGGTTGGTAGAAAGGTGCGGCCTCCTCGCCGACATTGTTATAGAGATATGCTCGGAATGGCGAGGATTGACTGGGGGGATCCCACTTGTCCTTGACAATTGCGATCTGCATGGGAACGGTCCGGTGCACTAGTTAAATAGATTAGTATCTGCCATGCGGGGAAAGAGTAGAAAATGCTCACCTCCAGTGATCGCACGGCCGGGAGACCATAGGCTTGATGACAGGGGAGGCTGCTGCTGCTGGCCCTGTGGTGTAGCCATGGTAGTTTGGCCGAATTGCGATTGCTGTGGTTGCTGCGCTTGTTGCTGCTGGTTGCCCAGGAGCGATCCACCTCCGAGGCCAGTTGCCTGTTGAGTGTTGCCACCAAAGAGAGAGCCTTGTGGTTTCTGTCCAAGCGAGGTTCCGAATACGCTGCTCTGTTGCTGCGGCTGTTGCTGCTGCTGCGGCTGCCCGAAGGTACTTCCGCCGAGTAGGTTGTTCTGGGGCTTCTGTACATTTCCGAACAAGCCTCCTGATTGTTGTGTCTGAGGTGTAGTACTGGCGCCGAATGTTGAACCGCCGAGCGATCCTTGCTGCTGGTTCTGTTGCCCGAACATTCCCGTAGCGGTGGATTGGGCACCGGTTGTCGTACCACCGAAGGGTGACTTGTTCGCAGTGTTGCCAAACAGGCTACTGCCGGTGTTCTGGGCGGGCGCTCCGAAGAGAGAAGTCATGGTGGGCAATTGAAAGGCGCGATCTGGTTCCGCCAAAAAAAAAAAGTATGGACTGAAGCGAGCGCGTTGAGAGGGCGTCGATAGACGAGCAGAATAGAACTAACAGGACTGTAAGGGAAAAAGCGACAGATCCAGGTCGCATAGCCCGGGGAATGAAAGTTGGAAGTAAGAAAGCTGATGGGGAGCTGTCCGAGAAAGAAGAGCACCGGAGCTCGATTTGTTTGGGTCACGTGATTGAGCAACCAGCGAATTTCTATTCAACGCAATTCTGACTGGAAAACAAAGGGCAGTTTATAGACAACAATTGATCGCATTTGCCCGCTGAATCGTCTCAATTGTTTTTGCTCTTTTGTGAACACACATCACGTGACTCCATGCCCTCGGCCAATCAGCGCCAAGCCAAAAACCGACCTTTCCGCAACCCGCAGCTCTCTCGATCTCCAAGTCTTGCAATTGCACCTTCCCCTCATATCAACCGTCACCATGGCTCAGAGAGATCCTCGGTATGCACCTAGGTCTACTTCCCTAGGCCAAAACAAAGCTAACTTCCCCCTCCCACAGCTTCAACCAGCATGTCCTGGTGGACACCACGCCCATGCCCGACCACATCCCCAAGGTGGAGGAGATTGGTGCCACATCTGCGCCCCTCCACAGCGCAGCCTTTTACATCGGTGACCGGTGCCGGGCCTTCAATGACGATTATATGAAGTGCAAGGACGAGGCAAATGGCCGCGGGGAGATTGATTGCTTGAAGGAGGGTCGCAAGGTTACGCGCTGTGCCGCTAGCGTGTATGTGTTGCTTTTACAAATTGGCGTAAGGAGAGAAATTGACCCGTCACAGTCTCAAGGATATCAACACCCACTGCCTGGATCAGTTCAAGTCCCACTGGGAGTGCCTCGAGAACAACAACCACCACCTGTGGGAGTGCCGCAAGGCTGAGATGAACCTCAGCAAGTGTGTTTTCGACAAATTGGTATGCACCCATTGACCAATGCAATCATTTTGCATTCATGAGATTGCCACGACCCAGCTAACAATACATCGTTCTAGGGCCTGAAGAAGACCCTCCCTGGTGCGCCCGAGGGCCAGGTCCCCGTTCATCTGCGCCCCAAGCAGAAGTACGCTCAGTACACTGGACCGCAGTACTAAAGCATTGCGATTTATTTTGTCCCATCTAGACCCGCCCTGACTACTCTCGCGCCCCCTTCTTCCCCCGCTATATGGGCTCCGTCTTATTTCTTTATCCCTGTTTTATTTGGATGCTCGACTGTCAATCCGGTGTATGTTTGTGTAAATATCTATTGGCATCAGGAATGGTTAAATGATTTTCTGCTCAATATTCTCTTATGGGGTATATCTCTTCCTTGCCTCGGTGTATAAGATCATACGCTTCAAGGTATTCGCAGGCATCTGCTGAGTGCTCCGCTAACGCGTTAAACCCTGATTCATGCCGTGCTGGCTTGATGTATCCTCGGTTTGATACACAGGCGCTTAGGGAAATCGAAGACAACATGTGAACTGAATTTGAGCTTGGGCCTCGACCACATGAGATGAATGAGCAGTTTCATGCATTTTCAAGTACCGTCTATTCGTCTATCACCCACACCCTGCACCAGTCAATGACTGCATCTATTGAGGACATACATTCCTGTTGCCTTGAACCAAGAATGAACCCAACTCCAGCTAGACAGCATCGTACACACCCAGACAAGCCAACCAAGAATGAAAAGGAATAAGAAATCCCGAACCTCAATTGAAACCCATATATACTGGACAAAGAAATAGACACAAGAAAAGTAAGTAAGGACAAGAACTCCAACACGGGGATTTAATGCCAAAAGCAATGCAGAAAAGAAGAAGACGGATATAAACCCAAATATTCAAGGCAAGATAGGCATATCAACCCTCTTAAGCTTCAGCTTCCCCAGCCGAGCCTTCAATGCAGCCCAGCCAGTCTTAAGCCGAGCCTCAACACGACGATCACCACGCAACCGCATCCAAATCAACAACATGCCGAGCATAGCCAGATCCCACAGAATCTGCCGCACAGCAATCCACAGCATCCACTTGATCCAAGCCCACAGACCCGAGCGCCTGCGCTGAGCAACAGAACGCGCCTCCATCTGCTCGCGCACGGCAGCAATCTCAGCCGTCATTTTCGTTAAGGCCTGCTCGACTCGACGGCGCCAACGGCTATTCCGGGGGTTGACAGGATCACCTTGGGACTGGGAGTCTCGACGGTGAAGACCACTGCTGCCTATGCTTATTGCAGAGGCATGTTTGCGATGTCGATGTGAGGCGTCGGCATCAGTATTAGTATTGGTATTGGTGCTGGCATGATCGGGTTCCTGATCTGGGTCTTGGTCTTCATACAAGCTATCGCGGGCTTCTTCATACTCTTCATCTTCCTCGTCATCGTCATTAGGATCCTGATCTTCATCGTCTATAGGCCTCCGTCGATAATATTCCTCTTCCTCGGGCTGGCTAACCGGACTGAGAACCCGTAACCGGGAATCCCGATCTCGACGGGTGGTAATATCATCCCTCCGATCAGGACGTTCAAAGTCCTCAGTCGACTGCGCCAACCGACTCCCTATACTCCCATAAGCACTGCGCGATAAGTGCGGAACGCCAACGGTGTTAAGGGGACTAGAAGAAGACGACGAAGCAGTATTGAACTTGATCTGATCCCAGACAAACTCAAGCTCGGAAACGAGTTCGCGCGCTTCGGGCGTTTGCGATGCGTACTGGTGCATTGTATCGATCAAGGTGGAGATGTAGCGGCGTTTGGCTTCGGTGCGCGACATGTCGCGCTGAGCGTACCATGCATCCCTGCCAGAAAGGAACCCATGGTCAGCGATTGATCAAGCATCAACGGCACAAGTGTAGACTAAGCATGCGACATACCACTTCTCACACTCAGCATGTACCTCGGGAGTATTCCCAATCGGACGATCCATTACACCCTCGACATCCCCCTCTGTCAGCGGTTAGCCCTGTACCGCGTACCCCGTATCTCAGTTCTCCGGTGTAGACTCACCCATGCTCTGCTTGTACAAGCCATAGAGCTTCAAGCGCTCGGCGGCGGGAGGGCGCGCGGTCCCCGTCCGGGGAATCCGCTTAACGGTATTGAGGGCATGGACGAAGACGCGGTCTGGAGAGAGTAACGTGTCAGTATACGAGACTGCAAGGAGGATGAGCAGGTGTCACGCACCTACAGAGTCCGACATGGCGCGATAAGAAGTCCGGTGCCTGTCATGGAAGCGGGGATCATCGGCTTGACCTCATGAGAGCAGTCGAGTGTAATTCGAGTGAATTCGAGTATAGAATAGAATATATTGGAAGTTGGGCAAGGGGGGAGAATGGGGATGTGTTTCCCTTTTTCCCTGGGAGATGTTCCGATAAGTTCCTCGGAACGTAGCTTTCCCCGGATTGATGACTGTGGACTGGACTGTTAGCTGTTCTAGTATAGCGGTATAGGTATTCACGTCTTCAAATCTCCACGTAGTCAAGTTCTCGTCTGTCTATGATATTAGGGGAACCGAGAAGTGGCGTGTTTGATTTGGACCGCGGCTCTCGGGGCGAGATCGTCAGGCACTTGTGATTGTCCGAGTACGCGCTACACGATCTGTGCGAAATTAAGTACAAAAATAATTGTTTAAGATGTGTTAATATGTTAATGTACAAAATAAGTATCTAGTCGCTAGGCATCTTCTTCACCGCTTCCATGGCCTGTTCCGTATCTAACGCCGTCCCAGTCATAAGATCCGTAGCTGCGCGTGCCTCCTCACTGCTTACCGGTGGGCCAGTGAAATGTTTCCGCGCATAGACAAAGTACCAAAAGATACTGATGCTCGCAAATGCCGCAAAGACAACGCTGGCATAGTTCATCGACTCGGGGGTGACGGGCAGAGTGACAGGCATGCAGAAGAGAGCGACCGCCAGAACAATCCAAGCAATGGTAATGCCATTGATCACATATCCAAAGCGACCCAGAGAATAAGAAGAGCCCTTCACATCCTGTCGTCCTCGGATCATGGAAATGAGAATGGGCAGTCCATAGGAAGTGGAAAGACAAATGGTGGCGACACCGGTGAAAGAGTTGAATGCCGCAGTCGAGCCGAAATAGATCAATCCTAGGAGACCATCCACGGTCGCAGACAGGATCACCGCCCATACAGGCACATCTAGCGTGGGGTTGACCTTGCGCCAAAGCTTGAAGCCAGGGATGGCTCCGTCGCGTGCGAATGCATAGGTACAGCGACTGGCAGCTGTCAGGGACCCAATGCCTGCAAAGAGCATGATCCCCAGAACCAGGAAGAGCAGACCAAAGCCACCTCCAGCGGATCCTGTCACCGTCTTGAAGAGCAGGCCAATGGGTTGGCCGCTCGCCACATTCCGTAACATCTCCACATTGGGCATGACGAACAGGATCGGGATCAAATAGAGGAGACCGGTAATTCCAGCGGCCACGACCGACAGCACGATAGCCTTGGGCACCTCACGGTGTGGGTTCTGGACCTCTTCGCACATCGCCGCGACCATGCCGTATCCGGTCAAGGTGTATGCTGCCTGCAGCAACCCGACACAGAACGCCCATCCCGAGGGCCAGCCACTTGTGGAAGCATCAAAGTGAGCAAAAACAAATTCGCCGTCGCGACGGTCATCGGCCATAGTCAACAGTGTGATCATAATGATGATGACACTGGCAGCAGTCCAAAAGATACAGACCTTATTGATGAGATCCAACCACCGCGAGAGGAAGATGTTAACCAAGGCACAGAACAGCATGACCGCCCAGAACATCAGCACCGTCTGCCAGGCATTGGCGACAAAGGTTTCATCAAAAATCGAGATAGCACTGAGAATCAACTGACCCCCAGAGAAAATAATACTGAGCGTCACCGTCCAATTCCCGACCAGAGTCAACCAACCATCAATGAACGACATCAGCGGTGCCCAGCGACGAGTTGACAACATCGCACTCCAATAGTAGACACCGCCAGCCGTGGGGTAGACGGCACAGATCTCAGCCAGGGACGCGGCGATAGCGATGGAGATGAGGGTGACGAATACCCAGCCCCAGATAATAGTCACGGATAGACCGTCCGCGAGGGTGATATAGAGGGTCGTACTGAGACCGAATGGCGCGGCCATAATGGCAAAGGAAAGACCAAGGATGCTCATCATGCTTAGGTTTCGGGGTAGTTCGCTCTTGTAGCCCATACGGGCCAGCGCCTCGTCGGCGGTGGCATCTAGTGAGCTGCGCATTGTGTATAGTGTGTGTAGTTGTTGTATGGTAGAAGGTCTAGAAGATAGAGGGAATGATATATAAGGGTCTCCGGACGAACCCCCGCATTTGGATTGGCGCGGTCCGGGACCGCGGTCAAATTGAGTTGGAAGTTAGAGATAAGGGCGAATAAGAGTCTCGGGCAAGTTAGGCAGGACTTATTAAGGTTAACAGCAGATTAAAAGCTAACTAGGCTTATCATTTTCCGGCGAATGTCTTACCTGACCTAATGATAAGACCTGGAGTCGACCCACTCCGGGGCAGAGTTGTTAAGCCAACTTGGGTCCAACTTAGAATTTAGTTAGTGTTCGAATTACTATGTTATCAGATAGCATTCCAGTCTACCTATGATAGGCCACGTGGATCGACAGCCTGACCTTCTAGAACCTACACTGGTTACACGACCCTAGGAATGTCCCCCTCAACCATAAATCCTATATATGCAGAGATAGCGAAATCTGGCAAAGCAGAACAAAAGAGCTAGATCTCGCTCTTCCACCCTGTGTCCGGACATGGGAATGCGGAGTGTCTCCGTAGCGGAACCACTTTGACATCATATCGCGATCGGCAGACCCATAAGCTAACAAGCTAACAAGCTAACAAGGCGCGGTAAAAGGAACCAAAGCTTAAATGAAGAGACCACGAGACCCCTGTCGGCAAGAGGTTGAAAGATAGGGCATTAAATAGGGCGATAGGCATAGATGTATATGTTTCAGGTGAGTATGTGGATTCCATATGCCAATGGTCCATGGTTGCCCCTTTGATAAGGATCCTCGGGATACTTATAGCCCCCTGGTTGTTCACCCTAGATTCCTCCCATTCCCAATCCCTGAACATGCTATAATATGTACATACCCATGTGCTTCCATGCATCTTCCCAATGAAGACAGGATCTTCGAATCATAGGGCTTAGGGGCTGCATGGTGAAACAGCGCTTCTCCGCACTTCCAGACCGCGGTGCAATTGTATTGCTTTCTGAATAAATCAACACACCCTCGTCTGTGTCTCACATGGTTAAAAGAACGAGAGAGGAAGAGGAACGTCAGGTTGAAGTTTTTCAGGATTGACCTGGTCACGTCCCCACCTGATTAGAAATCACCTTGGTTGCAAGTAGGAAACTGCACTCCATCGAGAGGAAGGTCCAACCTGAGTGCAGTGAGGTATAGAAGGTATAGACATCATAATTAGAAATCAACCGAGGAATTGAGCTGTACGGGGTTACAAACATGATGTAAAACTCTCCGAGGCAAGTATAAAACGCCTCTCGTAATCACAAGGGAACAGGAGTATATTTATCAGCCATCTTTGTTCAAAGCTCATCAATATGTCTCAGACTCGAATCTTGTTGACTGGAGCAACCGGTTATATGTGAGTGTGCAAAGTTGTCAGGGTTATAAGCGTACATGGCTAAAGGTCAAACAACAGCGGTGGATCCGTTCTCGCAACACTGAAAAGTAGTCAGCACGAGAACATTCAGAATGCCCAAATTGATGTCCTGCTTCGTGGGGAGGAGCGAGGTGCCTTGTTCGACTCTTTTGGTGTTCAAGTCATCCCATTCCAAAGCCTGGACGAGACAGACTTTATCAGAAAGCTGTCAAGCGACTATGATGGTATAGACCCCTCTTCGTGCATCAATTAACTTGTATGCGGGTAATTGACACATCTGCAGTCATTATCAACACCGCATCGGCGTTCCATACCGAGTCAGCCAAAGCCATGATCTCAGGACTTGGTGATAGACAGTCTAAGACAGGCCAGAAGACCCATTTCATCCATGTACATCAAGCACACCTATCCAGAGTGACCACCCACTAAGCGGTTACTATAGACATCCGGAACATCTAGCATCGGCGATCATCCCATCAGCAAAACCTACATCGAGACCAACGAACTCCACGACGACGAGAACATCTACGAATACCAAAGAACCCGCGAAGCCAACGAAGCCTACAAACAACGAACAACCGACCTCGCAGTCTTCAACACCGGACTCGAAACCGGCGTCAAAACAACCATAATAATGGCCCCAACAATCTTCGGCATTGGCACAGGCCCAGCAAAGAAACTCTCAATCCAAATCCCAACCCTAATCCGACGCTCTCTGGAGTATAACCAGGCAGTGGTTATCGGCGATGGAGCAGGTGAATGGGATCATATCCATATATCCGATCTAACCTCGCTCTTTGAGCTAGCCTTGTTCAAGGTCCTGAATGGGGAAGATGTTCCATATGGGAAAGAGGGCGTATTATTTGCTGAAACAGGCCGACACACTTGGCTTGACATCTCGAAGGCCATTGCATCAGTAGGACAGGAATTGAAAGCCCTTGACACAGAAGGTGTCCGCATTGTCTCGTTGGACGAAGCAACAGCCTGGTCTGTGAATGGGAGTCGGCAAGTGAGGGAGTTGGGATTTGCTTCGAAGTAAGAAGATACTAGACCTCTTGTGATTGCGGTTATGCTGACTGGTTTAGTGCTCGGTCGAGGGCAATTCGTGGTAGAGCGTTGGGTTGGACGCCGCTGAGGGAAGGGGAGTGGAAGGATGCGGTCGAGGAAGATTTCAGGGCCATTTTGAAAGAATGTAAATGAGCGTCTGGGGTATGGAGCTGCCAGCTTACCTGCATGACGTGTGGCTAGTTCCTGCTGTCTTTTTTGTTACTGGTTGAGTATTGTTGTTTCTAGAAAGATTGACTTCATATTCGTATCCTTGTGTAGTCTTTGTTGATTTAAGGAATCTGCAATAGCAAGCTACAAGGACTACTGTTGAGGTCTTATGGAATACGGATTTTCTTTTTTTTTTTTTTTAATATTCCATTGCACACATACATCAAGGTCACACAAGGTGACGGCTGCCACATCAGGAACATGCTGCAAACACTCGTAAGAGGCGAGCAATCGATGAGCGCCAGGATGAATATCGACATAGAAGGGGAAAGGGAAAAGGAAAGGAAAAAACACATTTCCGGAGATCCACGAAGATTCGATCCAGATCCACACACTTCCATAGGGGTAAGGGGGGTATCAAAGGGGATAAAACACAAATGTGATCCAGTAATCTGGGAAGAAAAGAAATTTTTTTCTGTTTCAGATATCTAGACACGAGAGATGGGCGAAAGTAGGCCCAGGATGTTGAAGGGGAGGGCCGAGAGGGTTTTTCGGTCACAAAGAACCGTGCAAGTCGAACTCCGTCTATGTGACCACTCCCAGTAGCCGGATCGCAGCTTCGCGTGCAAAAAGAATGTGTGAAATGAGAACGCTGAGTCGTGACCAGCCAGCTAGTGCCAACTCCAAATCATAAAGAAACATGACCCGTAACGTATCGTTGAGGTCGGGGAAAATCAAGAAAACGCCCATTCATGCAGTCGTCAGTCCAGTGAAGTCGTTACATGGAGATGCAAGTACAGTCGCAGTGGGAAGCAAACGCGGGTCAAAAAAAGTCAGTGACGAGAGGGACATCTATGGGCTGAGTGGGAGATCATCAACTCCATCCGGCCCGAACCCAGCCATATCGACGGAGTGAAGGGATCCCGGCCCCTTGCCCAGGGAGATGTCGGAGGAAGCATAGTCGTGCTTGAGTCGTTCATGCGGCCCGAAGATGTGTGGCCCAAAGAACGGTCGATTCTCGTCATTGGGGGTGTTGCCATCCCCGGCGACCCACGGCCCGTTCTGCCAGAAGCGTGTATTGGCTTGTTGGTCGCCGAAGAGATCGTGGTGATCAGGGTGTGGGTCGGGTCCATGCATGGGGAACTCATTTGGCGACTGGAATCGGAGATGCGACCGGCCGAAACTGGAGCATGGGGAATCTGCGTGAAGCGGCATGTCGAGACCTGAAAGTAGAGGGGGATCCTCCACCGGGGTGATGTCAATAATCGGATTTTCTGTTTGTTGAGCCAAAGCCGCTGACAGCCGGAGATTCGAGGCTGAACTATGCCGGCTGTGACTGGCCGACCGCTCGATTGCACGCTGCACAAAGCTACCACAGTTCTTTAGAATTTTTTCCTGGGCCTCCTGTGGCAGACTATTGAAAAAGTCATTCGCCAGGGACTCCTTGGGCGATTCATCAGCCGCAGGAATCAACCCGTACGTAGACTTGGCATATTCGGAGAGACCGGACGGCATGTTGTATGGCGACTGGTAGACATTCGGAGCGGTGGATCGTTGCTGGTCGAGGTAGGCATATTTTCCGGGCATCTTCGCTGCCGCCACGCTACCTCGATCCACGGTCTCTTGCTTGATGTTTTCTGACTCTTTCTTTTGAATCACATCCAGTCGCTCACGGTGACTCACCAGCGAGAACCGCAACATCTGAAGGAGCCGAGTGACCTCTTCCGACCGCATGTTGAGGGTCTGAGGTGGCAGCAAGGTTCCGTCAGCGGCTCGTGGCTGTACCCGTTGCTGGGCCATGGCTAGTTCCAGCTTCTCCAGGCCATTGACCGGTGGTATTGAGCCCATCGGACCCAACAGGGTCTCAACTACCATTTCGGGACTGACGATGTCGTATCCGGCAAAAACATTGGCGTGGTCAGTTATTTGAGCGAGGCGGCGACGAGCTATGAGTTCCCGGACATTGGCAAAGGTATTGGTGGATGGGAGGTGATGCTGCTGCTGAGCGTGCGATTTGGCGACCGAGGGGTAGGGGGCATGGCGGGCAGACTGATTGGGTAGTGTTCGAAAGGCCGACGGCATCGCAGGAGCTCCAGCAGCAGCAGCACCGGCAAGGATACGGGGAGGGGGAGGGGCAAGGTGCTGCAGGGAGGCGGAAGGACGGGTGACATTCAAGAGTCGTTGTTGTTGGGCGTAAAGATTTTGCTGGTAGGGAGGGGCAGGGGTAGCATAATGAAACCGGTGGTGGGGTGAGATCTTCGATGCACGAGCGCTGACACCAGCCACGCCAAGCGACTTGACGCTGTCCAGGAAATTGGCCTGCGGGTTGTGGATGGGCACGCTAGGGTTGTGTGTATACTGTGCCCTACTCTCGGTGGACTTGGTGCCCAAGTAATGCCACACCTGCTCAACTCTCACCGGCCGGAGTGGGGCGAAATAGTTCCTAGTCGCATCCACCGTCTCGAATTCGGCCCACTGATAGGGAGATCGTGCATCGCCAAATGCACTGCCTGCCGCGGGCACCGCTGACTCTAACTCTTTTCGTTCGGGCTTGCGCGCTAGGTGGACCGGGAGGGGTTTGATTCCCAGTGCGAGCGGTACGAAATTAGACTTGCGAACCACCAGCATCCACCGATAAGGCATTTCAATCACATCGCTGCAGGGTTGTTAGCATTGGGAGAATATGGAAAATGAAGACCTCCAGTCCTGGAGGGCTCGGGAAATAGGTGACTCACCCTCGGGGCAGTACTTTGAGCAACAGGCTCCGCTCTTCGGGTCGATTTTCAAGCACAATGGCGCCATTAATTTCCTTGTCAGCCTGAAACTGGACCAAATTTCCTTGCGACTGATGACGGGCCTCTTCAATCACACGGCGATCCAAATCCGAGGATTCTCCCAGGACTCCGTTCGGTCGCTTCTGGCGATGGAATTTGCATTTCAAATCAACACTGGGAACTGAGTATTGACTGCCATCGTCGGCAATGACCGCAATCGCACCGAATTCAACCTGCACGCCAGCCAACAGGGCACAGGTGGCATGATAGGCGCGTGTGCATTTGCCGAAATTGCACTGGAAGCAAGCGCCGAAGACTTCGCGGCAAAAGAGACACTTCAGACCCAAGCGAGCCTTGGGGATCTTGTCAATATCACACACAACCTCCGTGCCGGACGCATCGCGAAGGATTGTAGTCTCCTCGACGAACAACGCGCACCGTCGGTGTGCGTGGCCTTTGCCATCCTCGGTCGGCAGCAGATCCTCATAGTCCAGATTGTTAGGGCACAGCAGACACGGGAGCTTCCGCGGACCATTGGTGTGGAGTCTGGATCGTTTGGTCCTCGGCCCGTCATCCGGGTTCTTCCGCTTTCGGCCACGGGAGGGATTCTCAGGAACACTGCGAGGCGGCGTGAGAATATCGGAAGCAGCTTCGAACCCATCGAGCTCGCTCTCGTATTCAGCGTAGTACTCGGGGGTGCTCTCGCCACGCAGTTTGCGCTCAATCTCATCCACGTCGATCCAGACACTGTCTGACTCGCAGTTGCATTTCTTGGCGATGCGAGCATAGTCTAACCACTGCTCAGTCGCAAAGTTGACCGACTCGGCGCAATTATATCCGATGTTGTATCCAGAGTGGTAGCCGTAAGGGAAGGTGATGACAAACTCCCCTTCATAGTGGACCAACCGGTTGACAGTGATGCCGTACTGGGACTTGAGTAGGCTAGGCGAGACGAGATAGGTCTTGTGGCGAAGGAATTGATCGCAGTTCTTTGCATCACTGGACCAAATACTGCGCATTGCTTGTTCAAAGCGAGGTGCATCTTCCTGGGAAATGCTGTACCATTGCTTTGGCGCACCAAAGTGGATGTAGTTGATACTGTAGAGATCCACATCCTCCAGATGCCAAGCAAATGTGGCCTTCCACATGCCCAGGTAGAGGTAAGCAGTGTTGACCCCAGGCACTTTTTGGCCAAGAACGTCGAGCAGATTGGGCAACTTGGCAACGTTCCAAGAGGTAGTACTATCCTCGAAGAGCGAACCAGGCATGTCGGCACCGTACATCGGGTTGTTGTACATGAGTGACTTCCAGTAGTTGGTTTCTAATTCCTCGCATCGCTCCGCGGTGTAGTCCTCGTTGTCATGGATTCGATAATCAAAGCTCTTGAACGCCTCCTCGTCGACTTGATCCATGACTTCCCCACGGTTGTTCTTTCGGCGTGAAGACACAGACTTGGGCTGTCGGCCCTTTGGCTTGGTGGTAGGGAGCGACTCGCCTTCACTCAAGTCCTCGCTCTTGGTCTCCACCGGGTTGGTCTCTGGTGATTCGGGCGTCGGTGGTCCTTCGAGTTTGGATTTGTCGACGTCATCAGTAGACTCCTCTTTGATTTTGACCTGATTTGTCCGCTTCGGAGGGCGGCCAGGGCGGCGCTTCTGGCCCTCGGGGCGAGTGGATTGGGGACGTGGGGTGGGAGCTGAACGATTCACTCGTTCCTGGTTGCGGCGTCGCTCTCCTCTGCGAGCAGGGGGCTGGTGGCTGCTCTCTTCGCATAGGCCTTTCCACTGAGGAAGGTTGTACGAGCGCTGTCGTTCGATGTTCGCTTGAGTGTATGTACCGTGGGATCCGTGGAATTCCTGCATGATGGGGTTCTTCACCCGAATGTTCTTGACCGCATCATCCAACGGTGGAAGTGACTCGGACCTTTTGGGGAAGCGTAAGCACAAGGACCCTCGAGAGCACAATTCAATCAACTCACCATTCTTTTGGAGGAACCACTTTCACGATTCCTGCCTGCATTCCGTATTTGTCGATCTTCTTGATGAAGGCCTGAAAGTCTCTAAATTGGTCCATGGTCTAAAGTACCCCCGTCAGCCTGTTTCTTAATAATGCGCAGTATCTCCACGGCTTAGTATGCGGAACGTGTAGTGCACTCACCGGCTTGAAAACGGGAATCTTGCCGCCGCCATAGTAATGATCGGGTTCAATGTCTTCCACTTCTTCCTCCTTGACCTCGGCTGTCTCAGGCGCCGGGGCGGCTTTGTGATCCAGCTCGAGGTCTGATAGCTCGGAAGGTACGCCTTCAGGTGCCATGGTTTTGCCGTGTGCGCTCTGCGGCGGAGTGATTGAAGCAGAGTCCGCCGCAGGGGCGCCGGCGAGGGGGTCGCAGTGCAACTGGTCGATTGTCGCAGCCATCATCGCGGGCGATGAAGGCAAGTTGGGGAGCCTATTCAGGAGTTGGTAGCCGCCGTCGTCGGATGACCGCTGATCGACGGCGAGGTGGAAGTGTTTCCCAGCGGTCGGGGGAAGCGGAACAAATAGGTGTGGCAAATGGAAAGGAGTATATCGAGATCAGAAGAAATCACCAGTGTCGGAGTGTAAGGGTACACTAGGCGTATGTAGGATGTAGGTCGATTGCGATAAGCTTTTCGGATAGTTCGAATTTCCTGAAGCCGAGCAAATAAATCAAAGGCGGAATAGAGAAGGGAAGACAAAGGTCCAAGCAGACCAAGTCTTTCTGGAAAGAAGAGGTAGCAATAGAGTGGGCCAATGCAGGTGCCGGGACTGCAAGATGGTCTGATACTGAAAGGAGGTAGGGGCAGGTGGGCACAGGGCGAGGAATGATGGGTTTGAGATTCGACAAATCAGAGGGAAGAAAAGGGCAAGGGTGGAAATGGTCCAGAGAAGTGTACTTTAGCCCGACTTGTATATCCCGTGTCGGATAAAAGGACTGCTAGATGCTCAAGGACCTGATCCAACCAAATGCACATAGACAGCAAAGGTCTTACCGAGGTGCTCATGCAGTTGACGTGGATCAAAAAGAAACTCGATTATCAGGAGAGCTCCATCCAGTCACATCACGTGATGTCATGTGACCAGTGCCTTTCCGTGAATATCCTCTGCCCAGGTGAGGTGGGTTGTTTGATTGGGCAATTAATACGTTATTCTACTTTGTCTATACATATAAAACATTTTGAATAAGCTACATCCACAGTAGGATATACATGTAGAGAGAAAGTCATGACATGGCTCACGCAATCTCGGATACGGCGGCCCGACGAACAACCCCTTGATGAGATCAGCTTCAGGGTCCAAGCACTATACCTGGACATGTCTACAACTTCACAATTGACTATATTTAACTTATATATGTTAAGTTATGTTACTACTGAGTATAAATAGAAAATTGGAACACGAAACTGTTACAAATCCCAACATTCCAGGCCGAGATCGCTCTGCAGATCTGTGGATGCGCATCTAATCTTAGCGGCGTTTGGACCATTTCATCATTTATGTCTATAGATGTGGATGTCTAGCTAACTTTACACTCTATTGTTTCCACTCGTCAAACAACTTGTCATCCAACGTAGTATATCCATCCACAACCTTTAGTCCCCGCTGCCGTTCCTGGTCGATGCGCTCCCACGTCCATTCCTCCGAGCTCCACAGGTCGGTATTCTCTTTCTGCTGCTTCTCGAGAGTTTCCTGGCCGGGGATCTGGTCCTCGCTCAGCTTCAGTACTTCCCGAACTAGCGACCCATCTACCCCCGTTGCAGTGATACCTTCAGTGCTACCAGGGGTATCAACGCCGGAAGCGTCGGCGGAAGAGTCGGCTGGTGTGGCCTTGGCTTCGATCCCCGCTGGCGGGGCGGGGAGGAACCCACTTGCGCGCAGGATCCGTTCTGGCGCAACAGTGAGTCGGCCTTTCTTAACCACATACTTGCTGACGGCCACGGCAAGCATGGTCTTTTCGCCGCCACCGCGGGCAGGTCGCATGAAGCAGGTCAAGATATACATCCACTTTTTATCCCAGGAGATCACCTTGGAGTGCATCTCATACAGTTCAAATGGTTTGATTTCACGCTTGAAGGTGCAGTAGACCGATCCGAGTACGATAGAGATCGCCTTGCGCTTCGGGGCACGCTTGCCCTCTTTCTTGCTTGCAGCCAAGAACTCCTCATCGAGCTCCTTGCTCACAATGCCCACACCCGGACTGTAAAGTCGACTCACAAGCGCAGTACGAGAAATATCCAAGTCTGCAAAGTAAGTGCTGTTGGACTTGTGCAGATTGTAATCAGTCTCCAACAGCGGCGTGCGGGATGTGACCATGCGAGGCACAAAGACAGGATGTGTCGGCTTGCCTTGCGCATCCACAACTGCTCTTCCCTTGGGGAAAAATGGGTCGCTGGGTTTGAAACGCAAGTTGCCCACGAAGTGATACAGCACGCGGAACTGATCCTGTCAGTGGTGTAACAGTGGAGATCTGCCGATGGAAAAAGGCAATTCCAACTCTCGTTTCAGGGGCCAGAACTTACATGCCAGACAAACGGGAGGCTCTTCAAATTGATCACAGCAAGGATCAAGGCAAGGGTTTTCCACGAGGCGAGCGACATGGCCGCGCCTATAATTTCGCGCATATTGTCCATGTGAAAAGATGGAATTTTCATTGAGATATTTCTCGTGGCCGGGAACAACAGCTCAGAAGTGGGCAAGGAAATAACAACTGAGAGTCCCTTGCAGGGAGATAGGCGATAACCAGGATATACTCCGATCTATACGTCACTCAGGAGAATCAGATGAAAGGAACTCAAGCACAAGAACACGAACACACTCGGAAAAGAGAAACCAAAAAAGTTGAAAGCAATGAAATGAATGACCCCACGATAACGAAAGCTGACCGCGCTTGCCGATCACAGATCGTGATATCTTCAGCTCTCTCCTTTTCATGACCGAGGCTCCGATGGCACACGTGATTCTGCTTAGTCATTGCTCTTCAGCATGAGCCCTCGGACAGACGGAGGCTTCGGGATGCTTTCAAAAGCAAGTATGGAATACTGGTTTTGATAAGGTTATTTAGTGCTATCAATAACTGCTGGGCCAGTTTTATGAAGAAAATACAGATATTGGAAGGACAACATGTCCGATGTGGATAAATTCATAGAGGTATATATCTGAAATGTCTAACATTCTGTCTGCAAATCTCTTTTCTGAATTTTTCAAACAAAACATAGGTTAGGAGCAATGTTGGAAGCATTATGCCCATGCTAGATACAGGTACTTTTATTCAGGGATCTAACATGTACAGAGAGCGTTCATATGGCTAAATCACAAATCGATCAGGGTTCTAACGTTAGCCCGAAAGAGATACGTGCACTGACATCTCATTGGACAGGGTTCATGAATATTCATGACTCGCAATGACTCATGGTGATCTCGTGGACAAGGCGGATACTTCGAACGTGAACTATTAAAGATTCTAACCTTTAAGTAACAACCGCCCAAGGAAATCTCAAAATATCGACCATTGACAATGGGCTCAAACCATGCGATCATCTTCGGCGCATCCGGCATAACTGGCTGGGCTCTGGTTAACCAACTCTTGGGTCCCTACCCCGATGCTGGCACGTTCTCCAAGGTCACTGCTATCACCAACCGCCCCCTCAACCTCTCCGAGACTTGTTGGCCTGAGTCAAACTCGCAACGACAAGACCTGCAGCTCGTCTCAGGCATTGACCTTCGTCGAGGTGATGGGACTACACTGGCAGATACTTTAAAACGCACAGTGAAAGATGTCGAAAGTGTCACCCATATCTACTACCTGGGTATGTCCCCATTGGAATATCACGAAGTGCAAAACTCATCACCAGAAGTTTTCACCGCAGTCGGAGACATTAGCGAGGAAGTCGCAACAAATCGGAAAATGTTTAAGAATGTCATCGACGCCCACAGTTTGATCAGCCCCAAGCTGAAGTTTGTGACATTCCCGGGTGGGACACGGGTAAGTATCCAAGCTATTCACATAGCCATCGCATGCTAATGAAACAGGGATACGGTACTTACTCCCCTGGTGGCACGTTCACTCCACCCTTACACGAGGAAATGGTGAACGATCTTCCAGTAGATTACGCAAAGACTGTCGTATATACAGAGCACCGCAAGCTTCTTGATGCTGCGAGCAAGGGCAAGAACTGGACTTGGTGCGAAGTCTGTCCAGATGCAATTGTGACTCTCCTACAACTGCTTTCCGGCTTAACTAACATGTATCAAGATTGGTTTCACGCCGAACGGCTCTCAGTACAGTTTATCACTACATTGGGCCCAGTATCTGTCTCTGTGGGCCTATAACCATGGAATCGGACCCTATACACCTGGAACCAACAAAGCCGTCGAAGTACCTTTCCCGGGCAGCGCGGCCGGTGCCAACTCGTTGTTCTCTCCAGTATCTAGCAAGACGATGGCACGGTTCATGATCTATGCCTCGCTGCACCCAGAGACCTGTGGTAACGGCCAGCTATTCAACATTGCCGACAACGAGACGCCATGCAAGTATGGTGAGATCTGGCCCCATCTGGCAAATTGGTTTGGCCTGGTGGGCGTGGGACCCACTGATATCCCACAATCTCTTGACAACACGTTGAAAGTTGGCGAGGTCCCTGAAACCACGCCTTCTGTTATGCCCGGGGAGTATATTGCCAAGCACAGGGACAAGTTTGCCGAGTGTGGACGTCCCAATGCTGTCAGTGGAGGCGTTGGTGTGGGTAACCGGCAGCTTGACAGCGTGGGTTACTGGTTGACTTTTGACCGGCAATTAAGTTTGAAGAGGCTGAGGGGGACAGGGTTTGAGGGGGATATTGATCCTGTTCAGGGCTGGCTTGAAAGTTTCAAGATGTTCAGAAAAGCCGGATTGATACTCTGAGTCGGAGTACTACTTTTGCTTTAATATACATGCAAATAGGGGCTGCTATACTCCATCAGTTTATGTATATCCTACCGGTCCATTCCATGATATGTGCTGTACATGAGGAGCTCAGTCAGTCCCTATGCTGAATCTTTGGAACAGATCCCTCAAAATTGGAACTTGAATAGTTACCTATCTAGAAAAGTGCTTTGTTATTCTGCGGATACTAACCCATACCCGAGTGAGAGCCTAACAAGGAAGTAGCCTGGAATGATAGATTCGTCTTTCAAAGTTGCCGTATTGGGACTTGTGTTTGCTCTCACCTAAGATCTGAGGCAGCAACTTCAATACACCAGTGGACTCCCAGCATCTTTTGTTTATCTCACCTTCTTCCCTCCGATTCCCACCTTCTTCTCTTATCATCCTCAACACTCTCAAACCCCCCGAACCCTTTTCACGACTCTCCATCATGCCTGGGATTCCTCTCGGACGATTTCTCTTTGCCCGCCTTCGCCAGGTTGGTCTTAACGCAGTGCAGGCTGTTCCTTCACAGAACAATTTTGAGATTCTGAACCAGGCGATTTCTGCCGGGCTTGAATGGACCCAGCATTCCAGCGACCTCAATGCTGGCTTTGCTGCAGATGGCTATGGACAAATCCGGGGAATTGCTGCTCTGATTACTTCATTTGAATCTCTCGAGAAGAAGATGTCTGTCAAGGATGCAATTAGCGGGTCCTATGAAGGGATGGTACCTGTCGTCGTTATTGTTGGAACTCCGCCGCGCATGGAACAATTCCAGGCTATCAAATTCCACCACCGTTTTTGCGATTCACAGCCAGATGTCCTTCAACAGTTTGCCAACTGGTTCACCAAGATTACCGTCACACAGGAAATCCTTCTCGACCCCAATGAAGCCACTGATCAGATTGACAACGCAATCAGAGAATGTATCCTTCAGTCCCGACCCGTTTACATCGAACTACCCGAGGACATGGTGGACATGAATATATTCACAACTGCACTCGATGATCCATTGGATCTCAACCTCCCGCCCAATGATGATGAACTCGAACAAACGGCGTTGGTAGAAATCATGAGCAGAATCAGAATGGCAGAGCGACCTGTGATTCTGATAGATGCTGGTGCCTCGACTTGTGGTGCGCGTGAAATCAATCGTTTGGCAAAGAGGACTGGATTCCCAACCGCAACAACCTCAGTTCGTAGAGGTCTTGTGGACGAGACTTTGCAGAACTTTCATGGACCCATGTGCTCCAAGTATGACAGGCTCGGTGCATATGTTGAATCTTCCGACCTTATTTTCCACATTGGGCCCATCAAGACCATGTTTTGGTCTCCCCCTTTTGTTCCGGAGTTCAAGCGGGATACAACAATCACTTTCAACTGGAATTGCATTGCAATGGGACACCAACTATGGGAAGTTTCCAGCAGGCTCATATTTCAGAAGATCCTAAGGTCTCTGAGCCAAGAAAGGCTCCAAGACCTTGCAACTTATCCTGACTTGCCAAATGTTCGGGAGAGTATCGACATGCTTCCCGTTCAAAAGAAGGCTACACCTCTCCGGCACGACGTCTATGCTTCTCTTTGGCGACGAATTTCATGCTTTTTCCGCCCCGGGGACCTTATTCTCACGGAAACCATCACAGCAGGCGAGGGAGCACGCTCGTTTGTTCTGCCCCGGAATGCAATCGTAATCAACTCGGGACTTCACAGATCCCCCGAGTACATGCTTGCTACCACCTCAGGCGTGGCCATCGCGCAACGAGAGCTTGATGAATCCAAATACCCGTTTGGACAAGGACGGACGATTCTTTTCGAAGGAATCGAGGGTTTCCAGCAGGCTCATAGGGTCTTTGGTACGGTGTACAGGGAGAAACTGAATATGGTTGTGTTCCTGATCAACGAAAAGCAGGAATCGGTGGAGAGATTCATGCACGAAATGGAGATGAAACACAACCATGGCGCCCCTTGGAGATATTCGGAATCTCTTTCTTTCTTCGGATCACCAAGCGAGACATCCTACCCGGTTTCCGTCAGCACCGTCCGCACCTGGGGCGAACTTGATGATATTCTCGATGACAAGAGAGTTCAATCAGGGGCTGGACTACAGCTTGTGGAGTTGAAGATCCAACCTCAGGTTCTCGAAGTACCTGGTCTTTTCAGTGGAAAATATGGCGAATGTCCAAGTCTTTTGACCGAGAAGTACGGGTTTATGAAGGATTGAGTTCCCCGCAGATAGAGAAACAACCGCCGAATCATGTTAGATTAGAGGAGGAGATACATCAGAACAATAAAAATCTATCACATGGTCCGTCTAGGGTGTCTTCTCTAATTTATCGACAGCTCACGTACCATAGCCCACATAGTAAATTCTTCCAGTGCATTCCAGACCCCAATAGCACATTTTCGACTACCCAAGATAGAGAAACCTTGCTTGAGCCAATAGGCACCAGTATCCTCTTTAGCAACACGAATCATTATGCGTACCGGAGATGACAGATGTCTGTCTTCAACCCGGTGTCGTCGTAAAACCTCCTCTTCACAGGCCCTGACAAGATGTCCCGCAATCCCCCTGCCACGGTATCGAGGATCTGGAGGAAGAGCCACAACAGCTACCTCATAATCACCTAGACAGGCATGTTTCTCGAGAACATGATCCATATCCTCATTGACTTCGTCCGCAAGCTCCGCTACAACGGAATCGATGTCGTTTCCAGCTTCATTGCAGGGCTCCCAAAGACCATCATCTGTCCATTTCTTCAAACTTGCCGTCCCAATCACTTCGGGTTTATGGTCCGGACCGCTGTCAACCAGAGCCACCGCGGTGAATCCATCCGGTCCGATTTCTTTGGATAACTGCGAGTCGCTCGATAGTCGGATCTTGTCTTCGGGAAACTTGATTTTGCTGGTGTGACTGACGCGATAGCTTGCATTGACCATGCTAGTGAGGTCGGGGAGCCATGGTTGGGAGAGAAGCTCGGCTGATGTATAGAGCTTGATATGGAAGGCTGGCCCTGGTTGCATCCTTCAGCTGAATACTTTGACGCGGGAGTATCTCGGTAAACTGGTAGATAGAAAGGTGGAGAAAGAAAATTGTCCAAAGGGTTCACAGGTGCGATATCAAGATGTTATAAGCATTTTCCTATGTGGGGATTACCAGAGTTCAGTCACCCGATACGAGACAGTGAACCACAGAAATTGCGCTTTGCCCTCCGATATCGTTGCATTTCGGATCGGAAATTACGCGCGGTCCGTGGGGAAGGGCCGATATGGCTGTCTACATCTGGATGCCTACGCGGCTACATTCAACTCTGGTGCTTTATATTCATACTTTTAACAACCCCCATCGTGATATCGATCATGGGGGGAAACATAAATCCCTAGACCATTATTAAAACTTAGCAAACTTCAGCGATCCTCTATTGAACGAATCGAGAAACTGGCATTCAATATCACGCATTCATTAGAGAGGGCGATGTAGGGCTGGGGAAATGTGATTTGTAAGGTGACGTCAGGTGATCGATCTTATCGAGCATTAATCAGCAACCTCTCTTATCTCTGTCCCTCGCCAGATGAACTTCTCGACTCAACTATGACTGATCGGTCGGTCTCATGAATTATCAGACCATCAGTATGGATGGTGATGCCTCCGAACAGCATCACCGGGTGACCCGGTCATCGATATCGGACCCGCCACCTACAGATCCCGTCGAACCCGCACATGGCCGAGCTCCCACCTCCGCCCAGAGCTTCACTCCGCGCTCACTCCTCGTCGGCCTCATCATCGGGGCCCTGATCACATTCTCGAATACCTACTTTGGCTTACAGACAGGATGGATCAGCACAATGGCCATGCCTTCGGCCTTGATTGGTTTCTCAGTCTTCAAGGTTCTCTCCAAGCATCTGTCATTCCCGTTCACGCCGGTTGAGAATGTTCTGATTCAGACGGTGGCAGGTGCAGTCGGAACAATGCCACTTGGATGTGGCTTTGTTGGGGTTATACCCGCCCTGGAGTTCCTGCTTAAGCCGGGCGCAGATGGACCGGAAGGCGATGGCGGGGAAGGCGAGGGTGGCCCTCTGAACCTCAGCTTCTGGAAGTTGGTGATCTGGAGTCTTGGGGTTTGCCTCTTTGGTGTCGTATTTGCGGTACCGCTGCGGAAAGAGGTGATTGTCCGAGAGAAATTGCGATTCCCGAGTGGCACTGCCTCTGCCTTGATGCTCAAGGTCTTGCATGGCTCTGGGAGCAAAGAAAAGATTATAGCACCTGAACATCCTCGTGCGGATGATTTGGACACGATTGCACCGCCTCCTTATACGCAAGAAGAAACAAGTCTTCTGAAAGATGCAGATGCTGAAGATCAAGCTGCCAACCAACGAGATTGGCGGTCGAAGATGCGCCTCTTGATCGGCGCCTTTGTAGTTTCTGGAGTCTATGTAAGAGCCCCCAGATTTCTCAATGTAAGAGTCACACTAATGATTGTAGACACTATTCTCTTACTTTGTTCCTCTGGTCCGTGATATTCCCTTGTTCGGCCTAAGCATGGCCCACAACTGGCTGTGGACCCTCAACCCATCACCAGCCTACATTGGCCAAGGCATAATTATGGGCCCATCGACTTGCATGCATATGCTCTTCGGTGCCGTATTAGGATGGGGTATTTTATCACCGCTCGCCAAAGCTCGTGGTTGGGCACCCGGTCCGGTAGACAGCTGGGATGATGGAAGCAAAGCATGGATTGTCTGGATATCACTGGCTATTATGCTTGCTGATTCACTTGTTAGTTTGGGATGGCTTCTTCTCAAGCCCATCGTGGCTCGTTCCCCCGGATGGATCGCCTGGTTCCGATCTACTCGTGTGGGACAATGGATCGCACTTCGGCTGCAGTCCCATCAGCACTCATATATCAACTACTCTGCATTGGAGTCTGAGAATCACCCGCTCACTCATGAACAGGATGATAACCAGATGCATGGAGCCCAGGGCGAGGAGGAAGAGGAAGATGCGCCACAATCCCAACTCATTTCCACTCGCACGGTGGTGATTCTCCTTCCATTGACTCTTCTGCTGAATGTTGTGTGCATGCATATTGTATTTGGAGACATTATTTCTCCTCTTCTTTCGACCCTTGCTACCCTATTGGCGGTGCTTCTGTCCATCATGGGCGTTCGAGCTCTGGGCGAGACCGATCTCAACCCAGTCTCGGGTATCAGCAAGCTCACACAACTCCTCTTCTCACTCGCCACACCCTCCTCTCATTTCTCTCGACGTACTGCACTAGTAACCAACCTACTGGCAGGTGCAGTATCTGAATCCGGAGCTTTGCAGGCCGGTGACATGATGCAAGACTTGAAAACTGGTCACCTGCTCGGCGCAAGCCCCAAGGCCCAATTCTATGGGCAGATGATTGGCAGTCTTGTTGGTGCTGTTCTATCTACCGCTGTATATAAACTATACGTGAACGTCTACGAGGTTCCTGGCGAGATGTTCCAGACACCTACTGCGTATGTCTGGATCTTCACTGCTCGCCTGGTGACTGGCCAAGGTCTCCCAGAAATGGCTTGGCAGATGTCCTTTGTTTTCGGCATTATCTGGGTATTTATCACTGCCCTAAGGATTGCAACTGCGTCTCCTGCCTTCTCTCGCAATGGGAATCCTCCGCCCTGGAGATCGTGGATCCCTGGTGGTATTGCCGTTGCTGTTGGTATCTTCAACGTACCATCCTTTACTTTGGCTAGAGCCATTGGCGGTATTGTCGCATGGTGGTGGTCGCGGAAGCATTCGGAGACAGCGATCGAGCCTGTCGCTGGTGGAAACACTAATGGCTCTGGTCCCTCCACAGAGTCTGAAACTCGTGAACGTGGGCCATCATCAGCCGAACAGGCATCCGAAAAAGCAGATGCTGCCTCCTCGGCAGTCGTTGTTTTGGCTTCTGGTCTTATTCTGGGCGAAGGTATCATGAGTATCGTGAACCTTCTTCTTGCAAGTGGACGAGTTCCGCATCTGTGATATAAGGGAGTGTTTCGGGATACAATATATAGCCAAAAGCATTCATACACTGGTATGATACCATAGATTTAATGAATTTCGGGTCTCACTTACAAAGTAGAACCTCAATTCTATGTATCTTGTTCAGTCATTTTGATACAAGTTCCAAACACATGGCAAAGCCCTAAGTAGAATAAAAGCATAGCGCCGGTTTTTGTTGTCTGCTTTCTCGCAGGCTTCTTTGGCTTCGTTAAAACCAGCATTGTCACTGTTGCCTTGCGTGATATGTGGAGCAAAGAGACAAGAAGAAGGGGGGTCAGTAGCTATAGATGCTTAGAGGCTAGGGGAGCCTCTTACTTAATAAGTACTAACGTAAAAAGAAAATATCAAAGATATATAACTTAGGAGGCAGCAAATGCAACGGATCGGTCATTTAAGGCAGTGGTTGAGCGAGAGGATCTAGGGGACAAGCAGGCTTCTTAAGCAAAGCCAACACCTCTACTTTCTCTGTTATTTTACAGCAATATAATTCAAGTTTGTTTTCCAAAAACAAAATGTCTACTATTTCCGAGAAATAACTTACGACCTTTTGTAAACTAAAGCGCTTCTTCGCCATGGCGTCCTTAGCTAACGAGGAGGGGGGTTTGTTATTCGCGGCACAAAGACATGTAATTAGAATGTCGTGCTCGATTGATGTGGAATACGTGTGCTAAAGGCGACGACAGATTACACCCATGAAGCAGAAAGTGAGTATACAGCAGCAGGTGCTTACCAGACATCGCCAAAGGGATAAAATCGTCTTTCGGGAAAAGCTACGCCTAGCTTCATAATACAAAGAGCGAACCATTTAGAGCCATAGTTGCAAACAATCTAAATTCTACACTGATATGAACATACGCAAGAATAGCTGTGTTAATACAGGCCAAATGATCCGGTTTTTCCAGCTTATTTGAACATGCCACGCAGAGTCTCAATCCGGGTCAATATCAATCCAGTAAAAAAAGGCGAAAGTTGCAAGCATCTTCCAGCCGTCGAAGAAAAAGAGGGGTAAAAAAGGGGACAAAAAAGGATAAGTGGGAATCGGCCTTTGGGTAACATTACATAGGTGCCATTAGGAATACAGAGGGCACTTAGGCCACGGACCGGGAGAGTGAATAGGTAAGAACAAGTCAAATCAATGGGAAATGGGGACAGTGGAAGCAGGAAAATGATTCCAACGGGCAGTACACAGTACAGGTTCAAGTTAAGGGGTTGTTCGTCATGGATGCGGGTAGATGGATATCAAGTCAAAAATCGAAATCAACAGTCGTAGTAGGCAAACTCATTTCCGTCCAGCGGGACACTGACAGGTCAGTGGATATGCCTCTGTTCTGGACAAGACACAGGCTCTGTCCAGATGAAAAATTCGGTCAGTTAAGCGTCCTGGGCGGGGACGGGCTTGCGCGAGACCTGCGAGCTCGAGGGCGAGGTCGGTGCGGAACTCGGAATAGCTGGAAGCTCGCCAGTGGGGGCGGGAACGGGAGCGGCTAGTGGACTGGAGACCGGCGGGGCAGCGGCGGCAATGTTAGGAGGGGCCATGTTGCCGGCACTGTTGCTGCGTTGGCGTTGGTTGACGGGCATCTGGGGGCGCTGCATTCCGGGATGGCCATACGGACCAGGGCTCATTGAGCGGGGACTAGGTCGGCCGGCACTGGGAGACATGGAGCGAGGACCGGGCATACCACCAGGTCCGGGAGACATAGAACGGGGAACAGGCATTCCTCCTGGGCCGGGGCTCATCGCACGTGGACCAGGTCGGCCAGGTCCAGGAGACATGGAACGAGGAACAGCTGGGAACTGAACAGGCGACACTTGAGTGCCCGGGTAAGAGCCAGGAGGACCAGCGAAGCCAGGGCCAGAGGGAGATCTCGGGCGTGCATCCTGGGGATAGAATCGGCCAGGAGGCGCCATGGGGCGGCCATCAGGGCCCATGATGGGTGGGCCACGCGAGCCAGGATTGCCAGGAGGTGGGCGAGGGCGAGGCATCACAGGGCGGGCCGAGAGGCAAGACCGAGGGGCCACACCTTGCTGAGAGCGATCAAGGCGGATACAGAGAGCCTGAGAGGACAAGTTAGTAATTTGATCTTCTAAACCATACTTTCTCCAGGAAACGAGGAAGTACTCACCCATCCATCGTCGTATTCGTGAAGCAGCCGCACCAGGGAACCAGAACGAAGACCAAGCTCGTCCTCCATGGACGGGTTGAAATCGAGTTGCACACGGTGAACATTGTTGGGACCAGCAGCTCCTGCCGCGGCGCCTGCTAGTTCAACTGTAGGCCCGGCAGCAGCGGCAGAGAAACCATTGACAGGGCTCGTCGAGGATTGAGGGGAGACAGTGGGGGAATGAGCGCGTGAACCTGCAGTCCCGGGACGAGCAGTCTCCTCCTTGGACTCATGAGAGGCGGCTGCAGCACCTGCAACGGCGCCAGCCGCAGCAGTGCCGACGGCTGCAGCTGCCATAGTCGATCCAGAGGTTCCATTGCTGGCCTCGGAAACGGAAGGTGCATGGGCAGACACAGGGGTATCGGCAGTACCGAAAGGATTCACGGGGTCATTAAATGGATTGGGGCTGCTGCCAGCCGACTTGGGAGGAGTGGGGGGCGGCGAGTCACCAGTGAGGTTACGAGAAGCAATGGCTGCTGAGCCGGCTGCAGCACCGGCAGCACCAGCGGTAGCCGGGTTGATACCACCGCCGCCACTGAGGTCGGGTGCGAATTGAGTAACAGGGCGAACATTGAGTACCGGAGGAGTCGAGGGAGTCAGAGGCTTAGGAGGTGGTGGCAGAGAAGCTGCGAGGCCTCCTTCGGGCAGGCCTTCACCTCCAAATGCCTTCTCGTTCTCCTGTTGATAACCATCTTGGCTTCTCTTCTTCTTGCGAACGATGAAAAAGATCAGGGCGGCAATCACACCCACACCAAGGATCACACCAATGGCCACGCCAGCCTTGGCACCCCCGGACATGCCAGCAGAAGTGGTGGAACTACCAATGGCAGTGGAAGAGGCCGAGGCGGCCGAATCAGTGGCCGATCCAGTGGAAGTTGCGGCGAGAAGATCGTTGACATCCTGGCTAGTCTCCGCGGTAGGGGATGCCGAAGTTACAAAGGAGGTTGCAGTACTCTGGGACTCGGTGGTCGATGCTTGCTTGGCCGTTTTTTCAGTCGTTTCAGCTTTCGTAGTTTCCGTGCTCTGCGCTGAAGTTTGAGTCGTGAGGGCCTCGGTCTCTTTGGTGGTAGCCGCTTCCTCCTTAGATGTGGTGGTAGCCTCATCAGTCGCCTTAGTCTCAGTAGTCTTTTCCTTAGTTGCTGTCGCAGTCGCTCCAACAGCAGGGCCCACGCCCACGTTCTTGTGTGTCGCAGTCTCGGCTTCGGTCGTTCCCGGGTCGCCGGTTCGATAGCCACCCACAGGTCCGTCGAAATTGGCGTCCAAAGTCTGGTAGACGATCACAACATTTCCTCGCTCTTCCAGATCCTCCACCTTGCGCTCATGGTTGTGGTGCGCATGCCCGTGCATCTTGTAATGCTCCCAGGTATCAAGATATCAAGAAGCGGTAGTCGGGTGTAGAAGACACAGGGCGAGTATTACTCCTAAAGAGGGGGTAATTCCAGGATTCCAACGCGAGGTCCAAGAACCGCGTCTCTGGTCGATTCCACGCTGTGGAATGTGGATAGAAAGAATGGACGAGATCGAGCACCGCCGATGTCAGAGAAAAAGGAAAAAGAAGGGACGACGACTTCCAGGTCGTACAGGAAAGAGAGGATGGAAGAAGAGAAGAGGAAGTTAAGAAGAACCCGATGGTCCAGCCGGGGTACCACAAGGAACCGAGATGAGAGGGACCCTGTATGGGATGAACCACACTAGCTGGAAGTGGTAAATGACAATGAAGATCATATGAAATGATTGGTCTGTTGTGTATGGTGCCTGGTTCGATGATGTATTGATACGAGATTCGGGGCCAACCGTGGGACCCTGTATTGACTCTAACCTAATCTTGTCACTTCACTACACTTCCAGCGTTCACTACAGTGTAGTTAGAGACAATTTATAGAAAGATGGAATGTGAGATCTTCATTTTCCATATCTGTTTATACATGATAAAGGAACAGCTCGCTACCATCTGTAGGGCACAGACTTCTCGATGGCTGTTTCACCCTAGCCCCGTCCGCCACATCTTATTGATCGAAGACCTGGACCCGTAATTTCCGACGTTGCCGTTCATTTCAATCCACTGCGTGCATTGGTCAGCAATATGCATGGAAAAGCCTCATTGCACATTTCTCCATGCACAGGGGTAAACATGTAAACAATGGAAATTAATGAAATTAATTGCCCCAGGACTAATTTCAATTTTCGTTTTATAACCCCGTTCCACGCTTGTGTTTTCCCCATTTGCTAGTGCTCTGCCCGAGGCATAACCATAACGGTCTGGAGTACTGTGGCTGACCCTTTCATAAATAGTGGCGGTGCTTACGCAAAATACGGATGCTGAAGGGCCTGGACCAAAGATCAGAGATTATCCCGAGACATCCGCGGGCGTTACTTACCGCTGCCGCAGAGAGTCTGTCTCGACTCTCGTAGCATAATAACCGGCGAACCAAATCACGGCCATTCGAGGATGCACCGGGCAAGATGTCCTCCCAGGATTGCGCAGGGAAGGAGTGGAATTCCACTTTGCCCCAGTCGGGCAGGACATTAACTTCCTATATCCACGGTTATTGACGGTCTTGTACAAGTAGTGGTCCACATACCGGCCAGAGTTGCTCATCTGGAGTACCCAGCATTTTGAAGATAGAGAAAATCAGCGACAGGTCACTGCCAACAGGTCCGGAATCAAATAGTTGACGATGGCCCACGGAAATGGCCTCTGCCACCAAGCACCCGGCTGCCCAGAGGTCAACAGCGGCACCATACTCTTTGTATCCGAAGAGGATCTCTGGAGGCCGGTAGCATGTGGTGCCCACATCGGTAATCTTTTGCGTGGGTGGCTCAGACCCCGGGTCACCTTCCTTCCACGAGACACCGAAATCGGCCAAGTACGCTGGGCCATTGGGTGAGTCCATGAGAATGTTGGAAGGCTTTATATCCCGGTGTATGATCCCAATGTCATGCAGATGGACGAGGGCACGGAACAGATCCCTCAGAATTGATCGTGTCTGGGAGGCAGTCACCATATCCCGTCGGAGCAAATGTTCAAAGTCATAGCGCATGAAGGGGAAGACCAAGATAAATCTCCCGCCGTCAAGATTGAAGGTCTCGGTCAAAGGAATGATGTGAGAATTGCAAGCTTCTCGCAGCAACCGTGCCTCGCGGTGAGCATCATGGGGCGCTGTCATCATATGGGGGATAGTGACTTTGACTGCTCGGACTGTTCCATCTGCAGCTTTCGACTTGTATATGGTGGAATGAAGGCCATCAAAATGGTGTAAGCAGGAGGCATACTGGCCGATCTGCTCCCCAGTGATCTCTGACGGCTCTAGTTCTTCAGGCTCACCCGGGCCTTCGTGTGAGCCGATGGCTGGTGCTAACTCTGCCTGTTCAGCTGCGTCAATGGCCTGCTGGCACATCAAGTCATATTCTTCCTGGTCATAATGGTATCAGTCATGGCCTTGGTTAGAGGGAGAGCGCCCACTCACCTTCGAGGTGGCATTATTCCAGGATTCAATCTCATGCTTCCTGGCCTGTGATTGTGCCTCTGAAAATGCATCTGATGACGATGTTTGCTGATAGGCCGTGGTACTATCAACGTATCAGTTTGAGTGCGTATATATGGGATCAGAACCTACAGAGATTGGATCGCCCGTAGCCGATCCGTGAAACCCAACTGGGTTCGCCAGGCCATGAATGCAGCTAAGAAAGTCAATGGAGCATGCCTTGCAGCGGACGCTATAGTTCGTTCATGGTCCGTACACAACTACTTAGGTAAACAACGTGAAGATGGCGCGGGATTGGACTCATGATGTCATGTGACCCAGTAAGGGACGCTTGCTGTATTGTGACCAAGAAACCATAAATACAGGGTTGTGGTTGGAGGGGCACCTGCCAAGCCAGTAATACACATACACCTCCGTCATTCCATCCCCGTTGCCGTCCCCGGCCTCGAATGACACGCTACCTCACTCTGGCATTCGCTATCCCGCATTCATTCCCCGGACTTCATTGGGCTTGTTCTCGCCTCGAGAACTTGCAGATTCTCTTGGATTTCTTCTCTATAGTATGCGCTGCATGCGCGCCTGATACCCCCCGACCTAAATCATGGACCTCTCACGGCAAGAGTACCCGATGCTACTGGTAAGATTGACCCATGTGAGCTTGGTGGGGGATTGCCACAGCTTCGGTATGCTGACCATTGGCGATATTCCTCTCATCTAGGCCACCCTGCATCCCGGCCAAGCTACGACTGTTCTGAGCGATCGCATCCGAGTAATCAACAAGATCAATGCGGACATCGCGGATTACCTACAGGTATGACGACTTACATCCCGACTGGATCAAATTCCTTGGATATGAACGGCGGTGGGAGAGTGGCATGATGTTGACAAATTGGGGTTAGGAACGACGTCGTGTTGAAGAAACATACGCCCAAGGCCTGCGGAAGCTGGCGCATCGACCGCAGCTAGACAATGGAGCTGCTCTTGGGTAAATTGGACCTCCTCAGAGCGATTGATGCTGATCGGTGTCCAACAAAGCATGCTGACCTATGAACAAGCATCTTCCAGATCCCCTGGCAACGCATCATCAATGCCACAGAAGCGCTCGCCGTGTCTCACGAGACTCTTGCCAACAAGATCGAGGAGGATGTTGAGCGACCGCTGAGAGAATTTAGCACTAAGAACCGCGACATGCAGTCGATGCCCAGTATTCAGAGCAATCTGGCGGGGTTGGCCAAGAATGTGGAGAATGCGCAGAAGAAGGTGGACAAGGCCAGGGCTAAGGGCGCCAAGGGCGCAGACAAGCTGTCCAGCGAAATTGCAAATGCCGAGGAAGTCAACCAGCAGTGGGAATCGCGGGCTCCTTTCGTTTTCGAGCAACTCCAGTCTGCCGACGAGACCCGGCTCAACCATCTTCGGGACGTTCTGACGCAATTGGAGACCCATGAGGTGGACCAGGTTGAACGCGGTCGCCAGGCTGCCGAGAGTTGTCTAAACGTTCTTCTGAACGTCGAGACAGCAGATGAGATCAAGACCTTTGCCGCTAAGATGGCGGGAACTCGGGTCCCTGTCTCGCCAGCCATGTCCCGGAGACAGACAGAACGGACGGAGACGCCCTTTGCGCCTGAGCCGGGACCTGACCGAACAGCGACTGCGCCAATGGAAGCTCCGATAGCCACACCCCCGACAGGCGCACCTCTTTCGCCCCCTCCGCGCATCCAGGATGATGCCGCGAGCCAGCGATCAGAGGAGAGACAGGCTGTTGCTCAGACACCCCCAGGTAAGTTGCCAGATTTAGACTACCCTACTTTGACCACTGTGAACGCAAGTACTCATGTCTAAAACAGCCCCAGTGCCAGAGGCACAACCGCGACACACCCCACTAGGAGGGCTGCGACGACTTGGAACGGTAATGAACAGGCGAAAGAGTGTTGTTGGACCGTCTGCTGGATCATTCGAGCGGAAGGCAGACAAGAAGCGCAGTCCTTTCTCTCCTTTCAAGAGAGGCGACTCCGCCCGTGATCTCCAAATACCTGAGTCTCCTCCTTCAACAGCCATTGACCGTCCAGGGACATCTTTGACTGAAGATGCATCCCTGCGGAACTCCAGTGTGGACCACAGTGGATTGGATACTGCTGCACCTGGTGCAGTGGCATTCTCAGAGTCCACCACCAATGGAGCTTCTGCCGAACCTCACACAGAATCCACCAACAACCATGTCAACCAGCCACAGGTTGATTCCGAGGGATATACTGAACGCCCTTCCACGATTGACGAGATTACGCGTGCCCACAACGAAGCAGCAGGTATTGAGGATTCTGGTCTGAACTTGACGATTAGAGACCAGCCTATCTTCGAGGACGAGAGCCAAGCACAGCAGGCTATGAGTGAAGTGGCGAACACCCTCCGTTTGCAAGCTCAACAGACCGGAGGAATCAGACGAAATGCGGGCACTATTCGCGGGCGCCGTGATGTTCGCAACACTGTATTTGTTCCTTCGCCAGGTAGCGAGCTGCCCCCAGCCCTGGGAGCGCCACAGTCCCAAGCACCAACCTCGCCAATCAGACACATAACGTCCCCCAGCATTGCACCCAGCGTTACAGATGATCACACTGTTTCAGATTCCACCTCTGTTCGTTCCGGGCACACTTTGCACGGCCCGGGAGCCTCCGTTCATCCTGACCTCTACGAGGCAGGCTTGAATGCCTCGATTATTGAAACCGTCAACGCATGGTTCTCGGAGGGCAATGTCACCAAGTCCTTTGTGGTTGGCGAGCTTGCTCTAGCAAACAACCCCACACCAGGTGGTGTGGCAGAGAATGCGCGCATTCGTCTGGATAACTTCCAAGTGCTGGAGAAGGTAGCAGCAAACCCCAACTTCGTCCACGAGGCAGCCAAAGAGGCCGGTGACGACAAGAGAGGCGAATACGACATCCAACTAGGCAGCATCTCCCGCCCCATGCCAACAGTGGCATTCAAGTACCAACTGCACCTGGACAATCCCTCCGCCTATTGCCCCGTCATCTTCAAGCCAGCCTGGAACCTGGAAGAATTCCAAGCCAGTGCCATCATCTTCTACTCGCTCAACCCATCCTTCGTTTCACCCTCAGTCGAGTCAATTTCCCTGAAGAACCTAGTCCTAACCGTCAACCTGGACACGGCCGCCGAAGACGAAACCACCAAGCAGCCACGCGAGTCAGTCGCGCACGCCACAAGCGCAGCCATGTACCCCAACACCGGCGCTGTCTTCCGCCGCAAGACCTCAACCGTCACATGGAGAATCCCCGAGCTAGAAGTCAAGGCTCCCGGTACACCCGGCGCAGATGGCAAGTTCCTTGTCCGTTTCTCGACGTCTACCAGCTGGCCTCGTAAGGGCACAGTCGAAGCCAAGTTCGAGCTGCGCACTACCGAGTCTGCCTCGAGACTGGGTATCAGCCGCGCCGCCTCAGACGCGGAGCCAAAGGAATCTGATCCTTTCGCTGATGAGGGCCGCGAATCATTGTCTCCCTCGGTTCCATGGCAGGATGTCCCGACTGCACGCAAGTTAGTCGGCGGTAAATACGTCTCATCCTAGTTGGATCTAGCACAGTGCGGGATCGAAACGCTGCTCCTGTTCGTATATAGTTTCCATCTAGGAGTGAGCGTGTGCTGTGTGCTTCCTTTCTCTGGCATTCTAGCTATTGTTTTTGTTTAGTCGGGCATAAGCTCGAGGGCTAAAAGCACAGGATGTTATTACTTTCTCCCTGTTTTTTTTTTGTTCTCTGTCATTGTCATTCCCTGTTCGTGTTTGTGTCCCCAGTCGTCTTTGCAAATAGCGATTCACTTCTTATGATCCTTGTTTTCTGTGTTTTGTTCCTTCTGGATACCGTTGTATGTAGCAAGGCATTTACGTGTGTACTTTCATCAGCCCAATGTCAATCCTTCTGTGGGCTTTAGTTATGTTTGTGTGGGGGGATTTAATGGGACATTGGTTCATTCTATCCAAGTGAGTTTCGAGTGTGTAGATGTCTAGGAAACGGGGTCTAGACTTGCGGTATAGCTTTGACTGCTGCAAGAATAAGGAAATCATATTGGCGAATAAATGAAATACAAACGTAGCACAGGTCAAGATGTGCCGGGGAATCACAGTAACACAGATAACAGGAAAGATTGCGAATGGAAAGTATCACCCATTCTTCGCATGAGCCAAATGGGCAAGACAGATCACATTCTAGCAGCGCGGGTAGTCTTATCATAAAAGTCCAAGGTCATTGCCGCGAGGAAACAAGGAATATCCTTCCGTTCCTCGACCCAAAATTTGATGAGTGGCTTAATTTCCATAGCGAAGAGACTATTGGGTCCGCCAGAGATCTTCATGGTACCGTTCTCACCATCAAAGACAATGGAGTTCTCTTCCCCATTGCCCATACTACCAGGACCCGAGTCCGAAGCGGCATCGCTGTCACCGTGGCGGTACGCAGAGGAGAGATGGAACATGGAAGTGACACGCACTCGACCATTAGGAAGGAAATCGAGCTTGAAGCCAAGAAGGGAGGCAACAGCTTCGCGGAACTCGGAGGACTTGGCAGTCCAGATTTCCTTGAGGCGGCGCATGCGCTTTTCTTTGTCTGCAACGGTACGTTCCATATCTTGCATTTCCAGCTTGATACTCTCGACAGCGCTGACTGGGACGACCTTGGCTCCTGTGCGCTCACCGCGCAGCTGTGCTAGAAGGTCCCGGTTCTCTGTCTGGAGAGTTGTGAGGGTGGTCATTTTGATTTGCTCAACCTGAGATGTCGGGTTATCGCGCAACTCAAGCACACGTGTGCGGGACTTGGACTTCAGATGCTTGATCTGTGACTTGGCGGCGTCGAGCTCGCGACGAGCTAGAGTGGAAGCCTGTTCTGATTTGGCGATATGTTCCTGGAGTTTGCGATTCTTGCGAGTGAGCACGGCGATACGCTCGCTTTCAGCCTCGGAATCGGCTGGAGATAGGGGTCGCTTGACACCGCGTGCTTGCGAGTCATCTTCCTTTGGTGCCTCGCGTTTGGAAAGCTCTTCGTGCGTCTGCTGGATTTCAACACGATACTCGTCGAGTAGTTTTTCGAGTTGGGCGATGTGCTCTGACTTCTTTTGATCGAATTGGGGCTGGTCTCCGTTCATGGTCTCTTCGTCCGTGTCGAAGGTCTTCAGTTGAGCGCGCAGGTATTCAACTTCTTTAACGGCAAGCACACGCTGACGCTCGAGACGAGATCGAACGCGAGCCTCTGCAGCACCAGGACCCGCAATAGCAGTGGCGGCTGCAATACGGGCCTTCTCCAGTTCCTGTTGCAGGTCGGATTTCTCTTTTTCCAGAGACCTGATAGTCTCATCCTTTTTGAGTAATTTGGCTTCCACTACTTCCACACGATCGGTGAGGCTTGCGTTCTCAATTCGTCCCCGGGTCAATGCTCTAACAATGGCTTCTGGCGAGTCAAGCTCTGCAGGCTGATCACCCTCTTGCAACAGGCTCGCCCAAGTCTGTCGCTCATCTTCAAGAATCTGCTTTTGAATTTGGGCTGTATTGAGCTCGGCCTCCACCCCGTCCATCAGCTGGAGTTTGATCTCCAGTGACCTCTTTTGTTCTTCGATGACCCCGACAGACTTTGAAATTTCCCGTAGTTTCCGCAATTCCGAACTTTGGTCTCGATTTGTTAACTCCAGCTCCCGGATGTGGCTGACCTGTTGAGAAAGTTCTCTCTTGAGCACAGTCAGGGCATCGGCGTCGCTCCCTTCAGATTTGAGTCGAATGTTCGCGGCCTCGAGATCGGCAATGTCAGCTTCACGCTGGGTGAGCTTTTCCTGTGTCGATTGTTGTATGCTCCGGGCATTTTCGAGGTCATTCTGGAGTTCTTCGATCGTTCTTTGCAAAGAGGCGCGCACGGTCTCCAGCTCGTTGATCTGATATTTAAACTGCCGTTCTTGGTCGGAAAGCAGCGATTGTGTGTCCCCAAACTCCTCCTGCAATTTCTGGTTCTCGTCCTGAAGGCTTCTGATCTTTCGCTCAAATCCGGCTTTCGCATCCAAGGACCGGTCTTGTGTTTCTTTGAGTTCTTTCGCGAGCGCATCACTCTTGTGGGTTGCGCGATTGCTCGAGGATTCCGCTGCCTATGGCGAGAGATCGTCAGTTTAATTCAAACGTGGAAAACACCTCATCGCAGCTCACCTGGGCCTTTCGAAAGTCCGCATCTGCTTTCACCTGTAGGTCTCGGATCTCTTTCTCATGGCGAAGCCCCTCTAGTTCGCGTTCTTGTTTGAAATTTTCCAATTCATATCTGAGAGTGCTTAGCTGCACACGTAGCTCATCCTTCTCGGTATCTGAATCAAGCAGTCAGTTCCCGTTGCAGTGTCTCGCATCGTCCGAGTAGGGTATGTTCTCACCATGTGTGGACTGATTAAGTTGAGCTTGCGACTCTTGGAAGCGAATAGACTGTCGCATGCTCATTCGTGCGTTGAAAGGGGTAGGCGAGCCAAATCCCGCAATGAGCTGGGAGGCCTGTCGGTTGTTCGGGCTGCTCATCTGTTCAGGATCAGTTGATGTTCAAAGAAGAGCGGTGGCTCACTGGAACCCACAATGAAAATAAAGCTACTGTGAGCCTCACAGAGTCTCCTGTCTAATCTGACATGAGCGAAGCAACACCATTGCTATCAATGGAAGATCGCGTCCAAGGTCGAGGGCGGCTTGTTTGATCTTAGTCAGCAGCCAAGCTTCCCCGAAACGGCCTAGCGTGATTTTAAAAATTATTTCGATTTCGGCATCGAATTCTCAGTCCACCACTTCACCAGCGAATCCACTCCTCCCACCTCGGTTCCTCGTCTGTTTCTACTCAATTCTTTTCGCTTCACTCCAAAACCGTCACTATGGGCAAGGACAAGGTCGAGAAGAAGGACCGCGCTGAGAAGAAGGAGAAGCGTGCGGAGAAGGACGGTGTGCACAAGCCCAAGAAGGAGAAGAAGGAAAAGAAGGACAAGACTGCTCTTGTCGATGCGGTAGAGAAGGAGCTCTCCTCCCAGATGGAGGGTGTCGAGCAGACCGGTGCTGTCGCTGTCAAGAGCGACATTGAGGTCGATGCCATGGCCGTCGACCGCCCCGTTGGCGCCGTTGTGCCCTTCGCCAACCCTCTGGTTGAGGACAAGCAGGCCAAGAAGGTCCTGAAGAGTGTCAAGAAGGGTATGTGGACTATTCCTCAGCTTTTGCCTTAAAACTTTTGTGATTGTTGCGCCTGGTCGATTTTTATCGGATCTTCGGATTATCGTCCAGGCCTACAGATTTCATTGTTGCGCAATATATTTTCTATCACCAGGGCATTTGTGCTGACTTGAATATCTAGCCGCCGTCAACAAGTCTCTCAAGCGTGGTGTCAAGGAGGTCGTCAAGGCTCTCCGCAAGTCCCCCATCCCCGCTGCCAACGCTGCCATCACCGTCCCCAGCGGTGTTGTCGTTCTCGCTGCCGACATCTCCCCCATGGATGTCATCTCCCACATTCCCGTTCTCTGCGAGGACCACGGTATCCCCTACGTCTTCGTCACCTCCCGCGCCGAGCTCGGTGCCTCTGCCGCTACCAAGCGCCCCACCAGTGTGGTCATGGTTACCCCCAAGGCTTCCGGCAAGAGCAAGAAGGAAGATGATGAGGAGTTCACCAAGGTATTCGAGGAGCTCGCTGGCTTGGCCCAGAAGGAGTGCAAGAAGGTCCAGGTCTAAAAATGTTCTTGACTCGTTCCTTTTTCCCTTTCGTTATTTGCTCTATCCCACACTTTGCTGGTAGTGGGTTCTCTGGTTGTACAGGTTTCTGATACTGTCTGGTAAGACAGTGCATGTCTTTTGGGGTCCGGCCTATGGGTATCTTTCTGTATTTGCTCTTTGTACTGCAACTCGGCGTTATTTCAATGGTGTATGAAAAAAGGCAAGAATTTCAATGAGATATCACCAACCTCATCAGACTTCCAAATCCAAGTAGATCCAAGTTGGAGTGAGATTGGTACTGTTCCGGCCATGCCAACTATAGTTAGTCTGCAATGCCCCGGCGATGCGACCTGCATGGTCCACGTTGTGCTTGATTGTGGTTGAGGGGATATTCTTGAGTAGTCTGATGTCACAAGACCTTGGGATTGGCACAGATATAAGTATGAGGTTGCACAAGTTGGCAGATGACGCTGACCCTCCCCGAGTTGCGAGAGTAATTGCAACTTGGCAACTGTAAGTTACCAATAGACCTGCCCAGATATACTTCCTAGTGCAATGTAATCAGTCATATGGCAAATTACAATATGCAAGAAGCATTAATAGCATGTGAGATTTACCAAGCGAAGTATATACAATGGCATCAAAGTTTGGAACACCCCTTTCTTTTTACAAGATCTACTTCTGGCAAAAGCGAAATATGTCGACTAGAAGCGATCCAGTGCTTCAACATCTACAGGTTCAATCTACTATTTAGGGCCCATCGTATGGTGTATGCTTGTGGGATCTACTAGAGGGATTTCAAATTTCCAAAACTCTGCACAACAGACAAAAAGAGCCGAGCTGAGATTAGCCTTGCATGGTGGGATAGACTATTAAAGCCGTGGCGCTATCATTCCAGAGAAAAATGAGCAATCCCTGCACCGCTCGATCTTCACGTCAAACAAGGGATGAAGTGCATATTCAGAACGCGACAGCTATCAAGCCGAGCCAATCACCGTACGCAGAGCCGTGGATAAATCCGATCAAAAGCCCTCGGATCCTGTAGTCTTTGCCTAGATCCAGGAACAGATCCCAGGCACTCGAGAATGGATTTCCCGGCTTATTCCTTGTGTTCAAGGCACGGCCCTTGCTTCCCTGTCCTTCGGTAACCATATAAGATACTGACATTCTCGCTCTTCCTACGTTGTGACATTCACTCTTTTTGTTATACCAAAGATATTATTCAAGCCAATTCACTCATTATATGTCCGGTTCGACACAATGCACCACCGCCCTTCATTTTTAGCACTCATTGCATTTCTTTTTGCCGTCACTCAATCGACGACATCTTATCCTATTCTGACTAGTAAATGGGTCAAAGCAGATCAATTCGAAGACACCAAGGCTCATGGATTATGGAAAGCTTTTGAAAAAGAGGGACTTGATATATTGCCTGAGCCGCTAAAGGCTAAATATCACCTGGTGTGTCGCAACGTGAACAAATCTTAAATCTTCCATGATCCATGGAGTCACTAAAATTGCCCTCCATATAGATCCCATCATGGTCAAACAACCAAAATGACCATGCAGCGGAGCGAGGACACAACTATCCCTATACACACAAAACCTCCCCAGCCCTCGTCCCAACAACACTGGATATAATGCCCGAGCAAATGCATGAGCACTACGACGGTCAAATGCAAGACAAGCAGGAACAAGAATCAACGTCCATCAATTCAATTTCCGAACAGAGACAGAACCACTATAGCGAGCTCTTGAGCTATTTACACGCCAAAAACGCCCTGAACAAAGACCCCAACCATTCCACGCCTGCATCGTTCTCTCTCGCATCCTCAGCAGGCCATTCCGTCTCCTTCTTCTCCTACCGCTTCTCATTGCCGACTTTGGGATCTAGTACCGCGACTCCCCCCCGATATCCGCTTCCGGGAATCTTTACGACGGTGATCATCCTACTGGTCATGGTTTGGATTGCCATCTTTACGATTGGATTGGTCGAATTGGGGAGTTATCTCTGGGCACGGAGAGAGGCCCAAGTTGACGATGAAGAAGAAGTTGAGCATGGTGAGGAGGGAAGTGTGCGCTTGGATGACTTGAAGTCAGTGCCATTCACAGTTGTTGTTCCACCGGAGAGAATCAGGTCCAGCTCAGAGATAGAGCATGATGATGAATACCTAGTGTCCGTTTTTAGTGATTCTGATTTGAGTTCTGCTTCAGACTCCGAAGAGGGTCATCAGCTTTCTTGAAACTTGCACGTTAATTGACGTTTACCTGTTTATACATGCATCAAAGCTTAATGTTAATATATTATTTGTTACCTCCATATAAGATATATATGTATTGGAAGGCGGAACGTATACTTGATGTGATCACATTTAAGTCCTATCGTATAGAATCCAAGCATGCATAAAAAAAAATCATCATAGCATCAGCCCCGGGCCGAGCTTCAAAATCAAACACGCTCGCTTGCTATCTCCAAACATAAAGACATTTTGAGCATTCATTCAAGTCATAGATTAGGCGCGCTGGTCGCTCTCCAAGGGCGACCAGGGAGTCTGGCCTTCAACACCCTTCTGACGAGGTCCATTAAAAGAAGTATCAGCGTTGCTGCGCTGGAACTTGTTCAAAGCTTCGCGGCCAGGGTCCTGGTCGGTACCAATGTCAGAGGTGAAGCTGGCGTTCTTAGCGTCGTTGGGCTGGAAGCCACCTTCCTTGATGTTGCGGCCATAAGGCTTGGGGTGCTGGATGTCGCCGGTAACATCACTGACGTAGGAAGGAGCCTGACCGGCATTGTACTGGCTACGGCCACTACCGCTGGCGGTAGAGTACTCGCCAGCGTTGATGCCCATCTCATGCTTAGCAGCGGTGGGGCCACCGGTGTAGCCAGACTCGGGCAGGTGGGTGCCGGGGAAGTTACCCTGGCCGCCGAGCGCCTCAGGGTACTTTTGCTGGTCCTGGCGGTTCTCGCGGAGACTGCCGACAGGGGCAGAAGGAAGAGTTTGGGCAGCGGAGGTGTCGGTGTTGTTCACAGTGGACTGGTAGCCTGAGACACCCATGGGCTCGGCACCACGGTTCTGAGAGAAGGCACCGCCCTGGCGGACGGAGTCGGCGGCAAGAGAGTCATTGGGAATAGGGCCAGAGGGCTCCTCGATAGGGTTCTGGGTGGCTTCACGGTCGTTGGTGACCTTGGTGCCGCGGGCACCGTGAGGAAGAGGAGTTCCTTGAAGATCCATGATGATATCAAAGTAATTTAATGGAGTTGAGAATTGGTATGTAATGAAGATAACTTTTGTTCGCAGAGAGGTGGAGTGTTAATTGATGAAGGATATAGACGATGGTGATGGCAGGGCTATATAGGCAAGCAGTGGGCTATGACCGAATCGTAATATTGGTAGAATCTGAAGCTCTTAGAAGCAAATCGATAGTAACGAAGAACCGTGATGTCATCTTTACGCTGGTTGATTGTGTGTGCTTGTGAATCAGCAAGTCGCGGTAACGTCAACCACTGACAACCAAGTCTGGCTCAGGATGCTCTGTTTGGCGGTTCTCAATGCCGATAGTAGGGAATCAGTGGAGTATAAGCTCCTCACTGATGTGATTTACCTGTGCTTCTGGAAGGCAGGGAACTGGAGGTCCACATATTGTAGACCGGATTGGACTTGGATTATATCAGGGAGGCGAGATTGACGTCAGCTCTAGACTCGAGATGCAAACATATCAAACATCTTTATTTTCACCTCGAAGTCGAGGTATACTCTTGATAGAACTAATTCGAAAAAGTGTTTCTGTTAAGATTGAGAATTAGGTTGGACATTACAGAAAAAAAACTAAGTACAGTTGTGATGCTTCTGGGCCCAGACCCTGCCGTCTATGAAATCATAGCGGGTTATATCTGCACGGTTCAACAGTTTTCTGAGCACACGACCATTGCGGAGCTAATTGATATGATTGATAACTTTACGATGGATTACTGGCACATAGCTTATTGGATTGAAGGTTTTGAAATTCATTCAGTCGCTCATAATGACTTCACAAAAATGACTTATCATACACATAATGAGATCCATAGCCCGTTTACTTATTTAACGGGACGTAGCGTCAGAGGGGAGGTGGTCAAGTCCCTCAACACCCTGGCGGCCAAGCTTGTTGCCAGGGGCAGTGGACTGGTGGAGCTCCTGACCATCAACGCGGGCACTGCTACCAGCAGTGGCGCCCTCACGGAGACCACTGTTATCAGGGGGGAGCTCGAAGCGGCCGGAGCCAACAGCGGTGGTACGCTGGTCAAGAGAGTTCCAGTCACTGGCCGTTGGGGGCTGGTTAGGCAAGGGCAAGTTGGCTTTGGCATTCTCGATTTCTGCGGGCTTGTCGGTGTTCTGGTCGATGATTGACTATAGGAGCATGTTAGCGGTCTGGCTTTTGAATATAGTATGGCAATGGTAATTCACCTTCATCTTTGAGACATCCGAGTCGGCAGGGGTCTTGCCATGATGAGACCGGGAAACCTTGGATTCCGGCTTGCGAAGGTCCTGGCGAGTGGTGTGGAAGGTAGCCTCAGACATGATGATTGATGTGAAATGCGAGGTTGTAAATGTGTAGAAAATAGTAAGGTATTAAGGCTTGATAGAGAAGGTAGTTGAATCTGAAGAGGAAATTGTAGATGTAGGGCCAAAAGGATTTATATAAGTTGCTTCTTCACCAATGGCAAGTATGGGTGACGTTTAAACTATGACGACATTCTGGCAGGGCCATGGGTATGAATCTCCCATCGAAACCAGCCATTCGATGTTTCATCCGAGAATTCAGACTCTACCAGGGATCTGAAGCTGCCGTCAGCAAAGAAGGAAATCCCTGGGTATCGAATTAGCGTCATAGCGGAGGGGGCCAACCGAGGTGGCAATCTATTGTATGATGCATCTTATCTGTTGATCACCATTCAGATATCTCAAGAGAACGAAGTGGAAATCGAGGGATTGAAACTCCAACAGGTACTATGCCATAGTTCCGCTGGATATGATTGTCCCTTTCTCATTACCTGGAACCTGTACGGAGTATGCTCGGTCCATTGTAATCGAACTCACAATGAAGTAATTCTAAGTAGAGTTCAAAGTTTTGTTCCCATGCCAGTGCATACTGAGTGCAGTATCTTTGTCCGCTGGCAGATAGTGAACAGATCAAAGAACCTCTTGGAAGACCCCGGTCAGGACTCCAGTATCGCGTATAGATTGTCATATCGAACCTCAAGTGCTGAAGCAAGCAAGAGGTCACATCTAGTAGCCTCTTAACCATGTCAATGTCAGGCACCGATTGCTCTGGATTGTTCGCGATGTCTTTATCACATTGATGTTAGGAGTGTGCAGTGACAATCGGAATATAAGTAGCCACTTATGCGAACCACATATTTATCACACCTGACATCCATGTGCAATTGGAGTATTTTTGTACTATAGGATATTCCGGAGCTTGAGTACTCCAATATTTTGCGATTCAAGCCCGAAAATGTTAGACGTAAATAATATCGGCGTCCCAAAATGGCATGTAATAGCTTGCAAGTATATCACCGCCTTCCTATTTGACATGGCAGAAAATGTTTCTTATCGAAGACTTTGGACACCAAGACCTGTAGAGACTCGGCGAATCTGGTCATTGTGTTTTTTTGAGGATCTCCCTGCTTGTCGATACACAGATACTTCAATATGCCTCGAGATCCGCTGATCGGGCTGGTGGGAAAGGTCCGTCGTCGCCCATCCATCGCACTATCACCCCACTGACCGCAGACGCGAGGGGCATACAGCCGTCAAGTGGAAAGTCCACAACATTGAACAGTTTGACCGACGCGACTTCAAAAGTTGGTAAGTTGGATTAATTCCGTGCTGAGTTATTGCGATCAAAAGCTAATATCTTGCCCTGACAGGAAACTTCCCGTACGTGCGCTCCGACTGCTCTGCCCGAGTAGCCCCGTCTTATCGAAGTGACTCGCAGCTCTGTTGACACCTCATAGCTTCACAACCATTGACCCCCAGCGAGCCATCGGATATCTCCAAATTGAATGCCCATGCGTGCGACACAATGTTTCAGACCGGTGCCAGCCCAACTATGGCGGTTGTCACGAAGGGCGACGTTCCGTCCCCATAGAATTGCTAGACGTTGCCGGTCTTGTGCCAGGTGCGCATCAGGGTCGCGGACTCGGCAACAAGTTCTTGGACGATCTGCGTCATGCCGATGCTCTCATTCATGTGGTGGACGTGAGTGGAACCACGGATGCTGAAGGTCAGTGTGATGAGATTGGACATAACTGCTGAATCGTAGTGTTGATACATTTGTACAGGCAAAGCTACTCGAGGATACGATCCGTCGGTGGATATTGAGTGGCTGCGATCAGAGATCGTGCGCTGGGTGCAAGGAAACTTGATGGAGAAGTGGTATGTTTGCGGTTAAGAAGAGTACCAAGAAGCCATACTCATTCAATTGTTAGGGGATCGATTAAGCGGAGACACGTTGCTATCAGTCAGTGGATCCCTGAAATGTTTCCCCAATGGACTGGAACTGACACCTAATAGAGTCAAACGCCGTGGACACATTACAAAAACAGTTCGCTGGTTACGGAAGTACGTCGCAGACAGTTGCGCGGTGTCTCGACAAGACTGGCATTAAGGAACCTTTGGAAGAGTGGTCAGATGAAACGGTAGAAGTCGTTGTCAATGCCTTTATTGACGAGAAATTCCCCACGGTGTTTGCCTTGAACAAGATCGACCACCCCGATGCAGACAAGGTATGAGGGCCCGCCGGTTTGCCTTTTCGCCATGCTGACATGAAAATATAGAATATCAGCAAAATTGCCAAGATGCAAGATCCCCAAAGCATTGTGCTTTGCTCCGCTATATCCGAAGTCTTTCTCCGCAGACTGGCAAAGCAGGATTATATCAAATATATTGAAGGGAGTGAGTTTGTGGACACAAGAGAAGATTTGATTGAAATGGGTGAGCCAGATGGTGGTGGTCTCAAAGAGATGGACGAGAAATTGAAAACGTATGTTCAACCTGCATACCAGAGCTGTTACATCTACTGATCCCCCAAACAGCCGGGTTGAGAATCTGAAAGATATGGTGCTGTACAGATTTGGATCTACTGGAGTTGTCCAGTGTCTTTCTCGAGCAGCAGCGCTCCTGGGTCTCGTACCAGTGTTCCCAGTTCGGAACGTCCAAACGTTTAGCTCTGGAAATGGAACAGCCGTATTCCGTGACTGCGTTCTAGTCAAGAAGTAAGTGACCCTGTTGACACCTTATAGAGTCCTACTAACATCTCTTAGAAACAGTACAGTTGGTGATGTTGCCCGCAAGGTGATGGGTGATGTGCCTATCAACTACGTTGAAGGAGTTGGCGGAACCAGAGTCTCCGAGGAGGATATCGTCGCAGTTGGGAAACACGACGTAAGTGGACAATTTCTAAACCAGAGTATCCCTTAACTAACCGCCATTGCAGATTCTCTCATTCAAGGTTGGTCGGTAGACCAATCAATTTATGTACAGCCTCCATGAAATGACAGTAGTAATGGAAATGTCTTATGATAGCCTTTTCAATCTCTTTTTACCACTTGAACTAAAAAGTACAGTGTTGAGGACAAGTAACAGACTAGAGCCAGGCGGACCTGAGACTTAACCTCCTTTCTTCAAGTTGGAAGATGGTCAGAAATATAAACTCACACTGCTGGTTTATAGCTCACCTGCGCACGCTCATCATTCATTCCAATAACCGGCTCTGGTGCCTTGGGGTGTTCCTCCTTAGCCTTCTTCCCATGCTTCATTCCGCCTCTTTCTGTCGTCCCTTGGGACTTGGCGTCATCCGCAACACCTTCATTTACCCTCCTTTCGTTCATACTGGCGATGGATGCATCAGATTCTACATCTGCAGTATCACCCCTCTTTGAGCGTTTGACCGTGTGTTCGTCAGTCGAGCTTCCCTTCCACTCTTTCTTCAGGGAGTAATGTCGGACGCTCGGTGCACAAAGAATTGGCGGCAAAGCTGATTGTAACGGTAAAATAAGCCGCCATGTTGGCCGTGTAACAAGTGTCAGAGTCATTGTAGAGATGTGTAGTGAAGAAACAAGTCAGGGTAGGAGATGACCAACTTATATACATCGTTATGACGTCTTCAGGCAAAACTGTTTGGGACAGGGCTTAGGGCCCGCCTTATCGATAAGATGCGTTCATCATCACTTTCCTTCCTCCTCAATTTAACATGAAGCGCGAATATCTGCCGATCGAAACTCTGCCAGCTTGGCAGTGCCTCAATGGCATTGTCGCGAAAGGCGTCGCGTTCCAGAAACTCGGATCAAGCGAGTATGGTACAGATAAAGGCAGCGCGATCGTCGCGACAGAAGCCAAGTCCAGCGACGAGAACGATACTACGCCCGAAATCCTCCTCCAAATCCCTTCCGACCTGGTCCTCTCCCTAGAGGCAGTCCACAACTATGCCAAATCCGACCGGTATCTACGCGATGTATTGGAGGCAATCGGCGACTTCGGAAGGGTAAGAGCTGCTTCACCCGGAGCTCACGGCACCACCTATCTACAACGGAAACCCAACTAAGATATACAGACAGCTAGAGGGGCTATCATGATATTCCTGCTGGTCCAACTATCACACACCAGCCCCGATCTCCGCGCCAAACACGAGCATGTCGGCGTCTCCAACCCATGGACCGAATACGTCAAGTTCCTGCCTCCGTCATTTCCCCTGCCCACATTTTATACGACGGAAGAACAGGAGTTGTTCCGGGGAACCTCACTTGCCGAGGCCCTGGATGCCAAGTTCATGTCTCTCGAGCGGGAGTTTGAGAATCTATGCCAAGCCACGGAGGGTATTAAGTGGTGTCAGCAGAGCTGGTGGGACGAGGAGAACGGCTCGTTGACGATCCAGGATTGGAAATATGTCGATGCGGCCTATCGGTCGCGCATGTTGGATATCCCTGGCTGTGGGCTTGCGATGGTGCCTTGCATTGATATGGCCAACCATGTGTGCGGAGACGGAGCGAAGGCCCTCTATGATGCAGATTCGAATGGGAATGCAGTTCTTCAGCTGCGATGGGGCAAGAGCCTGCTACCTGGCGAGGAGGTTACCATCTCGTGAGTTGTCCACGAGATGTTCTGATTGATTGCTATGAGAACAGGGCTGACCACTGCATTGCAGATACGGAGATGAAAAGTCCGCTTCCGAAATGATCTTTTCCTACGGATTCCTGGACAGCGCCACGACCGAAGCCAGAGAGATGTGTCTCAACATAGACATGCCCGAAGACGACCCTCTCAGTTTCGCAAAGAAAATATTCTGCCAACAAAACCGTGGAATTCGCATCACATCCCAGGGATCTGAAGAGCAACGGTTTACATGGGAAAGCCCCCTTGTTTGGATAGCCTGTGTGAACGAGGAAGACGGGCTTAATTTCGGCCTCGCACAGACAACCGATGGCGGCAGGGAACTCGACACAACCTGGAAAGGCCAGAAGATCCAATCACCCGATCATCTCCGAGAGCTTCTTGCCGCCGATCCTCTATGGGACATCATCCAGCTTCGCGCTGCAGTGCTACTTCTTGAACGACTCGAGACCCAGCTCTCTCTTCTACAGCAGATGGAGGAAGTCATCGCTAACCTCCGTGAGAATGAAGTGGCCCTGACCTCGTTTTTCCGGCCAGAGATCTTCGAGTTAATCAGTCGGTTCCGAGTTCTCGAAGCCGATCTGCTGGAGAAGGCGGTTGAAGAACTCATCAAACAGGTAAGTGATCTCATGCGCCCAGCGTCTGAGGCTGGAACTCTCCCCCCGCCTCATTCCCCCACTAACCATAATCAGCGAACCGAGTTGTTAGGGTCTGCCAGCGTTGCAGCATATTTCAGCCAGCAAACGGGAGTGGCAGAGGAAGTCGAGGACTTTTCATGAAACGGAATGTCCAGACTTTGATCTGCGACTCTACAATACATGTACAGATGTACACGTTTGAAGAACCCCCTTAGGTTTAGTCTGCAACTGCATTTGCATTTGCATCTGCATCTGCATCAGCATCAAGCCAAGGGTCCCCAGATCCCCCCAAAAGATCCATCCATGCACCACCTCGCCCTGAGTTCTATTCGATGAGACGTCACGCTATCGACACTAGCTCGAAAATGGTACAGAGAGAGCCCGACTATGACGTTTCCTGTAGTAACTAGTGAATCCAAGACAGTAAAATAAGGGTGATTTGAGGTGATCGGCAGGGTCAGGAATGTATGCGGGGAAAGTCGCAGGCCGCACATTGGATCTCCGCTGGACCGGCTTGGAATTGCGACGCCCGAAATTAACGAATGTATCTGAGCGTATAGTCGGGTTAATGAGTCGGCAGAGATGTGCACACAGCAAGTAACAAGCCCAATATTGAGAATCAAGTGGAGAAGATCGCCCATTCACAGCCATGGTTCCCTTTTCTCGCGATTCTCTCGGGCAAAACTCGCTTGGGCTGATCCAAGGCCCTTTTATTGCTCTGTGATAGGTGCATTCTGACTTCCCCAGTTCCGGAAATGACCGTTGCCACCGGGATTTGCGGTTTGAGTTCTGAGATTTGGGGTGGGAGTCTGGGGATGAGTGCAAGATGACTTCAGAGGTGTACATCTGGGTAGTTTGCTGAACTGTTACTGTGCTGAACTGTGACCGACGATCGGACTATACACTTTAATCACAAGGACCTAATGTGCCGCACCCTCCCCAGCCGAGTCCAAGTCTAAGTGTGTTTCCCCAGAACCACTTAGAGTAACCCAAGAGAGAGAAAACTAAGCAGAGCAATGTGAATGTCAAAAGTAGAGTCAAAAGTAGAGCGAGTTGATACGATTCACCAACAACTTCATTGGCAGCCCCCGGTGTATCCCCCGGTTCCCCACCTGACTCAGCACTTCCCCCATTCCCCAGGCGCCTCTCTCTCTCTCTCTCTTACATCTCAACCTCACGCCACTTAATATTCTACACTGTTCTGCTTGTCCTCTTGACTGACAAGTTGCGAAAGTCAACACCACTCAAAGCTCGAACCTCGGCCCATGTGCCACTCTGCCCAACATGCCTGGTATCTTGCCCATGAAAGTGATCAAGGTCGGCGGCACTGGCACGCAGAGCCGCATCGCCCAAGCCTGTGACCGCTGTCGTAGCAAAAAGATCCGCTGCGATGGGGTTCGCCCCTGCTGCTCACAATGCGCCAACGTCGGCTTCGAATGCCGAACTAGCGACAAGCTCAGCCGCCGAGCCTTCCCCCGTGGATATACCGAGTCATTGGAAGAACGAGTCAGAAGTCTGGAGACGGAAGTCAAGGATTTGAAGGATCTGTTGGACGAAAAGGACGAGAAGATCGACGTCTTGTCAAGGATACATTCGTTTTCGCCCGCGCCGCAACGAGCGGCATCGATGCGGTCCCCCTCGGTAGCCGCAACGCCCAAATCAAGCCCCCCAGAATCGTCGGAGGGTGTGATTCATGTTGAGCGATCGTCAAATCGCCCATCCCCGCAGTCGCAGAACCCGTTCATGGGATTTTCTACCACCCAGGGATTTGCCAGTATGTGCCGTGTGTCACGAGAATAGGAACGACGAAGCTGACTAAATTACGCAGACGTATTCACCGACAGACTTGTTAGCCAGGGGAAGTCTGCTACTAGAATTCCCATGGTGGCGCTGACAGCATTGTCTACCTCGGTATCTCGAGGCAAGCCTAGCCAAGCGGTGAAAACACCACCCCGCTTGGTCTCTGATCAACTGATCAACATCTTCTTCCAAGAATGGGCTCCCCTGTACCCGGTGGTCCATCGTCCGACTATTTTGAAGACCTATGAGCAGTACCTTAGTAATACCGAGTCTCTTCAGCGCGATGCCCATGCCATGGCGCAGTTGAATTTGATCTTCGGTATTGCAGCGCTCTCTTCAATTGTAAGGTTCAGTTCGTCATCGTATTTGAAGGTATACTAATTGATCCCTCGCAGTCGAGAACCAACCAGGACCCGACCTTCTTCGAGGAGAACTGGTCGACTATGCTTGATTCATTCTCGGGCGAGACCTCCCTGTCAAGTCTGCAGTGCTTTGCTCTTGGTCAGATCTATTGTATGACAAAGGGCGATTATCGCACTCTGCTTCGCTACCGCGCTCTTGGTGTAGACATTTGCCACCAGTTGGGCCTGCACGAAAATCCAGAGACCTCAATCAATCCTCTTGAAGATGAGACTCGCAAGAAGGTTTTCTGGTCTCAATATGTTCTGGATCGGTACGTCACATGTGCTATACAGCGATGACAGTCAGCTAACACATGATATAGTTTCTGCTCCGCTCTTACTGGAATGCCTGTTCTCTTGCGCGAGGATGACATCCGGATAGAGTATCCGGTTGACGTGGACGATGAAAATGTCACCGAGACTGGGTTCCTGCCAACCCTTCCTGGTGAATCCACCCGCATCTCTAGTGCTATTGCATTGTTCGGGGCTTCCAGAATCCTAAACAAGGCTTTGGAGGACATGTTCTCCTCCAAGTCCGGATACGATGTATCCGTTTCAAAGATGCGCTCCGTTGCAGGACAGTTGGACGAGTGGCTGCAAACACTGCCTTGCCATCTCCGTCTCGAGTTTAGCCAAGATAAGCCTAGCACGAACGTCACTAGCAGCCGTTCCCCCCTCCTGGTAAGTCCAATTCCTTACTTAATACAGGTAAACAATACTGACCCCATATAGTCTCTTGTCTACTATTTCATCAGATCTTTGATCCACCGTCCGGCCGTGTGTTTCGCAGACGAGAGTCTTCGCTCTCCGTCCGTCCTGGCACTGTCCGATTCGGCCAAGCACATCATTCAGATTCTTGAGCTTCTCGATGAAAGACGCCTCTGTCTCTCTTTCAGTATCAACCGCAAAGAGTTGATGTTCTTTTCTGGACTTGGGCTCCTGTGGCAGATGCTTGGTGTGAAGCGCGATAGCAAACTCGGCAAGGAGACTCAGAAGTTGCTTGGTACCGCTAGGGGACAACTTCAAACAGAGTTCTCTGCGGCAGCTGCTGAATTCGACAGCCTGTCAAGCACCCTGGTTTTACTGGATGACAGCAAACGGCCATCATCCGACAAGGCTTCCCATGAGATGGGTGCGCCGACACACAAGCCACTCAAATCCCCCAAGAAGCACTTGCAAGCTTTGAAGTCGCGTCTTACCAGCGCTGCTCGCGACCAGCCCAAGCAAGGCTCACCCCAAGCCTCCCGCCGGAACACCATCTCTGGCGCAACTCCCCCACTCGTCGCCCAATCCCTCCGCTCGCCGAGCTGGAGCAGCCTTTCACCTGCACAGCACGACCACCTTACCCCTGCATTCCTCACCGACAAAGACCACTCTCCTCTCGACCTCGCCTCGGCCGCACCAATGAACTACGAGCATCACCGGTCAATGTCTTGCTCAACACCCTCCGAGCCAGCCCCCGGCGCTCTTACAATGGCCGACTGGGAATACGTACTCAGCGACATGGACCGCGGCTACTCCAACATCTTCACAGGGATTTATGGTGGCAAAGACTGTGGTGAAGACTCAGGCCCCTTTGCCTCGATCACAGCCGAATGCAGTCGCAAACCCATGGAGGACCCGCCAGCCATTCCGCCACCGAACGAACTCCAGGATTTGTCCCCCAAATCCTGGTCAGCTAGTAGCGGTGAATTCCCTTCTGCGCAAGAACATGCGACGCAGAGCGTGCTCAGTTACTCGGGCGAGAGTATGGGAAGCATGGATGATACCCTGGCCCCGTATACAGATGTCAAGGTCTATCCCGAGGATATTAACACACTGAATCCTTTCAACGCCTTTTCCATGCCAGGCGAAGACAAAGCCGATGACGGATTCGATGAGTTCTCGTTGGTAAATGGTTGGGACCGACGGCTGGCCATTTGAATGCTTTAATCATTCAAGAGTCACAAAGGGGTTTTGGGAAGGATTTAAGGGATTTTGTTCTAATGATACCTGTGAAGGCGTTCAATCTTTGATTTTTGTCCATTTATTTGCCTTTATGTCTCTTTGGAAATATGTGCTTTTGACATTGTTATTGTGGCTGGCATGCCTGGTATATAGCTTCTGCTAAGGCGAGGATGGTTAGGTACTGTCTAGGACTCATGCGTACTGATGGATATGAATTTGATGACTTTGAATATGCAAATTGGTTCCAAGGTTACTTGGCACTTGATAGGTGTATACAAAGAAAATGTTAGTAAAGATAGATATAGCCAAGCTATAGCTCAAAGAAGGCAAATAAGTCCACTATACTTCCCAGCCTGGCGACAATCACAATCCGGCCTGTGGGCATTAAGCCGCTGTGTCAGCGGATGATCAGCCTTTCCAACCCTGTGATTGGTCAGAAGTATGAGTACTTGACCTCAAAATGAAATTATGACATGTTGTACATCAGCAGCACATCACGGAGGGTATATTTGATGAGACACACGTAAATTGCTCAGTATGACAGGGATCGTGTTCCGAGAAAATCTATAAATCACCTCTCTCCCAACCATCCCTGATCATCACTTTTGGCTGATTCAACTCCAGGCAATGATGGGGCCATTTACAAGAATGAAGTCGGGCTTCTTGCCGGCCATAATAGTGACATTTGTCTTGTTGCAGCTCTTGTTCTTACTGAATATGTGCTATCTCCATGCGACACAATATCGAAGTCTCACTCGCTCCCACAACTTCAAAGTTCTGTATGTCGACTATGACGGAGGGGTCATCGGCAAGTCGGTTTCAGACGCGTACCAGGATCTACGAGGAGACAGCTTTCCAACTCTACACGAAGTCGCCCCCAGCGAATATCCGCAGCCGAGTGATATTCGAGACGCCGTGTGTCGTGGTAAATACTGGGGTGCCATCTACGCGAAGTCAGATGGATCGGTCAATTTGACATCTGCATTGGAGTCTGGTGCTTCCACGCCAACTTCGCTCGCCTATGTCTGGAATGGAGCGAGATACCCGGTCTTTTCACAGTCGGTAGTCTACAGCAACCTCTTGAAGCTGATTCAAACCACGCGGTCAACATACTACGACAACAATGGATCTTCAGTGGCTACCACTGCCAATTTCTCTATTCCAGCCACCCTGAAAGCATTCACCGACCCAATCCAAGCCGAGCAAATCAACATCAAGGAGACGGAAGAGGGAACAAGGGTATTCTACAACACAATCTCCATGGCGATGCCCATAGTCCAACAGTTTTTCTACATGCTAGCCTTGAACGGAATCGGATCTGTCTTCGACGCATTCACTAAGCTATCGTGGAAAACCAACGCTCTGCTTCGCCTGACAGTCTCAATACTCTACACCTTTGTAGGAGCCCTCTGCATGACAGGCTATATCTGGGCGTACCGCGAAACCTGGCACCAAACTGGCAGCCACTTCGCCCTAACCTGGATGATCCTCTGGCTACTCATGCACATCAACATCCTATTCTTCGACATAACCACTGCCTTCGTCGAGATCCAATGGATGCCATACATCGTCCTGACATGGGTTATCCTCAACGTCGCCAGTACAATCACACCATTCGAAATGAGTCCTGCCTTCTTCCGTTGGGAATATGCGCTTCCTTCTCACGAGGCGTATCAGGTTTTGTTGCAGATTTGGTCGGGGGGATGTAATAATCGGCTGTACCAAGCTCTTCCTATTATGTTCACATGGTGGATTATTGGAGTTCCTGCCTCTGTATTTGCGATGTACTATCGTTGCAGGAAGGCTGTGGCTGAGGTAGAGCACTCCGATTGTGAGATCCAGGGAAAGAATGTTGCAACCGAGAATCAGACTGTGACGGAAATTCATGGCTCTGATGGTGAATGGCGGGGAAATGAGGATGAGGTTCAGGCTCTTCCTGTTCAACAATTCGACTGAAATAATATTTGTGACCAGAGTATGGTTTATTGAATGGAGAGAAAAAGGGAGATTTCAAGGACATTCTGGTTGAATAGTTCAGTAGATTCAATTCGATTGAGGTCAAGCGCGGTATCCGTCCCTGACTATTAGTATTGACAAATGAATCGAAGCCTTGATTTTCTATATACACATTAGAGAGCAGCCGAATAAAAGATCCCTGTTTGCAGGTTTCTATCATTCCGCAGATTTGAGCTCGTTCATAGAAGGGATTCTGCCTGAGGCCAAAAGTGATGCCTGAGGTCTGCTTCTACAGGCCGGCCTTGACCTTCATCGTCCTCACGACATCCCCAGGAATGCGAGACGGAGTTCAGACCACATGCAGCCCCAAGAAATTGGCGGAAACCACCGGGAAAATCATGTTCAAGCAAAGTAGGCCCAAACCAGGGATTCTAGTTGGCTGGCGGTCAATGGTCGGAGGCGAAACCCAAGCTGTGGTATTGGCTGCCACCGATTTCATCACTCAAAGCAGAGCTCGAAATGATCACGAGCCATCAGGCCGAGACTTCCGCGCCACCCACACTTTTGCTGCAGAACCTACAGAACCTGCAGAACCTGGACAGTCTGGAGTCGTGGAGAGCTTCCGACCCACGGGTGGACTGGTCGACCTGCCAAATGCGAGGTCACTTCCCCAGATTCTCTCGTGGCTCACGGACATAACCGCCGGCTGTCAGTCCCACACGACTCGTGAAATCAACGTGTCATCGGTTTGAGGTTTGGCGCACTTGCCTCATTATCATGGTTCAACTGTCCAAGAAATGCAGGTTTCTGGGCTGTCGTCAGTGCCTACTGCCCAGTCTTGGCTTTCTTGGTCAGGCACAGTATAAGAGGGAGATGATCCGGCGCTTCTAGGAAGAGTTGGTAAACTCTATTATCGAGTAGATTCTACTATACTCACTACTCCCTGGCGCTATGTTCAAGAAAGTGTTTCAAAAACGTCCGCAGGACCTCTATGCGACCTCCGAGGCCCCTAGGGAGTCGGTATCTACCCATGAACACGAGAAAGGTCCTGGCGATGTCGTCGACACGCCCGTCCCCCTCCTGACCTGGCGCTCATTCATTATGGGCGTCTTCGTCTCTATGGGAGGTTTCCTTTTCGGTTATGATACTGGTCAGATCTCGGGTTTCCTTGAGATGCCCAATTTCCTACAGCGATATGGTCAACTCCAACCTGATGGCAAGTATACATTCAGTCATGTGCGCTCGGGTCTCATCGTTGCTTTGGTAAGTACTGTGTCGGTTATCAATTCTTGTTCGCATACTAACAAATAAATAGTTGTCGATTGGTACACTGATGGGAGCTTTGGTCGCTGCCCCAATTGCCGATCGCGTGGGACGGAAATGGTGCATTAGTGGCTGGTGTGCGGTAGTGTGTATTGGAGTCACCGTTCAAATCACCGCACCCGATGGAAAGTGGTACCAGGTCGCCATAGGCCGTTGGGTCGCTGGACTTGGCGTGGGTGCTATATCGCTGTTGGTTCCCATGTATCAAGCCGAGTCGGGACCGCGTCATATTCGAGGATCGCTCATTAGGTATGTTGACCAGAGACATTGCATAGAATGATTTCTGACTATCCGCAGTACCTATCAGTTGTTCATCACGCTTGGTATCTTCGTTGCCAACTGCATCAATTTTGGAACCGAAGCCAATGCCAACACCAGCTCGTGGCGTATTCCAATGGGTATCACATACCTCTGGGCCTTGGTTCTCGGCCTTGGCATGGCGTTCTTCCCAGAAAGTCCGCGATACGATTACCGTCACGGCAAGGTAGAGAAGTCCATGGATACGCTTTCCAAGATCTATGGTGTCCCTCGCAACCACCGTGCTCTTCATATCGAGTTTGATGAGATCAAAGAGAAGTATGAGGATGAAAAGCGCCATGGGCACGCCACTTGGATTCAACTGTTCCGTGCTCCGACCATGTCATACCGGGTGGCTGTTGGTGTCGCCTTGCAAGCTCTGCAGCAGCTGACAGGTGCTAACTACTTCTTCTACTATGTAAGCCGCGTTCACAGTTTGCATTGGCAACCCCAAGCTAACACCATACCAGGGAACAACCATCTTCCAAGGCGCCGGTATCAAAAACAGCTACGTGACTCAGATGATTCTGGGTGGCGTAAACTTTGGAACGACTTTCCTTGGTCTCTACCTGGTTGAGCACTACGGTCGCCGTCGCTCTCTGATTGCCGGTGCCCTGTGGATGTTTGTTTGCTTCATGGTTTTCGCCTCAGTGGGCCACTTCTCCCTCGATATCGCGAACCCGCAAGCAACCAAAACCCCTGGTGTGGTAATGGTAGTATTCGCCTGTCTCTTCATCCTCGGCTTTGCCAGTACATGGGGGCCAATGGTATGGACCATCATCGCCGAGCTGTATCCTTCCCAATACCGAGCGAAAGCCATGTCTCTCGCGACAGCGTCGAACTGGCTCTGGAACTTCCTTCTCGCCTTTTTCACCCCCTTCATCACCGGCGCAATCGACTTCCGCTTTGGATACGTCTTTGCGGGATGTCTTTTCCTTGCTGCCGGTCTGGTTTATGTCGCCGTTATTGAGGGACAGGGTCGTACCTTGGAGGAGATTGATACTATGTATCTCATGAAGGTCAAGCCGTGGAACAGTTCGAAGTTCAAGTTCCCTGCCGATCCGAGCGTGATCCGTGGCTCATTTGACAAGGGAGCTGATCAGCCTGCGTCGGCTCATATTGCTGATCCAACTACTGAGTTGCGCGAGGATGGGACAACTGCGCCTGAGACAACTGTGCCTGAGACTCGTGCGTAGGAAAAATGGGGTGGTGAATGCGACGACGGGAATGGAAGATAGTTGCTTGGGTGGTTAGAGTCTGTTCATGTATTAGTACTTGTATGTCAATTTCTTGTTAACGTCATATTTGGTATACCATCGAGGTGTTTACGTCAACGCAATTTACTCCAATTTATGCTACCAGTGCTATTCTTATTCCCTAGTCACAAAATTGGTCTACTTTCTGACAAGTATATTATCCAAGTACTCAGTCATCTCATCCACATCTCCCAATTCACCAACCCATCCAATATACTGATCGGGGCGAACAACAACCAGAGCCCCAAGGACCCAATCGACTCCCCATTTCTCATACGCTGTTCCATCACAGTACCGGTCAAAGATACAAGAGTCATCACACCAGACTTTGTCATAGGCCCAGCCTCGGACCGGGTCGAAGGGACGCAGAATCTCCGGGAAGTCAAAGAATTCAGACTCCTTCCACGGCGCACTGTGAACGGTGACGACGTCGATAGGGCTGTCATAGCAACCAGGAATCGAAACATAGCGATCCAAGGGAGACTGTTTCGATGTCAACTGCCCAGTGAGAACCTGACACAGTGTCTCAAGGCGTCCCTTTTGCATCGGATTTCGTATGTCTCCAGCCAGAACGAGTATGCGGAACCTCCCATCACTTTCTAGCAGCCTCGTTGTCCACTTAGTACCACCTTCAGCCTGATTTCGAAGCTTGACTGGCTTCAATCTCTCCCCAGGAACAATATATCGAGCAACAGCCTCGGAGCCAGGCTTGCAAATAAGACGACTACCCGGGTAAAAGACTTTCCACCCATCAGCAAAATCCTCAAACTTCCCCGCAATATCAAACATAGCAGCGGCCTTGGTATCCTTTTCGTCAGGAGGCTTCTGATCAGTAAACATAGGCGACCAATGCCGATCAAACTCAAGCAACATCTCCGCGAGCGGATATCGTTCAAGATTATAAGTCGCCAAAATCTCAGGCTTAACAGTTCCCGCGACCGCAAGCGCGATCTTCCACCCAACATTGAACCCATCCTGCATACTCATATTCATACCAAGCCCCATCTTCGGTGAATGAGTATGCACCGCATCACCAGCAAGGAAAATACGATCCCCCTTCGTAAACTTGCTTGCAATCCGCTGGCCCACCTGATACACCGTCCACCAACTACAGGCTTGGAAGTCGAACGTGAACGGAGAGAGGATTGCTTGAACGCGCGTGCGGATCACTTCTGGTGCTATTGTCGAGCGGTCGAAGCGGGGTGTCGAGCTTGCTTCGCAGACATGCACTGGGACGTAGAAGCGGACAAGGCCTCGTTCACGTGGGATTATGAGGATTGTGCCTGCGGCGTTGCTGACGATGCTTACGCGGCGGATGTCCGCTGTGAATATTCAGTTAGTGAATTCTTTTGGAAGGATTGGGTTGAGGCACTTACGGAAATCGCTAATAGGTAGCACGTCTATCACACCCCTGTATTTATATGTCAGATGAAGATAGGGACAGAGATATAGTGACAGATACTGACCAGATATGATCCGTGTTGGAGCCTTCTACGGGGATATCTAACTGTTTTCTCGTCCAGCTGTGGGCGCCGTCACACCCAATGAGGTACTTGGCTTTGACTATTTCGACCTTCGACTTTCGGTTACTCTGCTGGGCCTGATCATCCCAGTCATCGGGAAGCAAATCGTGACGTTTCAATTCATTGCGAGTAATTCCAGAGCCAGATTGGCTCGGACCGCACGGCACATTCGAAGCTTCCTCTCCTTGATTGCGGAGCTTGACCGTGATGGGGTATGAATCCGGGTCTTTCTCTAGGTTCTCATCGTACTTCAGAGACTCGGCAATGACATCGCGTTCAACTTCCAGATCAGAGTGTTCCTGGATACTGTCCAGAATGAACCGCTCAATACGGCCCTGGTTCAAGCGTGTATTGTGGTAAGGCGACTCATCAACCCTGGAGATGTTGAATGGACCTTTTCGGGCAAGCTTTCCGCTCTCACCTGGTACCTATTTGCTCATCAAATGTCAGTCTGCGCTCACTTTCAAGGAGAATGGGCATACACACCCAGAAATTTGCTTCAGTCGAAATCGACCCCTCGTGCATAACACGATGCTGAAACCCCATGCTATCAAACAACTCGAGCGTGCGAGGACGCAGTCCATCCGCATGCCCTACGAACACTTTCGTGCTCCGTTTATCAATAACACGGGCCTTGACACCACAGCGAGCCATCCAATACGCAGCCATGAGTCCGGACGGACCGGCTCCAATAATCAATCTACAAGAAACAGGAACAGTTAGAGCAGCTCATTCAAGGACTGACAGGTACCTTACACATCGGTGTGGGATTCCACAGGTATGTCCTGATCATCCATGGTGTGCAGTGTATCCCAATATCTTAGTAAAAACAAAGCTGTAGGCTGACAAGATATATGAGAGGGAGGAGAGCTACCGTGACCACTGATTGAACACAGAGGCCTTTTTTATATCGGACTACTAGACCATGCTGTGCTACGCGGTTTTGATCCGAGGTCGCTTGATGTAACAACACATCTGCAGGCTGACTCCTTTCACGGATGGTGTTGGCCATGAGAAGCTGAATCTGTCCCTCTGTCAGGGTTCTCCTATACTAGAATTGTTATATATTTTACTTCGTATAGTAGCGATACAGCGATGCCATTTATGAGCTCGGACAATTGATTTGGGCACCAGTCATTTCCGTCAGGTGATGAATGTTGATTTTTCCTGGGTGATGAACATATCCGCTGTATGAGCTGAATAACACATTGTCCAACCTCAGCCAGCGGTGACATTCCCGGGAGTCCCGCTTACCTTCCCGGAGGTGAGGCTCCCGGGTGGCAATTGATTCGGAGACTTTGTGCATTTCTCATGAAAGAAGACGTGATATAATCGGTATTGTTACGGAGTATT